TGCAACCCCACCCGCGCCAATTTGCTTCTTGGCGTCCCGTGGCCCCGTTGCCTCTCCCGGCTGCTTGCTCTGGGTATTTATGTGAATATGTAAATTGTAAAACTTCGCTAGTCAGTGAACTACTCTTTCTCGCCATTTTGCCGTCAGAAATTGGAAAAAGTAAATTGAAAAAAAGACTTTTTTTTTTTTTTTCTATGATGACTCTGTGGTATCTAACTTGAATGGACGCGTTGCAGGCGAAATGAGACTGTTCCGTTTTTAGAATTAGCAAGGGCAGCGAATGTGGCTGGAGACCCCGACTAGTGCGTGTCCTAGTGGCTTGGCGGTGCTCTCCGGGAAGCTTTTCGATCCAGTTGGGCTGACTGTCAACTTCACCCTTGCATTGAGTTGGAACTGCGACTAAAATCAAACAGTCGGCATCCCCCGGCCAGCGACACCTTCGATCGGCTGTATCGTCTTTTTCCCTTTTTTTTTTTTTTTTCTTCTCTTTCACACCCTCTGCCTACTTTTCCCCCCCTGTTATTCACGGTTACTCGTATCTCAGCCACCTCATCTACTATGGTGTCAAGCACCTCTCCTCGGTCCTGTCCTGCCTGCACTCTGTCCCGGAGGTGAGGCTCTTGACTTCTGCAACAGCTCCGGATCGCTTACCCCGGGCTGCTGAGAAGGGGGTCAAAAAAAGAGGAGTGACACAGACGGCTCACGCAGGATTAGTCCTTTGCTCCTCTACATCGGGTGCTCCGGTTTGCTTTCTAATCGTGAGCAACGTTAGGCGGGTGCTTGTTTGGAGAGGCCGTCGTCATCATGCCCGCCCTCACCACCACCGCCCAAGAAAGTTCAGCCCAACTCCGCCCCCGGACCACCTCTCCTCCCCCAATCTTCAACCCGACGCCCCGGAAGTCCCACGATCGATCGTCGCTGAGTAATGCTTTTGTCTGGGCCAGTGAAGCTAATGGCGAGAATGGCCACGTTGATACTACATCCTCTGAGTTCTTCATGACGAACCTCAAGACGGGCAGCTTCCAGTCACTGCCTCACACGAACAAGTCCGTCGTCTCTTCACACGGGCGCGAGAGGTCCCATTCACGAAATGGAAGCTTGCTCTCACTCGGTGCGGGGGACCGTGGCGAGGTCCATAAAGATCATCATCATCCTCATCATCATCATCATCATCATCATCAACAACAACAGCATGCGAGGCATTCACTGGCAAACGGCATCGACGCTCAGGTGGACCGACCCTACAGCGCCGCTTTGTCGAACGGCACATGTGCTCTACCTCCCCCAGCCAGTCCTAAACCCGTGTTGAACGGCGATCGCTCGTCGACTGATGAGATATCGACAGAACACACCCCGCCGACCTCCATAGTTCCGACCCCCGTAGCCGAAAACGACGGCGGGTTTGCCCCGTTCCAGCAGACAACAAACCGACGTGCATCCCCCCCACCCACGCTCCAGACCGATTTTGAAAATTCGGCTTCGCCTCCTAGCCCACGAAGCCCTCGTCTCATCCATCGACATACCCTGCAGGTCCCAAGGACGACGTCGGGAAGAAGAAGTGTCCGCGACTCGCTTGCACCCAGCCCTTCCGACGATAATCTTACCTCCAGTGATCGATTTTCCTCCGCCTCCGGTTTCCGAAGGGGATCCCTCAGCCTGGCGCGACGGACCCCAAGATCCATCCAGTCAGATCTTTATCTTGACGAGGGCTCTCCGCAAGATGACGATGCTGTACGGTGGACGAAAGCGATCAAGCACAGAAGAGCCAGCAAGCGGAAGAAGAGAGACGAAGAGGACGAAGATCGGGTTATTGTGGGAACAAAAGTGGACCAGAACCATGTCAACTATGTCACTGCGTATAATATGTTGACAGGAATCCGCTTTACGGTTTCGAGGACGAATGCCAAACTGGACCGTGAGCTAACGGATGCTGATTTTGAAGCTAAGCATAAGTTTTCTTTTGATATGTGTGTTCCTCCCCCCTTCCCTCTTTCTTCCCTAGTGACAGTGTTGGTGCTGACCTGGCGATAGAACTGGTAACGAATTGACGCCTTCCGCCAAATATGATTTCAAGTTTAAGGACTATGCCCCATGGGTGTTTCGCCGTTTGCGGGCAAAATTCCAACTCGATCCGGCTGATTACCTGATGTCACTCACGAGCAAATATATATTATCCGAACTGGGGTCGCCTGGGAAGAGTGGAAGTTTCTTTTACTTTTCTCGCGATTACAAGTATATCATCAAAACTATCCACCACGCCGAACATAAGCTGCTCCGCAGAATACTCCGTGATTACTATCAACATATCGAGAATAACCCGAATACCTTGATCTCACAGTTCTACGGCCTGCATCGTGTCAAGATGGCGTATGGCCGGAAGATTCATTTCGTCGTTATGAATAACCTGTTTCCTCCGCATCGGGATATTCATCAAATGTTCGATCTTAAGGGATCCACGATTGGGAGAGATTTTCGAGAAGAGGACCTGGTGAGCAATCCGAGGGCGACTCTGAAGGACCTTAACTGGCTACGAAGACACCGCCATCTTGAATTGGGCCCGATGAAGCGAGATGTGTTTCTCGCACAGCTACGGAGAGACGTGGCCCTCCTCCAACGTTTAAAAATTATGGACTACTCGTTGCTCGTCGGGATTCATGACGTGGAGAAAGGGAATGAGGAGAAGTTACGAGATAAAACGTTACAGGTGTTTCAGCCAGGTGGGGAGATAATCGAGGAGCAGGAGCAGCAGCAGCAGCAGCAACAGCAGCAGTCGGATGGGCTAATAAGGACCCCGTCGAAGCTCGAAAGTGCACGAAAGGCGAGGGAGTTGCGAGAAATCATCAAGCGAGAGAAGCCGGTTCCAATCGAGCAGGCGACGGCAAAGATGCCGGATGAAATACTCGATGAGCGGAAAAATCGTGTTTTCTATTCGGATGAAGGCGGACTTCAGTCTACGCATGAGAATGGAGATCCTGGGGAAGAGATATATTACCTCGGTGTTATCGACTGTTTGACCCACGTAAGTCCTTGATGTCACTGTGGATGTTTGTTTGTGTTGTCTGTGGTACTGACTTTACATGGGAACATAGTATGGCATGATCAAGAAGATGGAGCACTTTTGGAAGGGCCTTTCTCATAACAAGAATCAGATCTCGCCTATACCTCCAGTCGCCTACGGTGAACGGTTTATCAACTTTATTTCAATCATAACAAGATCAAGGGAAGAAGCTGAGAGAGCCCGGCGCTACCACGATGAAGCTCAAGGCGAATCAGAAATGGATGCTCCTATCCGGTCCCCCGCTGAGAAGGCGATGGATAGAGCCGAGAAGGAAGCAGTAAAATCTGCAAAGTCTCTTGAAAAGCAGCCTGAACCTCGAGATCGTATTTTAACTACGATTCGGACCACCGATGGTGAACTGCTGGGCTCAACTGCGCAGGCTACTCAGCTTCCTGTTGTAGAAGAGGTTGGAGAGGGAAGCAGCACTGGCGATAGAAGCGGGAAGAGCGGTATTAACCACAGCGGGGGCTTGCAGGAATTTGCTCCAGAGAACACACTCACCTCTGATCCGCGACGACGAACGTTCCGTACGGCTCTGACGCCACCTGGCCCTCCGCCTGACCGACCACCACCGCCACCGAAAATCGATGCTTCTCCTCATCGCAGCAAGGGAAAGACCGTATTAAGAGATGGCTTGTCATCACGAGATAAAGATCTACCAATGCTTCCTCCTGAATCATATGGATCTCCGTCACCGAATTACACCTAACCCCTAACCTGCATGCTTCCAACGGCTATGCGCACCCAGGCTAGAGGGTTCGAACTTTCTTTTGTTTCTATTTCATATCTGTTCAGGAGCTTTTATATTTGCGCATACCATTGACGACTCTATCTTTGATTTGTATTTTCCCTTTGTCTTCACGTCCCCTCTTAGCGTACATTGTATGCATTGGTTGCCAGTGTTTTCAAAAGAAACAAGAAAACAAAAAGTGTGTGTTTTCGAGCAATCAAGCAGCAAGAATGGCCGTAGGATGTTTGGATCTTATAGTTCATGCGAGCGCCTCGTCTCTTGCCCTGTTTGATATCCACCTCTAGACGGGTGGTCCTTATTTTCTTAAGCCCTGTCATGATGTATGGAATTCTGGATTGATCTGATGGGCGAGGGAAGATCTCGGCTGCATATTGCTTTGTGTTTTTCTCCCTTCATGGGGACTCCCATGTGCCACTCTCATTTTCTACTTCCCCGTTTGCTTCTTTCAGCATTGAACAGTGTGTCTGGAAGGTCTTTTAGATTGTATACATTCGCTGAACAGCGTGCCAGTGGTGTGAATTTTTTTTTTTTTTTTTTTTTTTTTTTTCTTTTTGATATTTGATATCCCACAGCCAAGTATTGGCGAATAAATTGCCGTTTTCTTCCTCCCTTGCTGAGTCTTTCATTTGTTGTTTTCTGTTTCGTTTCTTGTCCCTATTGCTTCTGTTCCATTTTTTGCCCTTTGTGTTACTGATGCGGTGAAGTCAGGTTGAAAAGTGATGATGATATGGAATTATGGGGGATAGGAGATGGATTCACTGCTCATGGAGATGTATGAAATGTGCAGGTTCTCTGTCTCTCCCGGTCTTCTGTCCTGTGTTCTGCTCTGGCTAATTTCTTTTTGAAAGGTTGCTCTGCCTGATTGTTAGCGTTGTCATCTCGCCCCCTTTTTTTTTTCCCGCTCTCTCCCTCTTTCCAGTTTTTTCTCTATTTTCTTTACTCTCCGTTTTCCTAGCTACTTAAAGCATGGGAGGCCGTTTGTCCACTTTCTCGGAAATATGTATTTGTACATAAGCAGACATACCTAGCATGCCGGGTGCATTGATACGGGATAGATACAGAGCCATAAAGATCGAGAATTGAGGTTTCTCCTGTGCGTTCCAAACACACATGCATTGTGATGAGGACTACGTTTACAAAAAAAAAGTCTACTCAAAACGATAAATATAATAACCGAAAGATATGTATTCTTCGCCCAACCTGTCAAAAAGGAAGTGAATTAGAAGCCAGCCTCACACAGCTCAAGGTAAAAAGAGCGGGGGGGCCGGCTCCGTCTCCCTCCAACTCCGCCTTCCAAACCTTTTTCGCGACTGACATCGGAGAGCGTGGAAGACAGGGCGAAGAAAAACCACACCGCAGACCAAGTAAGGACGCGGCGTGGTGGTTGTTTTTGATGTATCGCGTCGAATACAGAGCTTAATTCCCCACTCGTCTTCCCGCAACTTACTGACGCCGTGGCGTCGGTTGGGGCGGAGGAGGGGTGAATTTTCAAGGCATTGAAGCTCGCCTTGTGCTCCACCTTGCGTCGCGAACGAAGAATTTCCTTTTTTATTTTTATTGTTTTTGTTAGATGGCACGAGGAAGATGGTAACGTCGGTGGGTTGGACTTTGGGAGGGATCTGGGATTGTAGTTTTGTCAGTAAGGCATTGATGGTTATTTTTTATATTTTAATTTCATTCTCCAAGGACTGGGAGATAGGTTGGGTTATGGTATGAAAATGACAAAGGACAAAAGTCATATCCGGTTGAATTCTAACGAAATTCGTCATTAGTAGGAGTTTGGTGCACAAGAAGACCACCATTACACAAGTTCCAACCCATAGCTCCACGAACTCCGGTGAAACTCATTTTCAGGCAAAGAAGGCATTTTGCGAACTTCGTAAGAGATTTGGTCGTGTTCCTGGTGTATTATTCGCCATGTTTGCCAATACGCGATCCATTCCGTCCAGGTCTAATTCTCCTCGTTGCAACATCATCTGGTCATGTTCGTTGGCAACATTTTGGTCTTGCATCTCCTCGTCCTCTTTCGCGTCTTCTGGTGCTTGAAGTTTAGAGGCTAGGATGAGAAGGCGGGTCTCAGCTGTGATCAAGATCTCCAATCGTGGGTCCTTTGTGGCGGCCGATCGGAAGTGAGATGGGATATAACAAATTCCATTCTCCATCTCTCCAAGCAGCTTGATATCCTGGATTATGGCAGGTTTGTACTTGTTGGATGATTCGAGAACGACGTCCGATGGCTGGACGCTGCTCTTCCAGAGGGTTATTAAACTAGGAATTTGCACGTTCTTGTCTCCGTGCCATATTAGTATTGATTCATCCCCAAGCTTATCCCAACCACGGCTGACCGGAATGACGGATATAGCACCCCTGTAGGAGTGGCTAGAAACAGCAGGGCGTTGAGGGGTGCCTTTAAAGAGGACTTCCTCACGAATGCGACGCGTGGAAGGAGTCATAGGTGCGAATTTAGTTTTGTTTTGTCCGGCGGTCGACGTGGAGTTCGTAGGGTGGGATCTGGATGACACTTCGGGCGATGTGACTCGGCCTCTTAATGCAAAGGTGGTTAGTTGGTAGGCAGAAAAGGTGGTCGCTGTGGTTGGATTCTGCCGATCGGGACCAGACATTTCCATATCCCATAGTCCCCATTCACCGTCGGTTGTCAAGACCATGATGGCTCTGCCGCCAAGAACCCATTTCGCGTCAACTATTCTCTTTCGGTCCATAAGGTTTGCCGATGATTCGTCAAAGTTAGTATATAACGTGAAAAAGCATTTCGCATGGGCTTGCTTTGGCCGTGTAGCCGCTGTGGGCCTCCGCCTTTCCGACAAAGTCGATGCTCGTGACGCGGGGGGGAAAAGCTGGTAGAGGTCCAACTTCCCATTTTCAAAGGCGACGAGCAAATGCGTGTGGTGGTCGGAAGGGTGCTGGCTTGGGTGAAACGAGATGGACTTCGCGGGCGACTTAAGATACATCTGCTGAACTGGGACGAGATCGTCTGCTGAAAGCTTATATGGGTATGGTGCCTGGATTGGCTGCTTGTCAATCGCGATCTGATAGATTGACAGTTTCCCGGAAGCTTCCATAGAATGGATAGCCAGGAGTAGTTTCCAGGTCCCAGGTGGTTTGGATGGAGTGCTCTGTTTACCGCGAGCCCTACTCTGTGTCTCGGCAGGGATATCAGGTTTTTCGCAGGTCAAAGTCATGGTGATAATGGCAGGATCAACCTGGACGTGTTGTGCTGGAATTGTGAGGGTCTGGAAGTCCCAGAGATAGGGACCGTCGGCGGGAGGAAGTGCAAGAGGCGCGGCAATGAGTCGAATAGAAGAATCCGCGCAGGCTGCAGTAAAAACTATCATACTCGTCAAGACCGGTGGCACCGAATCCACTGGCCGCATGGCGTCGGGAAGAATGCTCGGAATGGACACCTTCCTGACCTTCACTCCCAAGTGTATGTTAAATGACTCGATGATGCTTTGGAACGGCCGTCTAGGATCAATTTCGTCTTCTTCCTCCTCGTACTGGACGGTGGGAACGGCCTCCTTCTGCTGAGCGGGAGGATCGTCTTCTTCGTCCGAGTCTATTATCATAATAACATCATCATTGCCGGCTTTCGCCTTAGACTCCTCTTTTTTGGCATCCTCGCCATTTCCTTCATGGGGTTTGATGCGTCTGCCTCCTCTCCATAGAATGCGTACTCCATTTTCATGTCCGTATATTATTACGGTAGAACCGTTGGGAGCTTGGATAGGGTAGACTTTGGCATCGTAGACGCGATACGGGAACTCGTAGCTATTCAACGGGAGTGTGAACATGCTATCTAGCTTAAGAGAGATTGACACTTCCTTACCTTAACTGTAAGCCATCGTCCCTCAAGTGGACAAGGGGATCAAACTCGATCTCCTCCATCGTGTGAACCTCAAATAGAGAGTGGGCGAGTGGCGTTGTGGCCCTTTCTTTCACAACATGGTAATTCTTTAGTCAAGATGAACAGAAGTTCTCAGAGAAACTGCCAGTGTTCCTGGAGGGTGTTGCCGTGTGATTAACCCCAGCTGTGTTGTTGTTCTCTTGCAAAGCTCCCAAGGGAGATGATTGTAGAAAAATGGTGGAGGATTTTCCGGTCCAAAGCTCCAAACAACGTGACTTTCACCTCAAGCTCACCTCCACCCAAGCAGACACTCCCTCCATGCCGCGTTAATTCCTAATTGCTAATGATGGACATGATTGGGATTCCAGCTACAGAGGCCATGTTGATCTCCGAATTGAAGATTCGTCGATAATGGCCGCAATTCGCTCTCTCGGGCTCCACGAACCCTCAGCCATACCCTATCTCGTCGGAGAGTCGATCATCTTGCAGCATACCCCCGATGATGACAGATTTATATGGAAGACTTGCCATTACGAAGACGAGAACAACACCCCTGTTGAAGAAGAACTCTTTTTAACGGACCATTGTGTCGTTTGGTCTCGTGGAGGCGTCGTCGTACGGTCTTTCGGATTCGATGTTGAGAACGAGAAGGTCGTCCACGCGCTTTTCGCGTATTTCCCCGACGGCGAAAGGACGAATGACACCAAGAAAGGCTCAGGGGATGTCCCAGGCAGCGGTACGACAGCCCGAGGCCCTGTGTCGAGGACCGATAACCTGCGTGGCTTGAGTGGAAGACAGGGAAAGCAGGTAACAATTGAAGAGAAGCTCAACATCGACGGGATTGCAGGTCTCTCTATAGTTGAGGGCAGTGTGAAGAGACCGGTTGCAAGAGCATTGGTTGTAGTGTTACAATCACAAATACACATCTTTTTCCTCTCTGGCGATACCCATGTGATTCCATTGCCGTTTGAGGTGGGCTCGGTTTGGGCAACACCCTGCGGATTGCTCTTCCAACGGAAGGCTTCTGAAGACAATACGCCGGTTCCGCTAGTGCCTCCTAATTCCTTTGTCTCCTCGCAGGTGCTGCATGGAAAACCAAGAACGTCGGGATCGTTTACTCAATCCGCGCGGAGTAGTGCTCGGTTCTCATTAACGCTTTCCCCCTCCCATCCGGCAAAGTGGAACTTGAAGCCGGAGCCAGAGGCTTCCCAGCCAAGAACGTTCTCTCTCTTAGACCCGCACTCCGAGATGGGACTGGTAGCGGTGTCTCCGGGCGCACAACACGCCCGCGCTGCTAAAACCCTTGAAGCTTTGAGTGCTTCAGAGGAAATTCTCTACGTGTCGTTCACAAATGAGTTCCCAGAACTCGCTTCTACAGCGCAAGTAAATGGCCCACTAATATTGGTGGTAACACTCAATGAAACAGCCGGTGTCTATACCATATGGACCGCTCAGCAAAGGGACAAAGGTTCTGCCATCCGCCATAGCCAAAAGAGAAGGTCATCTAGCGGGACGGTTGCTAAACGGAGGAGTTCCTATTTTGACGTAGCTGCTGGGGCTACCACTCCCGGAGGTCGTGGGTCAAACGCTTTGAGAGAAAGTTTTAGTATGCTGAGCCAAGGGCGAAGTGTGTCACACCCACTGAATAACCAAAATACAGATACTCGACCGGAAGACGCAGAAGACCTGGCTTCGCAGCTAGGCCATGACTTTAATGATATTGGGGTTTCGTGGAAAGCATCGAGAAGAGTTAGCTCTTTACTGGCTCGGAGTGACTTGGGAGCAAATCATGATAGAAACACATTCTCAGATTTGGTGACCGGAAACCAATCGAATATCCCGCTGTCTCGTAAGAGAGACTCATTTGCTGGGAGCTCGCGCGCGAGTCTTGGCTACCGCCGTAGAAGCTCGCTACCTCCTGGGAATACTTCCGTGTTCAGTGCTGCGAGCAGTTTTCTCGACGCTCCCGTTGATAAATTTTTGGATGGATTGACCAAGGGAGGCAATTTTGAGGGATTCGATAGCATGGGCCTCGGAGAAAGTGTATCCGGACTGCCAAAGGAAGTTATTCTGTCGAAAGTGGGCAGTTATTCTTCCGGGTTTTCCTCTGTCCAGGGCATTCCACCGTTTGAAAAAGGCCGGAAATTTGAAGTGTTTACCTTGTCATCCTTCTACGAAACTTCTCAGAACGACCCTGATTCGACCCCTTTAGCCGTCTGCATCCTGAACAGGCACTCGAGAAATTTACTAGTGCTTAATTTACAGGTTCGCAGAGCCCAACGATCTTCGCTGAGCTCCAAAAAATCAAAGGCTAAAGCCACCCAAGGCAATCTCTTGCATACTGTCCAACTCAAAGATGTACGACAAGGCTCGAACGTTATTGACTGCCGCAAGCTCGTTGATGGCAGTATTTCTCGAATGATTGTCCTGTCGACCACTATGGACGGCCGGGGCGAGTTGACATTGCAAGCTCCTTGGAGCACGCTTGTAAAGATCGACCTTCCGTCCAGTATGGTATTACACGATCCTTCTGGAATCTCGTTCGCACGCTCTTCGTTCCACCCGCGGGAGGCAGGTTTGAGGAGAGTTCTCGATACTAGCGATATCAATTTATGCGGCCTCGATCATCCTAGCAATCGCGGAAAGATAGACATCACCGATAGCCAAAACAGAAGGCATAGACTGCAGATTCAGTTAGAACCTCGGAATCTTCTGGTCAAGCGTGCACTCTCGGTTTGCAGATTCGCGTTGCGACAATCCGAAAAAGCTGGGGATGGGATCCTGGTTTGCTGGTGGGAAGTCTTAAGATGGTTACGGGCGAGGAACGAAGGTGAAAATGACCTAGAATGGACAGCCTTTGTTGTCACACTCTTTTCCATGGCCGTTTATTTTATCGACGGCAATTTCTCGAAGCCTATTGTAAAGCCAAAGCGGAAAAGAGGCACATTGTTACGTTCAAGTAGTGGGAGCTCTGTTGATCTCGATAGCTGGGACGCGATGTTAGAACGACAATCCGGTTCCTCCGGTGTAGGGCCTTCTTGGATGATGACACCAGCCTGGGGTTGGATCCTTGAGGAACAAGAACGCCGTGAAGACGTATTTCGGTCCGAACACCAGCCTAGCCTCTTCTTGACATGCGGGCCAGCTTCAAGAAAGAATGGATATATCCTCCGATGTGCCTCGCTCGCGCGTGAATTTATATCATCCCCTCAAGGAGAAGCTGCTTCTGGTGCTGAAGGCTATTTACCCACTGCTATTTCGCAAGACCCTGGGACACGAAAGACCGCGCTTGGTGCAATACTAGTTGCTCTGCATTTGTTTCGCGAGGAACTAAAGCTGTCGACCATTGATGCTGACTTATCGAACTGCGATTCAGGTCTTATGGTGCCTGTACTAGCCCAGATTGGGGGTTGGTTAGGGTGGAGTTCATGGACATGGGAAGAGCATGCGTACTATGGTACCGAAAGTGCAAGTATGGAGAGCTGGCTGTTTGAACAGTCTCAGATATCGAGGCTTGACGTCCCCGAGGAGCCGTTTCCCCCGCCTTCCCTGTTTCAGTTCGTGGAAAATTTCTTGCAGAATAAACCGTCTAGTTTTATGACCCTTATTGATATGGTCTCAAGCTCTGGTGCTAAGCAAGGCAGCGGGAAAATATGGGAACAAGCATTAAGCCTTACCCCTAGAACCCTGGCGATCTCTGGGTTTTTTTCGGAGATCAACTTGCAATCATCGACGGTTGAAAAGACAGCATTGCTGCTTCGATGGGGACTAACATCCTCTGTTATTGACACTCTTCCGATCGGCATTAGCGCCCCATTGCACGAGGCGATAATTCGGTGTGGAGGCAATGCCACTCCTCGCTGCGGACCATCACTACTAAAGTTGGTCGACCGAAATGACCTTTCCTTGACTATGACAAACGAGCATCTCACCCCCACGATGCCGCGGTTACAAGTTCTACAATCACACGATGCCTTGCGGGACGTGCATCACATCGGTTGCTCAGTTTACGATGGCAGTGGAGTGAATTCCTTTGAAGCTTCTACGGAGGCCGATAGACTTTCGATTACGAAGCTCATTTTCCGTGAAGATAGGCGATACTTCGAAGCCGTCAAAATTCTAAACCAAACGAGAGCTCCAGTTGCAGAATGTCTACAGGAACCAGATTGGTCTGAAGCCGACTTGCTTGAAGCCCAAAAGGAGCTAGTTCAGCTTGTCACTTTGCGAACATTGTCTATTCCAAGTGGACGTGGTTTGATGTCGTTTAGCAGTCGGGTTCCTCTTTCAACTGAAAAGCTTCCAATCCCATCGTTCTCGTTGCAATGCGTCGTCAAACCATCAAATATTACTATTAGCGCCGAAAGAACAGCATTCACCGAAGAAAAGGTTTGCTGGGCTTTCTTTCATAACGGTGCTTCGACCGGTCTTGCCATATCTAAAGCTGCAAAGGGTATTGATACTTCATGGATCCTATACAATAAACCCGGTGAATTGACAAATAGACACGCGGGCTTCTTACTTGCGTTAGGTCTAAACGGCCACCTCAAGTATTTGGCAAAATGGGTCGCTTTTAAATATCTGACACCTAAGCACACGATGACGTCCGTTGGCCTTCTTTTGGGTCTCTCCGCGTCATATCTTGGTACGATGGACACCTTGATAACGCGTCTTCTTTCGGTCCACATCACAAGAATGCTTCCACTGGGTGCTGCAGAATTGAACCTTTCACCGTTGACACAAACTACCGGAATTATGGGAATTGGTTTGCTGTACTGCAACTCTCAACACCGCCGTATGAGCGAAATCATGCTCTCAGAGATTGAGAATATGGAGCCAGAGGACACATCAATGTCACAAGAGATGTTGAGGGACGAAGGGTACCGCCTAGCGGCGGGTCTCGCTCTCGGTTTCATTAATCTAGCCAAAGGGAAAGATCTAGGAGGCCTTCGAGACATGCGGATTATCGAGAGACTCCTTGCGCTTGCTGTTGGCACGAAGAAGGTCGATATGGTACATATCCTCGACAAGGCCACAGCAGGCGCTACTGTTGCGCTAGCAATTATCTCTATGAAGTCAAATGACAAGTCTCTTGCAAAACAGATCGATATACCTGATACGATCGCTCAGTTTGACTATGTTCGCCCGGATATATTCTTACTTCGAACATTGGCCCGACATTTGATCATGTGGGATTCGATCAAGCCCAGTCATGACTGGGTTCAAAAGTCTCTACCGAAACCTTACCAGAGGAAATCTCGTCTGATTACAGTCCGTCGATTGAGTACCGACGACATGCCGCTTTTCAACATCATCGCTGGCATCTGCTTCGCTGTGGGCCTTCGATATGCTGGTTCTGCATCCACCGAAGCTCGGGACCTCCTCGTTGCTTTTCTCGACCAATTTATTCGGCTCTGTCGTCTTCCAGCCATTAACTACGACGCGAAGTTAACTCGAAACTCCGTCCGAAATTGCCAAGACACTGTTGCTCTGTCTGCGGCGCTTGTTATGGCTGGAACTGGCGATGTCACCGTTTTCCGCCGTTTGCGATCGCTACATGGACGTGTGGACCCCGATACCCCGTATGGAAGTCATATGGCAGCGCATATGGCCATAGGAGTTCTATTCTTGGGTGGAGGAACGTATACGGTGGGGACGTCCGATCTCGCCGTCGCATCATTACTTTGTGCGTTTTATCCATTGTTCCCCACTACCGTACTAGATAATAAATGCCATCTACAAGCGTTTCGTCATCTCTGGGTTTTAGCTGCTGAGCCCCGATGCTTGATTCCTCGTGATCTCGAGACAGGGCGTGCGATGCAAATTCCTGTGTCGTTGACGCTGAACTCCGGCGAGACAACGACAGCGATGGCACCCTGTCTTCTTCCAGAATTGGCAACAATTGCGAGTGTTAAAGTGCAGAGCCCTGACTACTGGAACCTAACTCTTGATTTTACAACCAACGAGATCTTACGCGATAAATTCCGCCACGGCAATCAATCTATCTACCTGAAGCGCCGAACTACATACAATGCCGAAAAATCCGCATTCGCGGCCACAATGTCTGCATTGAGCGAACTTCAAGACGTCCCCGTTTCCTCTTCCAAATTAATGGGGGCAACAGGGAACCCGGTCACTCCGGCGTTATATGCACACGGTAAATCCACTGTCGAAGTCAGGATTCCAGTACGCCATCTATGGGAGTGGATATTCAACCTGGGAGCATTCCGGCATCTTGATATGAGTGAGAAGACGTTGGTTTTGCCCCCAAATCCATTTGACCAGCCACTGAAGCCGAGTCCGGGAAGGGAGGATATTGTGCTACCTTCATGGATTCGCCCTACGGTCGTCGAGGCCAGGTTAGCACTGGATAGGACGGTGCGAAACATGATTGCTGCTGCAGCGGGTAGGGGCGCTGGAGCTGACGTGATAAGGGATAGATTGTGGCAGTTACGGCTGCTCTTTGCGTGGGTGGAGGGCATAGAGAGGGCGGCAAAGGCGAAGGATGGGGGTTCTGAGGATGACGAAGATAGGGAGGAGAAAGGGTTGTGGTTGCGGAAAGATGTTATTGAGGATATTAAGTGGAAAATTTGGGCCATTCAGGCGGGTGATGAAGGGGTCCTTGGGAAAGGTTAGGTCGGGCAATGTGTGTGAGAGTGTTAAGGCGGCTGTGATACCCATGAGATCTACATAAGCCTCGCGGTGGATTTGACTCGAGGATGCCGTGATATCCTTTTTTTTAATTACTTACGGGGAAAGCTATGGATATTTGGAGGCACGTTTTGTCCATAAAACGAAGAGTATTGGGGGGGTGGGTTTGTTGTCCACCTGGTGCAGATATACGTGTATCGATATCATGAGAGTTTCATCGCAAAGAAAATATGATTTATGTCACATATCGCTGCGGCTGAGCCTTTTGGTTTTCTGTCCTGCAAGGAAGTAACAGTTTGCATATCAGCACGGGCATACAGCCCGGACCACAATGAGAGGTCATTCGGGCACCAGACGTTTACCCTCCCGAATTTATACACCAATGCATCATTTATATGTGAATATTCAGCATTTTGAATCAGGTGGCCTGGGTTGAAACTGGGTACACTGACGGGCTCGAACGAGTCCAAAGCCAGCATTGCAGCACGGGGTGGACGACACAGTAACACAGCCGGGATAATGCATGATAGCATAAAATAACATTTGTTTAATGAGAATTCTTCAGGTATGAACGGACGGAAAAAAAAAAAAAAAAAAAAAAAAAAAAGGAAGAAAGAGAGAGAGAAGGTGATGGACAAACAGCATGAACATACATACAGACCGGGTATCTTCAGGCATCAAACAATTACCAAACCCAAAATGAAGAATGATGGTTAAATACGCCCACACAGTTAACTCCTCTCCTCCCTCTTTCTCTCTCAGTAAACATACCGACAAGCTTCCATCCCCGCTGCCATACCATTTCCGCCCTTCTCATTCATAACCTCGAGTAACATCGCCATCCCGCTCGCAAGGTGCCACAGGATATGGCAGTGGAACAGCCACACGCCGGGATTGTCCGCCCTCAGTCTCAACACTGCGTGGCCCCTGCGCGGAATCTGCACGGTATCCCGTTCCAGAGCCTTGGAGAAGTCGTACGGTGGGTATGGCGAAGGATTGAGGTGTGGTTGGTGAGGGTTGTACGAGCCCCAGCCAATGGTGGATTCGAAGAGGGAGAGAATGAAAAATGTGTGGCCGTGCTAGCTTTTCATTAGTTTTCAGATACGTAGCTACGAGGACACAGTGGCCGGGAATGCTTACGAGATGGAACGGGTGAGGACCCTCATCGAGGTTGTTGACGATAAAGTCAATCCAGACCGGTTTGCTGCCAGTGGACAAAGAAAATTGGTTTTCGTCCCAGCTATCACGGTCGATGGTGATCAGGGGATATGGCGGGTTGGCTTGTGGTCGCCAGGAGGTGTGGTTGAAGTACCCAAAGGGAGAATTTTCGTTTCTGGCCATCCGCGAGATCTTGGTGTACACGACGAACGTCTTATCTGCTTGGGCTGGTAGGGTAGATATTGAAGCTTTGGTAGATGTGACTTGGGCGAGGTCGATGTGTTTGTCTGCTGCTGATGTCCAAGGGTTTAATTTGAAGAGGCTGCGGGTTCGTGCCTTTGACATATCGAACATTGGAAATGTTTGCACTCGAGTGAGCGCTGGGTTTGGGTAATTAAAGCATCTGAGCCCGTTAGCTCTGTTAACCTCCTAACGCTCTTTTTAAACTTACTCAGGATCGAGTTCCACGGTAAAAGAGGAGGCTTTCCGCCTCCGTGGAGGTTGGATAACTAGATCCATACGTTGGCCGGGGTATAATATGCCAGCAGATTTCGCCTTTCGCTTCGTTGGCTCGACATCGATACCGCCATCAACTTGGATGACGCTAACGATGCCATGTGCGAAGTGTAGCGTAAAGCCAGCGAGAGAACTGCAGAAATAAATATCAGTAATGAATTAGTATCGAGGTGGCCCTTTGAGGGAAGGATTACCCAGTATTGACGATTCTGAGTCTATGCGATACTCCAGAGTCCAATTGCAGCTCCGGGGTCGTCAACCCCCTCGTCACACAGTCAAGTGGACGAGCAGGAACAGCCATCGAGCAGTTAAAATGGCCGGCACCATTTACCAAGAGGGAATCAGGGACTGGCTGCCCAGGGGGTCAGTACGCTCGCATTTTTTCGGTGTTAGGCGGGCCTGAGATTACCTCGTTGCCGTAAGAGCCTGGGCGCATATACCATTCTAGCACCTTTTCAGAGGGGCGATGGTACCAGTCGCCGATCAGGAGGAGATGTTCCTTCTCGTAGCCATATCTCACACTGTCCGTATGGATTTGGCGACTTCGCATGCCTCGAATGGCGGGAGCAGCCGGTCGATGGATGATCAGCCCGCCGTACAAGCCATCTCCGCGCTGCAGGTTAGAGTGCGAATGGTACCTGTTTGATTTTTACCCCCGGGCAAAACAGATTAGTATCCCCGAACCAAAAAAAAAAAAAAAAAATAAAAAAAAAAAAAAAAAAAAAAAAAAATAAAAAAAAAATAACTAGCTAGGCCCAAGCGGTCGAGGTAGAATACCAAAAGGTCCCGGTCTGGGTTTCGGAGACTTTGAAGTCGTAGACAAAGGAGGCGCCGGGCTCGATGGGACATTGGGTGATGCCGGCAACGCCATCCATGGAATTGGCATCTTATGAAGCCGTGTCAGCAGGCACAGAGTATGTCGTCGGCTCAGTTAACGGCTGGGGGGGGGGGTTTGCTTATAAGCTCACCTCGCATATGTAGGCCATGCCAGTGGATGGAGAGGCCCTCGTTGGCGAGGCCGTTGGTGACGTTGATGACGAGCCTGTCACCGGCACGCGCTTCGACTGTTGGGCCGGGAAAGCCGCCTGTCGGAGTTAACCGTCAGCAAACCTGGCAACTAACTTAACTTTTCGTGCCCAGCAGGGAGAGCTCTCTGGGTTGGACTGGCATCATCCCTGTCGCATCGACGCTACAGCCACGGCCGCCAAGGGTAGCGCCAAGGGGGCAGTAAACGGGCAGACAAGACTCACCGTTGACGAGATAGAGACGCTTCTTGACGCCATCGGGGCGGCGATAGTCGGAGGTGACGGTCCAGTGCAGCGAGAGCGTGGCCGGCGCGCGGTAGATATGCCTCTCCGGGTGCAGCTCGAAGCGCTGGCTGCGGCCATGGCTCTGAGCGTGCTCGACGGCAACGGCGGGCGGTCGAGAGAGCCCAAGAAGCCGCAAGAATACCAAGACTGCAGCCAAACACAGGATGATTGGCAGAAGCGAGGATGCCGCCGTCCTGTTCGTCGTCGTCGTCGTCGCCGGCTCTGTTCTTGCAGGGAGCGCTGCGACGTCGGTGTGCTGCTGGTGCTGGTGATCGCCATCACCGCTGTCGTCGTCTCCCCTCTTCTGCCTGTCCCTGTTTTTGCTTTTGCTGTTGCTGTTGTTGTTGTCGTCGTCATTATCGCCGTCGTCGCCGTCGTCTTCTCGTCGCGACCACCGCTGCTTGCGACGGCGGCTCGCTGGTCTCTCCATCGCACAGCCTGGTCAGACGAGACCCAACCTCAGCCTCTGAGACTTCTCGTCCTGCCCCGTGTATGTATATGTGTAACTAGTTGGTTACTTCCAGGCGAAGTGAAATACAAAGACACCAGCCGATCAAACCCAGGGGAACATCACGCCGCCACAACAACCCAGCGCAACAAGCGTCTGAATTCCACAGCAAAAGCTCTCTAGAACTCTCTGAGCGAACGCCTGCTGCCGCGCGTCGCTCTCGGTCGAATTGTGAAACCCAAGACCCAACCCTGTCTTGCTCCTCGACTCGTCCACTGGCTTTGAAACTCTGCCGAGCCTCGCTTCCCACACGTGTGTGCGTGCCAACCTGCCCATCACTACACGCACGCACTACGGTTCGCTGCCAGCAGGGAAAGCCCCACGGATGTGCGGGATGAGCCGATCAGTGTCATGGATCTGAGCTTAAACCGTTCTTTCGAGCTCCATGGTTCCAGACGTTGCGCCCCGTGGATCTTCATATAGGTGCCCGCTGGGCCCCAGGTCTCCGTCATGGCTCTTCCGGACTGCTTCGTCCTCTTTTCCCGCTGCCAGAATGGTGATCGCACGTTCTGCCTCTTCGCCGTCCTCTTGGTTCTTTCCGTGATCCTTGTGTCCCTCGTCGTCTGCAGGTCCAGAATCCCGCTCTCCTCTTCCGATACCATCCAGACCAGCACGGCAGATAAGGCCTGTGCGACTCGTCGGCATACTGGGATGACATCCCATAATCCTGAGAAACAAAGAGTACTGCACAATCAGCATGCGAGGTCGCTCCGTGACAAGCTCCGGCCCTGGACGACCCCGGTGAAGCTGCTTATATATTTCAGCGTCGTACGTTGTGATCTCTTCCCTCCCCCCTCCCTTGGGGGCGCCCGCGCGCGCCTTCGTTTGCGCCCAATCTCTCTCTATTGAAATTGGAGGTTTTACAGCTTGGAAATGCTAATCTACTCGTCATGAAGCTCTTTATCGCCCTGGCGATCGCTCTCGCCTTGTTCCTTACCGACCCGGGGGAGGCAGAGGAAGACACAGACGGCCGCGAGGAGGCCGCCCGGTCGCTGAAAGATGTCGATCATGTCATCATCTTCATGCAAGAAAACCGATCATGGAATACGGTATTCTAACCCTTGCTGCCGTTTTTTTTTGAAATATACATACATATAATAATTTCCCTGGGATCGGCTAACTAATTCATCCATGGAAACCCAGTACTTTGGAACAATGGCAGGCACGAGAGGGTTCCAGGATCCCAATGTCCAGGTCAACCCTGACGGCTTGCCTGTTTGGTTCCAGTCAGTGCTTCCGCGTCCCAACTCGACTTTTCGTCTTTGTACCGTGTCCCTCTGTGAAATGAGTTCTGATCTCCTTAAAGGAAAGTCGATTCCGATCAATCCACCGATACCAAGACCCTCCTCCCATGGCATCTGGGATATCTCGGAGGAAACTGGTCTGAGGCCATCCAGTGTATGGCTGCCGGGAGTAACGGCTACCGCGCAAACCAAGCAGCCCTGAACTACGGGCTGAACAACCAATGGGTGACAGATAACACCCCATGGAGCTGGGGATACCTGAAAAGGGATGACATTCCGGTTCAATTTGCTCTTGCCGAAGAATGGACGGTGGCAGATATGTATCAAGTAAGTTGCTCTGTCATTTCTCTTTCAACGTAGGGAGGTCCGAGTCTGATCCTCAGTTAGCAATCACAAATAACGTCAACGAACCCTAATCGTGTCATGCTGGTGAGCGGTTCCATCAACGCTCCTGGCAGCCCACAGAGCCCGGACGAAGGAGGAGTATATCTAGACAACACCGAAACTCCGGGTAGGTGTTCTTTGCATAAGCACGCGCGCACACACAGAGAAGCTAACATGCATGTAACACAGGTTGTGAAAAGCCCAATGTAAACTGCTACCCCCTGAAATGGAAAACCATCTTCGAGCTCTACGAAGACGCCGGAGTATCCTGGCAAGTCTACCAGGGCGAAGACAACTTTGACGATAACCCCCTTGCTTGGTTCGAGCAATACCAGAATGCACGGCCTGGTACACCCTTGGCGGACAAGGGCATGGCCTTTCTCGGGCTGGACAAATTTTACAAAGATGCCGCAAAGGGAACATTGCCACAGATCAGCTTTATCGTAGGGCCGAGAGAGCTGTCCGAGCATGCGCCGTATTCGCCCAAGGATGGTGCGTGGCTGCAGGAGAAGGTCGTCGAGGCCGTGACCAAGAGCCCAAAGTACGGTAAGAGCGTGCTGATGATCAGTTTTGACGGTACGTCCCTTCTGTCTCCAGTCCCGGGGCACCAAGAGAAATCCCCACTGATCTCCCATGTAGAATCTGGTGGATGGGGCGACCACGTTCCGCCATACCACTCGCCGACAGACACGCCAGGAGAATGGATCGATGACTACTTGGGAATCTTTGGAAGAATTTTCACCGGTCCTGGCTTCCGCGTGCCGTTCTACATCATCTCCCCCTGGACCCGTGGCGGTCGAGTCCTCACCGAGCACTCAGATCACACTTCACAGATTCTCTTCATCGAAGAATGGCTCACTGCCAAGGGCATCGAGAACATCAAATCGCCCGAGGTGGTCCCCTGGCGGAGAGAACACATGTCGAATCTCGTCAACGCATTTGATTTTGAAAACGCACGTACCCAAACCATTCTATTCCGGATCTATATCAGACACGTCGAACTAACTCTATACTTCCAGCCCGACCTCTCCCTCCCTAACCTCCCCAAAGCCGAACTCCCCCACCGCGATGAATCCGGAAACTGGGACGGCAGCGCGTACTGCGAATCCCTCTACCCGGAGACCCGCCCTCCGGTGCCCTACGACTCTCAACCCGATCGCATGCCCACCGACCTCGTCGAAGAAGGTTACAAGGAATGCATCGGCACCCTCACCGAGGGCCGCTTCCTCGTCTTTTCCACCACCGAACAATCACGCCTCCTCCTGCACTCCAACCCCGACGACCTCACCACCACCGACGCCACCAATGCTGATCCCGATTCCGATTCCGATCCTGATCTCGACTATAGCAGCTTATATCGCCACCGTGACGCCCGCTGGGTCCTCCACTACTACAACAACAATTCCACCTCCTCCACGGACGTCAACACTACCGCCATCAACCAGGACCCTCCATATCTCCTATCTAGCGGCAACCGACGCGTCTGGCTGGGCGAGGAGGGCAAGCTCGTCCCACGCCGTGACGCGGTCGCCATAGATATCGATTTCGTGCGCGGCGATGGGGAGGACAAGGGCAAGGGTTATTACATCAAGTACCACGATCGAGACGACGGGTATATATCCGTTAATGAGGATGGGGGTGTGCGTGTTGGCGAAGAGAAGACGAAGTTCAAGGTGTTGAGCGTGACGTATCATGATTGAACATACAAAAGAAAAGGAGGAATATGCATGGCTGGCTACATACGATCGTTTTACGGAATATATATATTGACGAATGTTTCACGACGACTGGGGTTCCTGGGAAGGGTTATTTCGTGTGGGAATAGAGACAAGGGAGTAGGGCGCATAATTGGGGGTCAAACCGGGGGGATATTTGCTGATTATTTATTATCATACACTCTTGTTTCTTCCCCATCAAGAAGGGAAGATAAAATTCCAGCACGGCTAAAACCTATTCAGGCATAGTTGAGACTATAAAAATTTAACAGGAAAACAAAAGTCCCCCAGTAGCATCTTCGAACTCGGAACATCTAGACCCAGCAAAAAAGAAAGATGCAAACAAACACGCATGTCAAAGTAATCAAAACACATCGCAGCGATCCCTCCAGATAAAACTCCCAGAACTCCCATCTTTAACCGGTGGGAAAATTAAAAAGAAAAGAAAAGAAAAGAAAAGAAAAGGAAAAAAAAAGAAAGGGGGTTCCGTAGAGATCAACCCAGCAACGCTCCCATGCAGCACTCCTCGCCCAATCCTTAAGCAATACAACGTGCAAAACCCGGACTCTGTTGAAGTGCACACACACACACACACACACAAACAGCTCACTTCCCACCAGCAGTAACACTGTTCTTGCCAGCCAGTCCCATGCCCATCTTCTCTCTCTCCGCTTTCTCCTTCTCCATCAGCGCCCTGTCAGCCTTCGTCATTCTCGGCTTTCTCGTCGTCCCCGTACCGGCACGCGAGGCCTTGGGCTTCTCTTTCACTTCTCCATCGCCATCCTTGTCTTTGGAATCCTTATCTTTATTCCCAGCAGCGTCCTTGTCCTTCTTGGCCCGGGAGGAGGTGGTTGTCTTGCCTTCTCCACTTGCCGTGGTACGCGCAGCACGCCCACGACCGCGCTTCACAGTTCCATCGGCCCTGTAAACACACCAAAAAAAAAAAGGAAAAGAAACATATTAGTATCCCGTCAAAAGCAAAAGTAGTGTATGACAAGAGACCAAAGAAAACGAAAAACGAAAAAAAAATGAAAAAAAAAAAAAAAAAAAAAAGGCAAAGAAGAACTAACCTTTCAACACTGGGCTTCTCTCCCTCCGGCACCAACGGCCCACTATACACAAAGAACCCATCCTTGCACGCCGCAGCCTGCTCTTCCCAGATCAGCTCGCTATCATCCACGAACGGATCATCTCGATCGTAATCCTCCATCTTCCTACGGCGCTTCTTTCCCTCGCCGGGCGCAGCCCCGTCTTTAGCAGCATCGCTCGTCGGGCCTCCCCCCATCCCGGACATGACGATGTCCCCATCAACGTCACTATCCCGATCCACGTCGAGACTAAGATCGTCTTCCGCTCCACTTTCACCTCTGGCGTTCTTCTCGTTCTTCTCCAGCACGGCGCTCGCAGCGGCCAGGCGCGCCCGCCGCTCTCTCTGGGCCGCGATGCGGGGATGCAGGGCGTCGAAGCCGTATTGCTCTTCGGCCAGCCGTGCAAAATTGATGACCACGTTGTTCTGGCCTTTTAACGGAACGTGAAGGATGATGTTGGGTACGGTTTTCGCGGCGGGTGTGGAGGAGCTGACGTCGAGGCCGAATACGGCGCTGGTGAGTAGGCCTGAGCCCGACGGGAGAGGCGGTGCTTCCTTCGAACGGGATGGTTTCGGCGACTGCGCACGAGATGCGGGGCCATTGGAACTGCCTGTGGGTCTGTCTTTCTTTGTAGGAGTTGGCGGTCTTTGGATTGTTGACGAGGTAGACGTGGCTTCTTTATCGATGTCCATGGGAACGAGCTCCTGAAGCCTCGCAGGGCCTTGTGAGCGTTGTTCGGCCTGCTTCAGCTTGTCACTACTGGGTCGAGATGATGAGCTCTGTTGTTGGTTGACTCCCATTGCTGGCGTGGACGGGAAGGATGAAGGAGCGGCAACGGGCTCAGGGGGGTCAATGATGCTGGAGATAGCGGGAGAGGCGCTGGCACGGAACATGTTGCGCGGAGGGGTTGTGTTGGAGGGTGGAGGAGGTGGAGTGCCGAAAGTGTTGCTCCTTTGCATTGTAGACGAACCGCTGACGATTGGCGGGGTTGTAGAGGCTGGAGCTGATGCAGGAGAGTAGCTCTCGATCGACGAGCGAACGGGGTCATAATGCTGGCCACTAATGCGCTGCTGTTGCTGTTGTTGCTGTTGTTGCTGTGGTGGCGGAGGCGGTGCGGAGAATGATGTGGAGGTGGACTGCGGCGGGAGGGAGTGGTAGTGCGGACTGGATTCATAGCTTCCACTCTGTGTATTCAGGATAGAGGTCGAACGAGAGGCATTGGACGGCGGAGGCGGAGGAGCAGCGGCGGGGTGTTGGTACTGTTGCTGCTGCTGCTGGGATTGGGATTGAGATTGGGATTGAGATTGGGATTGGGATTGGGATTGGGATTGAGGTTGGGGCTGGGGTTGGGGAGACTGCGGCGCGGAGACATGTTGAGGTGGAGGAGCAGGGGAGGGATCTACGAGGTCGGTGATCTTGGACTGGCGAGCGGGCTTCACGTGGGGCGGGTGGTCCAGCTTCTGCTTCTTGCGGGAGGAGGTGGTGGTGGAGGGAGCAGCGCCGGCGGAGGGATTGGCACCCGCCGACTTGTCCGCCTTCGCTCCGCCGCCCTTTGTGCCGGCGGCATTCCGCTGGCGGCGAGGCTTCACGTGAGCTCCCTCCTTGGCGGGATCCTCATCCTTCCTCTTTCGGGATCGCTTAGGCTTGGCGGATTGCTGTGGCTGGTGCTGGTCGTCGGGGATGTGGCTCGTGTCTGTACTTGTGGCTGGTGCGTCCTTCTTCTTGCTGCTCGCGTTTGTCGTCGTCGTCATCGCTGCAGTGGAAGCGGCAGTGGGAGTGGCGGCGGTCTTGCTGGGGAGAGAGGAGGAGAGGAGCTGCTCCGACGGTCTGCTGTCGTCGGGGTGCGAGGTCGGGGCGATGTGCGTGCTGAAGTGGGCGGGTGGCGCGACGCTTTCGCATTCAGATAGCGAGCTGAGGGATTCCGGAGACGACGCGGCAGCAGCAGCAGCAGCAGCGGCGGCGGCGGCAGTGGGAGGGGCAGTGGTGGCAGAAGCAGCGGCAGCAGGCTCTCCTAGATCATGCTGGGCTGGAGTCTCTTCTTTCGCGGGGGTCATAATATTTCCAGATCGGTCAATGGGAAGTCGGGAGGCTAAAATAAATAGATAGAAAAAAAAAAAAAGGTATTTTAAAATATGCAGGATTCGGAGATGTGGGCGCTGTTTCAAAGTGGTCAGGTGGTGATGGTGTTGATTTATGGTTGTTGATGATGATGATGATGCTGGAAGTTCACAAATAATTGGTGAGGCACAGAAAGGGGCTTTTGGTGATGTGTTGTTGGCGATGGATTTGGGGTGGAATTTTGGGGGGGTTTGGAAAATCAAAGGGGAAGACGGAATTGTGGGTGGCAAGGAAGCCGAGAAGTGGAAAACTAGATGAGCTGGTGAGAAGGAGGTTGCAGAGACTAAATTGATGGGCTAGGATGGGACGGGCTATAGCAAGAGAGGTGACGGAAGATAAAGAAGAGGAAGAAGAAGAGTGAAGAAGGAGAAGAAGACGGAAAAGAAGCGGAGAAAAAGCTGGAGGATGACACAAAGCCGGATAGACGGAGGGGGGATGAGACCGTGGGATAAAGATGGTGGTGGGATGAAAAAGGAAGAAGAGGGAAAAGAGGGAAAAAAGAAGGAGGAGGAGAAGAAGAAGAAGAAGAAGAAGAAGAAGGAAAAAAAGCAGGGCACGAGGCAAAGCAAGCGAGCGAGAGATGAGCAAAAGAGGGCACGAGAGATTAAAGAAGCAAAATAACGAATGAGCAGTCAAGGCGCCATTCCGGCCAGCAGAAGCTCAGCAGGCCCGGCGAGCATCACCCAGAGAGTTAGTTCCGTCAAGTCAAGTCAGTCAAGTCAGCCAGTCAGCCAGTCAGTACGGAGTGTACACGCCCAGCTTAGTCCGCCGGAACCTGCTGCGCGCTGGTAATTTACCGCCGTGACAGCCCGGCAGCTGCAAGTCTGATAGTCAAATGGCTGAGTGGCCGTTTCACCGGTGTTTTGTCGCCGTAACCCCCCTGCAAAAAACATAACATCCATTCAAGTCCATGCACGACCATCACGCTGAGCTGTGCCGAGGCCCAGAAGGAGGCTGCTCAGCTGTGGGCGACCACTGGCCTCTGCCCGTCACTCGTGTCACCGGGCAGCTAGCTCTCCCAAAAACGCCCCAACTCCCCCACTGCCGCCGAGAAGTGAAAACGAAATTTGTTTGACGGCTTTCCTTTTTCCGTCTGATGGCTTCAAGCAGATCGTCGACATGGGTTCGCGTCCCGATCGGGTTTAGCGCATAATCACCCGCACATGGTATGAGCGCTAGTCCCGTTTGGGTCTAGCTGCTGTCATTCTGGCGTTTTAGAGTTTTAAGCCGCGGAACCAGACTGTCGGAGACAACACGAAGAGAGAGAGAGAGAGGAAAAGAGAGAGACAGCAGACAACGCACGAAATATACGCCCTCTCAACATGGCTGTCCGCGGTGAGAGGTTCACCATCGACCTGTCCGACGATGACGACGACGATGATTGCCAACACCCCGTCCCTGACCTCCACAATTTCGTCGCCGACATCAGGGAACGCGACTCCTCCACCCCTCCCACTCCTCCACAGCTGGCTTCATCGACCGGCACCGGCTTCCCTTCGCACCGAAAGCGAACGAGACCCTCCGCTTTCAAGCGCCAGAGAGCCTCAGAAAACACCACTCCGCCGTCTACACGTCAGACAGTCCCCCAAGATGAAAAGAAGTCCATCGACGAGGAGAACAGACGGCGACTGGCCTCGATGTCTACGGCTGAGATCGAAAGAGAACGCGCCGAGTTGATGTCTGCCCTCTCTCCGTCCCTCATCGAGCGCCTACTGAAGAGAGCCAACATCGAGGATGGAGGGAACGAGGCGAATGCCAATTCCAAGTCTACAGGAGAACAATACAGACAGGACCGACACCCAGACGACAATCCGTCAAAATCCGTCTCCTTCGGTATCCCCCCCGAATCAGACCAACAAAGCAGCTCCGCATCCGCACCCCAAGCACCAACCTCTGTCGACGACATACCACCCGGCCACCCGCCAAAGGACCTCTTTCCCGCCTCCCAACCCCCGTTAGGCCCCATCCACTTCCCCAGACCTCCACAACCGCGGGGATCTCCCATGCCAGACCTCGATCCCTCATCGCCGTCATTCCTCGCCGACCTACAGACCCATTACTTTCCAGACACACCCCACGACCCGTCTTCCCTCTCCTGGTTAAAGCCATCCTCCCCCGACGACGCACCTACCTCCGCCTACCACCCAGACAGCACCGCGACATCTCTCGCCCCGGCATCCCTCCGCTTCTCACTCTCCGGCGCCCTCCTAGCCCCCAAAACCTCGCTCTCCCTCCCCACCACCCTCGGCCTCCATCACCACGCCAAAGACTCCGAGGCAGCCGGATACACGGTCCCCGAACTCGCCATCCTCTCGCGCTCGTCGGTGCCGGCGCAGCGCTGTCTGGCCTGGCAGGTCCTCGGCCGCCTGCTGTACCGCCTGGGAAAGGGTGAATTTGGGGAGAAAGGGAGTAGTCTCGTAGAAGGGCTGTGGAGCGTTATTGAGCGCGAGAAGGTGGTGGCAGGGATGCTGAACGAGGCCGCTGGCGGGGTGGATGCGGATAGAACGGCGTCAGCTGGCGTTGGTGGCATCGGCAGACATGCAAGTGCGCGGGCGTGGGCGACGGAGGGCGTGTGGTTGTGGCGGCAGGGAGGAGGAGGAGATCGCGGGCTGCTGAGAGATGGAGAGATACGGTCAAAGTAAATTGCGAACGTGCTTTAAAATCATAACTGGTTAACTAATAGCTACGACTGAATGAATCATGAAGCCTTCCCCTTTTCTCTTTTTTTTTTTTTTTTTTTTTTTTTTTTTTTTTTTTCCTTTCCTCTTGTTCACTCCTCAAGCCTCGGCATTAACATCGGCATCGGCACTTGCTTGCTCGCCTTGTTTTATTCCGTAGTTGGCTAAAAACCGACAAATCCCGAGCCATCAGACCAAAACCACCCGTCAGTTCCGGTCGGAATAGTAAATCGATGGCTCTTTTGTCCTTCTTAGAATGCCACTTGTCTCTCGTTCCGCGTGAGGATGAAGTGTATTATCTCCAGCTAATTGATTTCTTTGTCTCCGGACAACTCACTAACCACAATGCCTCGATTTCTCCCCAACCGCTCCTCTTTCACCACCCACTCCACCATCCGCCTCCTCTGGGAATCCCTCAACCTCCCTCTCTCAGCCCTCTCATCCATATCTCTCCAGCCAGAAAGCCCTCCAAACGACCGCTTCCTTCCATCCTCCTACAAACTCGACCACCTCGCCCAGGCCTGCATCGCCCTGCCCACGCTGGCCGCCGCACTCCTCCACTCTGCCCGTTCCCACACACAAAATAGCTCCTCCAGCAGTAACATTAATGTCGATAGCAGCAATAAAGTGCCCACCGTAACCATCTCCGCGCGCGCCGCCGCCCTCTCCTTTGTCTCCGAACGTGTGTACACTCTATCATCCCGCCCGCCACCGTCGTCATGGGGTGCTATCTCCGGGCTATACCGCGCCCGCGACGGGGGCTATGTGAGGATCCATGGCTCGTTCGTCAACCATCGGCGTGCCTTGGCGAGCATACTAGGTGTGCCTGTATCTGATAGCGGGGAAGTGAACCGCGAAGACGTTGCGAGGGCGATCGGGGACCGGTGGGATGCTGAGGAGCTGGAGAGGGTGGCGTTAGGCGGGGATGCGGTGGTGGTCAAGCTGAGGGGACCCGGGGAGGAGTGGGAAGGGTGGCCGGTGAGCGAGAAGGTTGTCGGCGTCAAGAGGTATGCGGTCCCTGAAGAGGGGGAAGGGGCAGATTTGGAGATTAGAGGTCATTTTGGGAGATATACGGGCTCCTCCGTTGGTTGTGGAAGGAGGCCGTTGCAGGGACTGCGGGTGCTGGAATTGAGCCGGGTGATCGCTGCTCCTGTCGCGGGACGCACGCTGGCTGCTCTCGGTGCTGATGTGCTGTGGGTTACGGCGCCGCATCTGCCAGATCTACCAGCTCTGGATATCGATCTGGGTCGGGGCAAAAGGAGTATCCAGCTAGATTTCCGTCGGGAAGAGGATAGGCTGAAGCTCCTCGACCTCGTCCGTGATGCAGACGTGTTCCTTCAGAGCTATCGACCGGGCAGCCTGGAGAAATACGGCCTGGGACCGAAAGACCTCGCTGCCGTGAACCCGGGAATCGTATACGCAAATCTGTCAGCCTACGCGGAACCCAACGACGAACTCAACCAGAATAACCCCTGGGCGACGTTCAGAGGGTTCGACTCCCTGGTGCAGACCTGTTCGGGCATGAACGTCTCCGAGGCAGAGCACTTCGCCGCTGCTTCGACCTCACCCGGCGAAAAGAATGTCCCCAGTGTGCCTGCGCGGGTGCTTCCCTGCCAGGCTCTCGATCACGGAGCAGGATATCTCTTTGCCTCGGGCATTCTCGCCGCTATATACCACCGGGATTTTGTCCCCGACGGATTTGGTGCGTACAAGGTTGACGCTTCTCTTGCCGGCGTCATGAAGTATCTCCAGTCCCTTGGACAGTACGACGGCGCGTCGGGATTCCAAGTAGCAGACCCAGTGCCGCAGCAGTATCCTCTGGGGCCAAAACAAGGACAGAAGACTGGCTGGGCTGAGGATCTGTGGGAGACCAAGCAGAGTGGCTTTGGTGACCTAAGAGCCGTGAAGTATCCCGGCTCAATCGACGGCTGCGAGGTAGGCTGGGATGTGATGCCGAAGAAACTAGGCAGCGATGAGCCGGAATGGCTAGATTAAACTTGCGAATTTTCGTCTAATATTGAATATATGCAGTTCTATATTACATTATCGTCGTATATTCTATACCCGTTTCCCATTATTATGCCAGGATTGTTCGACCCCTCGATGGCCGAAAATTGATTAGGATATAAATCTCCGGGGAGCGTGGTGCATCCTCGGACATGCAAAAATCCGGGGCTATCAAAACCAACGCACCCTTTTAACCAGTTAGTGGATGCGTGGACGTATCGTCATGTGCGGTTCTCCATGCTTCTCTGTCGTCTCTCGCGGAAAAAATGGCCCTTCCAGATGATCACCAGAACGCCCGCCACACAGAGGGCGTCCAGAACGGCGAGTCCGGTGAAACACCATCCATACCCGATCTGAACCACAATCTTTTCTACGATCACTGCAGCAATGGCGGCGGCGATATTGCGGACTAATCCCGCCAACGCCACCAGACTGGCGGCTTGAGAAGGGTCGCATTCCGTCTGGAATGATGTACTTGTGACAAACACGATAGCTGTGCCGACGGCGGCTGTTACAGTAGAAAAGATGGGTTTAGCATTCATTTATTAAATTAAAAAAAAAAAAAAAAAAAAAAAAAGAAAAAATATTGGTGGGAACGAAGGTCGACGTGTTGAACATACCTATCCCGGAGCCAACTAGCCCGGCGCTCGCATGGATGTGATGACGAGTGAACCACCCGTACATGGCCTTCCCAGCGGCAGTGATGATGAAGCCATAGATCTGGAGAGAGATACGCTGTTCAGGTACGACAGTCTTTCCGGATTGCCGTGCTGCTGCGAGGAGTTTGGCCCGGCGATAATCGGAAAATCGGCCGGTGCATACCGAAGCGATGAGAAGTGAGATTCCTAATCACCACACCCAGTAAGCAACGTCCACGGTCAACCATAAACTTAAGCAAGAGCGACGGTCCGGGGGCGCACCAGGGACTAGATACAGGTATCCTACCTCCGAGCTGGAATACCCGTAGTCTTGTTCCCAGACCGCTGGGAAGGTTACGTATATCGCATAGAGTCCTGCGAACGACAGAGCCCCGTTGACAGAGACAATAAAATGAGGTGGGTATCTCAGCAAGCGGATGAATGTCTTTACGGTGGGTCGTGATGGTCTGGGAAACTGTTGCTGATCCGCGACGCACTTTGTCTGAAGGCGTGGCATGGTTAGCCAGCCACTTCTGGCGTAGATTTCGCCATTTCCGACCAGGCATCGCAGGGTTTCGGGGAGGAAGAAGATAACCAGGAAGTACAGAGGAGCACATGCGAGGGCTGCAAGAAAAGAACGCTGTCAGCGGATCGCCACCTCGGCACAACGATGACTCAAAAGGAGTTCAGACCAAGAAAGCCGAACAGCCACCTCCATAGTGATTCCGTAGCAAACTGGCCACCGATCAAGGGACCAAGGATAGGCCCTAGTTGAGGGCCCAGCAGGAAGATGGCAAGAGCTGAAGCTCGTTTCGCAGGCTCGATTATATCTGCAACTGTCCCTGCACCTACAGAGGTGACAATACACGAGCCGAACGCCTGAAATATCCGGAGCACGAACAGTCCCCCCACGGTCGCCGGGAGGGATGCAAGAAGGATATTCGCAATCAAGAAACTCCCAAGGGCAAACATATACACGGTCTTGCGCCCTCCGTAGTCGGCGGCAGCAGCACCGAAGAGCGGCTGGAGTGGGGGATAGCCATGGGTCAGCGCACGTTCGCAAAGGCCGCCCTCTCTGCGTCTTCAACCGGGGGATGACAGGGGGGAGGGGAATAAGGGTATTATCTAACCGCGATGGCGAACACTGCCATGTACACTGATACGGATGCATTGATCACCGTGACTGACGTATTGAATACGTCCTGGAAGAGGACCAGGGAAGGCAGGTATACGGCGCCGCAGAGCGGACCGAAGAAGCCGACAGCGGTGACAATAGCAAGAATAAACTGCTTTCGTGCAGGTGGGAAGGCAGAATACGGTGCGGGTGCGGGAGGAGGCGGACTGGGAGGAGCAGACAAAGAAGCGGGAGTCGAACCGTCCGACGGCACGGACTTTGCCTCTTCGGTGGTGGTTGAGCCCATGGTTTTTGAGGTAGCTCGACGCTCACTCGGATGATCTGATCGCCGGGGGGGGGGGGGGAGGGCAAAGCTCAGATGGCAGGACGATTGGCGCTCATGCAGCTGGCGCGAGCGCTGATTGAAATCAGGACGGAAGAGCGAGGGTGGGAAGTATTCATGGACTTCCCAGGCAAAACCAAAGCGAAGACAGTCGAGGGGAGTCTGTCGTCCCCTTCTTTCGTCGCGTCAGGGATTCAATAAAAAAAAAGACACAAAAACGAAGAGGAAAGACGATCTCGAAAGGTATTTGCAATACGCTATCTATAGAAGTTCTCGTGCATAATGTAACCCGCGCCCTGCTGGTTTGCATCCGTTAAGGCGGAGCAAAGACAAAACTCAAAAACGCTAAAACTGACAAAGAGCATAATCGAGAGAACCAGAGAGAAAATGAGAAGGAAAAAGCAAGTTTCTCTTCCGCGGCGGGAAAACACCATGATCCCTGCCCTGCCCTGCCCCGGTTCCCATTGCGCAGGCGACCATGGACATAAGAATTTTCTGTTCCCTTTTTTCTCTCCACTCGGGATACGAACTGAGAGCGTCTCGGTGCACGGGAGGGCAGGCCAGCCTTTGCCCAAAAAAACAAAAAAAACAAAGAAAAAAAAAAAAAGAGATCCCCACCGCACCTGCGAGCAGGATCGCCAAGGGGGTTTGGCCGTCGCCAAGGGCGAAATTCGAATCGTATTATTCCCGGGCTGGAGTGGGATCTGCGCATCTCGAAATTGTCACGGGCCGGTCGAGATGCAGGTGTCAAAAACATGGTTTGCGCGCACAAAGGCCGCAAAATACGGCAGATGGAGCACCAGCACCCCTGGCCGTCTGCGGACGGAACCTTGAGCACGCTAGCAAGGATGTTCTCCGTAGCGTGGAGGATCTGCAGAGCAGTATGGATGTTTGTACTCCGCATGCACATATGTACAACGACAAGAAAGGCTCTGAGAAGCTGAAGCTCTGGGGCTGGTTGGTGTTGGGGAAAAAAAAAAAAAAAAAAAAAAGGCAAAAATGCAGCGAATCCCACTCGTCGATTAAAAGTTGGTGTGCGCAACGCCGGCAAAGTTAACTGCAGGCCACCATGTCTTAGCCTTCTCTACAGGGCTGATGTGGCACAAAGACTATCGAAAGACGCATATGTATTTGGGTTGGCGTGCAGAACGACGACAGCCTTGTCCGTCTGTCGTATGTACAGAGATATGGATAAAAATAACTATGCATTGACAAACTACGATTACAGTCCTGCTACGACCGTTGGGCGTATCTTCTCGACTTCAACCCGCAGGTTTCTCGGGTAAAGAGGGCCAGCCTGTAGACGCTCGTGTTAGTTCTCGTCCATTGCATCATGATTTTGATTCAGGCCGCTCACTGGTGTCATTCTACGAGGCCAGGTCGGATCGATCTTCCACCTTAGCGACCGCAGTATCTCTGCCATTGCGATCCTGGCTTCAAACATGGCAAACTTCTGGCCAAGGCATGCCCTGCGACCCCCGTGAAACGAGATGAAGGCTCCCTTGGCGTTCGCTTTTCTGAACGTCACATTGATCTCATCGACTGTGCGACCCCAGCGCTCGGGTTTGAACTCATCGGCGTCGGCGCCCCAGGATTGCTTGTCTCGATTGGTCGCATACGCATTGTAGCCGATGTACGTGCCAGCCGGAAGAGGGATTTTGCCTCCCAGAAGAACAGGCTTGGTCGTACGACGGTTAATCAGCTGGGAGATCGGAGGATACATCCGCAGGGTCTCGTATATGACTGACGTCAAGAACGGAGCCGATTGGAGAACAGAATACGGCAGCTCGTCTTCGCCAAGCGAGAGTACCTCCTCGCGAACTCTTTCCTGGATTTCCTAAAAATAAAAATAATAATCATGAAAAAACTCAGTCACCGCAGTGCAGACGGGGAACGCAAGGCGAGAAGACAACCACGTATCGATTCGCTTACCTGATGCTCACCAAGCAGGAACATCATCGAGACGAGCAGCAGCTGTGGATTCTCGTGGCCGGCCAGAAAGACGCTAACCATGTTGTTCCTGAACTGCTTCTCGCTAAGAATTCCCTGCTCAAAGGCCCCAATGACACTGCATCCAACGTTCGAAGTCGACTTGTCCGTATGGGCGTGTTGGTGGCCCCGCTGTACCGTTTGACATAGTTCATTGGCGAACTGTCTTGCCAGCCGGCGGGCTCTCTGGCGGCTGGGAAAGTTAAAATGGTCCAAGAATGGAAAATTCAAAAAGACAGGATCGAAAATCAGAGGCTTGAGCATCATCTGAAATTTGTGGAGAGCCGCATCCTTTTGTTGTAAAGTCTAAGCATGCAAAAAGGGTCAGGCGCTGGTTTGACACGTAAAGGGTTGGGCAGAAGTCTAGAACTTTTCGGTTGGCAATCTTTTTTTTTTTTTTTTTTCTTCTCCTTCTTACCTGGAAGCTTGTCCCCAGAAGCCCTTCCGACAAGTTGGCTAGGGTAAACCGTTGGAGGAGCTGAGGCAGCAGAACGGAGCCATGTGGGGATGTCTTCTGCTCCTCCAACAGCAGGCTGATCAGAAGTCGGGAGTTCCGCCAAATCGGACCGGGGTCCTGATCCTGTTGAAGGGGCGGCTGAAGGATCGACCTGTAAAGTTTCCAATTTTCGCCGTGGGAGCTGATGATGTTGTCGCCAGTGTACTCTGCTAGCACACTGTACGGGATCTTCTTCTGGTTTCCGCTCTTTGCATATGTGTCTTCGTACTTGAATACCTCGGCAATGTAGGATGGACGCTGCACAAGGATGTTCCACCGGCCGCCAAAGAAGATCTTTGCAGCTCCGTGTTGCTCGAAGAGCGGCTCCAGATAGGTGTGGTAGAGCGCTTCCTGGTCGCCGTCCTTGACCAGAGGCAGCAGCGCATAGTAGAAGGGTATAGCGGGTATATTCCGGGGGAAACTGGCAGGGGGAATGAAGAAGTACACAAGAGCAAGGAAGAGAATGACGGTAATTGCTGCAACCGCCACCAGGGTCGCGGATGACAGAGAGGAGAGGAGCCCGGCCATGGTCTTTTTTTTTTTTTGGTTGTTGTTGTTGGGTGGCCCCGGCTTGTGCTGCTTTTAGGATCTGCGAGAAAAAGAGCGAGGGGGAGAGAGAGAGAGAGAGAGAGACTGTGCAACAGGAACGTCAAATATGCTCTCTTCTCCAAACACCGGGTTCGGCGTCAATCAAACCGCTCCCATAAGAATATCTCGAATCTGGGACACGGGGAAATAGCCTGAAAAAGCGAGGATGGAAAGGCTGGCAACGGGTCGGTCTCCAACTTAATCAGCCTTCCGCGAGTTAGCCTGTATGAATGATACGGAGTCTCACAGCCACCGGCGGTCCCAATACCAACAAACCCCCACACACCGGGGCAAAGCTAGGCATAGCCTTGAATATTGTATCGAACCCGGTGTCGACAAGAATCTGAGGGAGACCTGGCTCCAATACGAGGTAGGATTGGCTTCATGCAGCCTTCGGAAGGCTGTGAAGCAGGCTCCATCGAGATGTGGTCCGGTGCAGCAGTTGATCCTTGGCCTGGGTGCCGGTACAAGAATAGATCCCGAAACATGAACGAGATGTTTCCAGTGGTTATATCTCCAGGGCCCTGGGGTGCTTTAAATTGAGCAGATTAATACCCTACAGCACATCCAGGTCAACGCGTGGCCGTCCCCAAAGCTTCATATCCCTTTTTTTGTTGCAAAAGGATACCGCGAGCACTCCTTTCCACACTCTTCATCTGCATCTCCTTTTTGCATCTAGAACAACAAGTTGGTTGGTTATTACGCGCACTGCCAACATTTGAACACAATACCCATCCTCCCAACACACACACACCCCCCTCTTTTTCTTTGTGAAGATCCTACAATGCCTACTCTCAACAAAGGAAGCTCGGTATACCATTCGACGTACGCCCTGTATTGGCGTGACTCGAATGGCAAACTGTTGGCGGTTGAAGGCAACGGCTCCAAAGAGGTTCGCCAGGCATGGCCACAACTATGGGAGGGACTATCCGCAAGCACCACAGACCGAACGACGACAAAGCTACCGTCCGGCAGACAGATCGACCGCTTCAAAATCGAGTTGGGCTTGCCTATCCTTTCCGACGGTGGACGCCTGGAGTCCGGGGGCCAAACAACACAGATTCGAGAACTCCAGAGAAGTAACGGCCTCACCCTTGGACATGTTTCATCAGAGCAAGGAAACAACTCCACAAACGCAGATCTCCATACATGGTTTGAGGAATTCCTGCTGCTGCGCACCGAATTCACACCGTTCAACGCCATATCGGAATCCAATTGCGAGGCACGACGCATCTCTGTGCAGATATCCGATCTATTTGACGCAAAACTCAGAAACTGTCCCCCCAATGACCAGTGGAGCTCTGGTGGGGGGCGCGAGTATTTTTTGAACCGAGTATATGGGTTCGTCGACAAGGGTCTGCCTGTCATTTTCTGCTTGCCGGCCTTTCCCTGCAAGTCTTCAAACCCACAGAAGGTCGGGGGCACGTATCCTGACGCAGCAGAGTATTATGCCCTGGTGACGATGCTTGAGTTCCTCAGAGCAGTTTCTGCCATTTACAAGCCGGGAGCTATTCTGTGGCTTATCAGTGACGGCCATGTATTTTCCGACTGCAGTAAGTAGAGTAGGTGTGGGAGAAAGAGAAAAAAGAGAGCTAACGTGATTGGTGAACAGTTGGTGTCGACGACATCAAAGTGGACGAGTATAAGGATCAACTAATGGAAATGTATCACGAGATATGTCCCGATGAGAAGAGCCGTGGGTTCATTCGATTCATGGGACTGAAGGACATCTTCCTCTCCGATCCCGACTTGACAAATCGATTGTCGCCGGCATGGATGGAGACGGTGGCCTTGGCACACCCTGTTGAAACCGTGCTCACAGACGACGCAGAACTTTGCCGGAAGCTGATGACGGATATGTGTGAGCCGGATCGAGATTACCTGCGCAAGCTCATACAGGACCAAGAACCGCATGCACTCCAGCTATACAGGGGTCTTTCGCGGTTCATGCTGGGTGACCTCGGCAGCCACAAGGCACTCACTTCGTTGAGCACGAAACAGCAAAAGAAGCTTTCCAGTAGCGTTGCGACCGAAATGATCCTTGTAAGCCCCCCAACCAAATGTCTATCTCAATAATGCAGTGCATAACTAACCTGTTGGGAAGCGGAATCAAGCATACTCAAATCTAGTCGAGCTGCTATTCCCCAACTATGTCCGACTGTCCATCCATGCGTATGTTTTATGGCGCCATTTCCTTTGTTTTTTTCTTATTTACTTTCTTCTTTGCCCCAGAGCTGATACCCTTGTACAGTCACGATAACCGAGGACCCAAGTTCGGTATCAATCTTTTCCCCAAGACGATGATACGGTCGATCCGTTCCCTAGAGACGCGGCATGAGACTCACTCGTCGTACGACTTCCACTTACCAACGCCGTGGCATAATTCGATCATCAAGGTCAATGGCGACGAGTACATGTACGTGGGCAGAGCAGACATTGCGCACGCCGGCTTTGACAGCCCTCAGTTTAGCGGCTCGTGGGTGTCTGGGCCGAACGGGGGACACTTTTCGATAAGCAGCAAGGAGCAGCCTGTGGCAGAGAAGCCAGCCCAGGAAGTATATCCCAAGTCCGGTTTGTTTATGTTTATCCAGTGGGTATGGTTCGGTATCACCAAGCCCTTTTGGACTCTCTGGCAGTGAGCATGAATTTGACGAATTAACGACGACAACGCGGGTGGATGTAAATATGGATGTGAACAGGACAAACAGACCCAAGACATACATAGAGAGGTTATCTGGAGATATAGTTATGTAGATCGACCCCAAAAAATAAATATATATTTAGCAACTCTTTTTTTTCTTGAGCAAATCCGCGCAAATCACCGCAATGAGGGGGTGTTCGTATGCGCTGACCCATGTCCTGTTGTTCTCGAAGACGGTCGAAATGCACGCAAATCCGCGCCATCGAACGCGGCAAGGCGGCCCATGCAGCCAACGGCGTTCGCTCCCACGGAACGGCCGGCCAACCCGCGGAATCTACCCGAAAACTTGCGTTGGTGAAGAAAAAAGTAAAAAAGAGCTAAGACGCCGAGAGCGGGCCAGTTAGTTGACTAAATAGTTAGTTATATCTGGACCACAACGTCTAGTTATTTGGGACCCCGCTGGTTCTTCACATCCGAAGAAATCTTGGGGATGTTGGTAGGAGTGAGCTCCCTTCCATCCCTTCGCATCGACGGCCATGGAGCGGCCAATTTGAAGACATGAAACAAGACAAAGAAGCCCCATGAAAGCTCAAGGACTCTCTCGTGAGCAAGCGTCCAGATGGCACAGCAGCTTGTTTGCGCGCCCGAGAAGGAAGAGGTGAACTGACACAGGATCGGATCGCTTAAAAAAAGGGGCCATCGCGGCCATCGAGCCAGCAAAGCCACCGCCGGAAAAGCACGGCATGATCCTCTTCCGGGCGTTCCAGCTCCTCGACGTGTTGCAGACGCTGTCGCGGCGCCATGAACTGCACCTCCACCTGCTCTCCGACACCCTCGAGCCGATAACGTCGCAGCCCAAGACGCCCGGCCATGAATCCCAAGGACTCCTCTTTTTTTCCCCGCTGTGCTCCCCACGCACACCTACGACGACGCCCTCGTCGACCTCGACGTCCTCCTCGTCCCGGGCGGCCTGGGATTGCGATCTCCCCATCTCAACGCGGCAATCGCGTTCATCGCCAAGGCGTACCCGCGGCTGGACTACTTCGTGGCGATCTGCAACGGCGTAGGGCTAGCGGCCAAAGCAGGCGTCCTGGACGGGAAGAGAGCGACGACAAACAAAGCGTCGTGGGAGAGAATCGTTCCTTCGGGGCCCAGGGTCAAGTGGGAGCGTCGTGCGCGGCGGACGGCAAGGTGTGGACGTCGTCGGGCGTCACGGCCGGGCTGGACATGACGCTGGCGTTCGTCCAGCATGTCTAAGTACGGTGAGGAAGAGGCGAATAGAAATTGCGAATTCACTGGAATATGAGTGGAACACTGAACCGGACGGAGATCCGTTCGTCGATGTCTTCAAAGAGGCAGCATGACGAGCCGAGCGGCCACACGGTTGTCATGGTTTCTTTTTCTTTTTCTTTCTTTCTTTCTTTTTTTTTTTTGGCCCGTTTCGCGTTCTAAGTTAACGCTGCTGCTTGCGAGCCATGTCTCCTCTCTACTGGCAACTCTAACCATGCATATTACCTACATATTAAGAAGCTTTTATTGCACAAGGCCTTCCATGGTTTCTTCCCGATAAAGCTTTGAGAGATTGGCTACATAGAACCTGACTAACCAGTGGATACCGCGATTAGGCACATCAAACTACTGTTATCCAAAACGAAGGGCCGTGATGTCAAAATGCGATCACGCTTCAATATTCGGCCATCCTGACAATGCAGTGCTTCCATCGGGCCGTTACGATGAGGTGGCTGCTTGTATATAGGCACCACCATCCTTCTTGTGCTGCTTCCTCCTTTTGTCTTTTCTCTCTCTCTATCTATGTTGTGTCTCCTCTAGCCGCTCAAAATCGCTGCGGTCTTCACTATGATTCCTCCGGCTGAAGCCCTAGGCCTACTTTCATGGCTTCCGTATGAAATTCGAGAGCAGATCTGGCTGGAGTTCCTCCCAGCCGGAGCCGATCCGGAAAAGACTGACCTTCGCATATTGCGCACCACTCGTTATCTCTACAACGAAATTTCGGAAATATTCTTTTTACACTCTCGCCTAGAATTCATCCTTAGCCCCAGGCAGACTCTCAGAGATTCAGGACTGACGGTCCTTTTCTACAGGCAGAAGAGCTTTAGGGACACTCGCCCCGTCTGGGAACCGGCACGATGGGACCTAGAGACCATGGCCGATATCAGAGATCGTGGTTTTTACAACGTTCCTTTCCACAAAATTCCCAAGGTCGTAGTGAGCATCGCGGCGCCAAACTACCACGAAGGGTGTCAACTCTACTCGCTCTGGCAGAAAGCCAGAATCCTGGCTGACCTGCTGAGAATGGGATCCATAATTGAGAAGCTGGAGATCCGGCTACAGCCACGAGGGCTTTTCGATTGGGGAATGTGGTGCTGGGCCAGTTCGACCGGTCGCTATGATCATGACGTCGTCGTGATGCCGTTTTGCGCCTTACCAAACCTTCTGTCTCTCGAGATTAAGCACGATCCCCTAACCGACAACAGAGCACTCGACTGGGAAACTATGAACTGGGCGATGGGGCGCCCTTTGCCCGACATTGACGGCCGCATGGCCGAGGACTACTTCTGGATGCATTGTGAACTGCTGAAATGGATCCACGGCCCGGTTGCAGATGTCCAGCGACGAGACTTTTTCGCCCACTGGTTCCTACAGGGACGGAGCGGCTATTCGCCCTTCGAAAGTGAGGTTGCTCGAATTGTCAGCGCGTATCCCGAGATCATCAGAGTCCACAACTTCGACATGGATATCATCCACGAGGCGCACCAGACCATGGTGTGCCTATATTATCATTGCCGAAAAAGGGCCCAGGCAAGGCTCGGGGGCGATAGCACTTGGATTTTCCCGGAACCGGACATGACGACCTGGGATCCACAATTGTGGTATCTATGTTTTCCACGTGGGATACCGAGATCTACCTCGAGACGATACAGAGACGACATCAAGCCGCTAGTGGGGTGTTATCTGCCGAATGCGTACAAACGCATTGTGAGAGCGGGAGGCTTGTTTTCTACGATGCCATTCTTGATCGAGAGATGGTTCCTACTGGAATGCTCTACATCTCCCGCAATGAGAGCCCTTGCCGCCCAGGTGGAAGCAATGCGCCTTGGTTGAACTTCGTCGCTGGCCCGAGTCACTTAATTGGAATAGCACTTCGTTTTTCCAAAAAGTTCATCATTTCTCTCCCTCTCACCCTTTCTCTCCCTTTTCTTTTCTTCTCTTTTTTTTCCTTTTTTTTTTCTCCCTCTTTTTTTAGCGTGCTTATATCCTTGATGTATGATTTTAATCCTACTACTTGGAAATTGCCAGTGGGATAATCTACCAATAATTATTCCATAATGGCCATTTTCTAGCTTATGCTATCAAGGACGGGCCAATTCTTCCTTATGGCTGGCTTCCTCCGCTCCCTCCACACATGCCCATATCAGCCTAAGTGCCCAGTAATAACTATAGGCTGCGTTTCTATATTGTGAATTTCCATCTCTCCTTTTCCCCTCCAGAAAGACTGACAATATTTTCACATCACACCTATCGAGCTTGTGAGGTGAAAATGAGGCATATACAGAGTATACGCACCTGATCCTGAGGTGTGCTCGGTGCAATCTATCATGATCGTACCATGTCGACGTGAAGGAACAGCGAATGACCAAACAGAGCAAAAAATAAAATGAGTACCGAAGCTTCATATACACACTAGTGTCTTTGTAGCAGCAGCAGTAGTAGTAGTAGTAGTAGTAGTAGCCTTGTACGACTCATTCTTGGTCCTCCAACGGAGTATGAGCGTTTTCTGAGAAACGTCATCTGACCCAACTCCTCACCAAACCTTGATTGCATCACGCGAAGAACAATCATCACTCCTTGGGGAGTTCAACATGCCGCTTCGATCGCCTACACCCACCAAGGCCAGGGACAGAGAGCTCCTCTAACAGAGCTGGCTTAGACAGTAATCTGTATATAAGCCCTGATAGTTATTATCACTTTTTAAACGATGCACATCTATGGGGTTGAAGGCCCACGTATCTCCCCAGAATATAGAGTCTGGGAGACTTGGATAGCAAAATCGAATGTGACTATATATACATGTCTGTGTGAAGGCAGCTAGCTGGCGCGCATTTACCTCAACCTCTCGTTGACAAATTGCTTCGCGGCCTCGAGGTACTTGGGGATATATCCACGATGCACATGGAGGCTGTCTCCACTGTCGCAAAAGATATCCCGCGTGTCGCAGTATGACTGCAGGTTAGCTGCGTAGTGTTCGCAGGACTGTGACTGCAGACGTGGGAAGATCTGATTAAGGGAAAAGGAAAAGAAAAAGAAAGAAAGAGATTAGCTTATTTTCTGCCAAAAGCCCTATCATCTTTTATAATTAGGAAGATATATGTTGGTGATACATACCCCGTCTCTCACAGAGGTGCCCCTATTGTATGTATCATTCCCTCGGTGACGCGGGTCGCCGAGCCAAACGATGGCGGATACTAAACTCAGCGTAAGTAAACGGGTGACCCGTTTAACCAGGTGATGCCGGGGGGAGGATATGTAACTTACCGTGGTCTCCGATAGTCGTTGAGATGGGGTCGGTGATGGGACCGATCCCGGGCAGGCCTCCTCCACCGCAGAGGCTGTCTCCGATCACATGGGAGCCCTGGGAGAAGCCCAGCAGCACGATCTTCGATTTAGGGCATCGCTCCACGTACGCAGTAAGCTGGGCGGTCACGGCCAAGGTCCCGTTGTGAGAGCTTTCAGCGTAGGGGAATATAAGTGCGGGCCAGACGATCGGCTCGCGTGTACTGCCTGGGTGATCGGCTACGATAGCGTCCACGAGCGGAGCGAGAGTTGGTCCTTCGCCCGGCGGCTGGTTGCTGCCACGTGCGCTCATGATATGAACCGGTGCACAATCATTCTGGGTTTCCGCCGGGGCGGGACGGGCAAGGCACAGTGCGCCGTGCAGCGCTAGGGTGGCGATTGCACTTAAGAGGAGCATAGCGTCCGTGGAACGACGCGCGCAGAGTGTAAGTCAAGAAAGATCTGAAGGATGTGTGAGTGTGAGAGTGTGAGTGTGAGAGAGAAAAAAAAGAGAGAGAGAGTAGAGCCTGGGTCCAGCAGGGATTATGAGCACTATAAGAGATGCAGCTGGTAGACACAGGAGAACTCCATCCTCGACGGCGCCGGGATGTCCCCTTATTTTTATTTTATGCTGGCTCTGGATGGAGATGGTATTGCTGGCTGAGATTTTTGGTCGAGAGATGATATCACATGTTTTACATGCGCCAAATGTAACATCAGTTCCAGAAGAAGCGCAAGGGCGATCAACTCTTTGACTGAACTGTGACCCAAATGCTGGAGTAAATCTGCGTCCTCGACGCCGCGCAGGACCATGGGCACGAACAGGGTGCAACCTTGACCTCTCTGGAGGTGAAGTGAAGAAGAGCCAGAGGACCGGACCGCTTCAAGCACCCACCGGCCGAGGCGTGAAGAAACCAAAGACGTTCATACATACTTTGGCTGAGAGGGGAGAGCCAGGTCCGGGTGGGGAGATCTGCAGCGTTGATACAAGCAGACGGAGGCATCGACGCAGCAAAGCAACAAGGCGAACCCTGGTTGGTGACGCCGCCCGGAAGTAAAGCGACCTTGAAGCGTTGCTGCGAGGTGCCTGTCTGTGCACGTGGTTTTGACGAAGCCACCTAAATGAGACGCTGTCCAAAACACTTTTACATACAGTAGCTATACTGTACGCCGCCGAGAGAGACGCGGTCGAAATTAACTTACGGAGTAGACGCCGACCACTTCGTAGTTACCGCCATGTTTTAGTTACAGTACAACCCCACGGAGAGGGGGTCACCCGCCACATGGCGCTGTCTTTGAACTTGAGGCGCGCTCAAGCCACCTTTCAGCCACCTTTTTCTTTTTCTTTTTCTTTTTTTTTTCGTTTCTTTTTTTTTTTTTTTAATTTTTTTTAAATTTTTTTTAAATTTATGGGTAACTAGCCCAGCGGGAGTAGACAGACACGGGAGTAGACAGACAGGATAGTTACTGAATGGCTGAATGGTTGGTCAGAAGGCCTCCAGGCAACTCGAAATCCAGCTCTCTCGCAAGTCCTTCCAAATGACCTGATGGAAGGCTTGTGGCTGATCCCTAACTGGGCTAATTGGTTAGTTGATGGGTTCACAAGGTTGGGAATTGGCAAAAGCGTGGGATTCTGGTGCAGAAGTGTTCGATCGCTCCATCCGCCTGATGTACCACCCCCCCGGGGGTCATCTGCGCATTCTAAACCGGTGAGATGTGTAGCTCCTTGTCCATTCATGCAGCTGCTGTGCAAAAGCAAAGATAACCAGCGGACCAAAAAAAAAAAAAAAAAAAAAAGGAAAAAAAAAAAAGGAAAATAAAAATAAAAATAAAAATAAAAAAGGACCGTGTTGTTGCATGTGCAGATTTGGGGGATATGCTGTATCATGTGGGGTTTCCACGAAATTATCTGGGGAAATGTTATTACGCCTCGCAATGCCTCTTTCAGACATGTTTTTCTAACGAGGGTGGGGCTTTTAAGTTCAACAACAAGTGTATTGGAGCTTCGCATGTGTAAATAGGACCTACTATACCGTTTTTGGTTCTACGAAACTCATCCTCCGCACGGAGATTTCGATGCTGGTCGAGTGGAGAAGATGGTCTCAGCCTCCCCCTCACAACGATCCCGCCGAAGCAGCGGGAGGGTGACCGTCGGGGTGTGCTTTCGGGCGGATTCCCCCTCTTCATCACTGACCACACGGACCACAAGCCGAGATGGGGTCGCAGGGAAAAGAGAGAACCGGCCGATACGAAGCTCTGCAGCATGCTTGGGTGATTGGATACTGGTGGATGGCGACCTACGTCTCTCTCTCCTCCACATCTTTGGTTCCTTCGTTCGATCATCTCTTGCATCTCGTCATTTTTCCGAATTCGCTCCCCCGTGAAAATTCCCCTGTGACCGATGGGAACCGACTTGTGGAGCACAGTACTCTCCAAAGGAAATCTTAAGCCAGGACATCGGAAACGTCACAGCGCTGCAGGCAAAAATCCCCTTGTTACGTCCCACTCGCCGACACGAACACGCAAGTCAGATCTGCAGATGGGCCTACTGGCGATTTGGCAGGTTGAAGACGGCCAAAATGTCGGGTGGTTGAAATCCAACATTGGCGTGCACTGCCACAATAGAGACCTGACAGGATCGCTGACAGCGGGGTGTCGGAAACACTGCATATCCATGTTGATGGGTGCGGATCTGGCGGGGAGATCTGCAGATCCACTCCTTTAATTCCTCGTCAGCCCTCCCTCCATCAACCGAGCAGTATAAGTAGTTGGAGATTTCTGCGTCTCCAACCTTGTAAGCTTCTGGAGAAAAAACTGCTTTTTAGCGAAACGCACAACAAGAAGAAGTACGCGCCCAAAAGCAATAATGAAGAGTCTGTTCCTCTGTAATTCTGGCTCCTTATAAACACACCTCTTTTCCTACTCAGAACTGAGTTGAGGCCAAAAAGCTGGCCATCAAAGCCTGCTCCTTCGAGGCACAGCAGCAGCAGCATCACTTGTGTTTGTTTGTTTTTGCGTGTGTGTGTGTGTGTGTGTGTGTGTGTGTGTGTGTGTGTCTGCCTCCCGATCTAGAATGATGGAAGGAAATTTCCTTCATTGCCCTGGAAAGAACTATCCGGAATCTCAAGACTGGAGTTTGTGTGGTTATTGGTCCAGGAGTGACCCACGACTATGACGGGTTCTCAGAGTGTGTTTTGTTTACCAAACGTTCCTCCACGGCAACACGTCCGTCTGCCTGGTGATATTTCAAACATACCTTGAAGGAGTTCTCTTCTTTCTTGTGTTCTTTCTTGTTTCTTTGAAACTGTCGACCACACCTGGAGATTGGCCGGTGTAGTGCCTGCAACAGCGTCTTCTCGACTTCAGCGAAATGGCACAAAGAGTACTCCGTCCGGCGAGGGAAAACCGCATGCATCAAGCGGTTCGATCTGTCTTTATCAAGTGGCTGTCTGAGCTGGGTGACTGGCTGATGGATTATAGCCTGGTTGTCGATGAAGGTCAGGCATCAAGCGGCATCTCGTTCGCAGTACATAACCCCGTTGTCTCGACTAACCAGGACCGTTGACTAGAGATGTTTATCAATGGGTCGTTCCATGACGTTGAACTCGGCCTTCTTCCCATCGGTTCTCTCACCCCCCTTTGCGTGGTCAAAATCGCGTTTAACGAGCCAAGGGAGAAGTGGCGACAGGATACGGCAGGATTGGTTTGCGGAGCCGAAAACGAGTGCAGAATTCTTGTTGTCGTGGAAATCTGTGAAGAGCCAGATGAGAACAGGCCACCCCCGCCGGAAAAGGAATTGTGGAGCTCTCTTCCCTTCATGCACAGACACAACGTCGGCCAATTGGCAGCGACCATCCAGGCGTTTTGCATACGCAAGGAATACTACCTCAGCGGCCGCTTCACGTGCAAGGTTCACCTACAATGTTTGCGTTGGCACGAGCCAGAGCTGCTGTGGGAGTGCGAGATGACTAGGGACGAGGTCATTTCGCACACCGAAGAAGATGAAGACATGTACCCCAACTGGCGAAATATCCTTTTGCCCGAGTGGGATGTGAAAGGCGAGGATATCCTGCTCCCGTTTGAAGAGCTGTTGGAAGCCATGTGGGATTGCATCGAAGGGTACGACAACATGGTCGCGTTGCGGATGGCTGGGGTCAGGAAAGGAGCGTTGGAACCAGCAGTGGAGGAGTGCCAGGACTGCAGGCTCTGCGAGCGCCACATCGAGCCTCTTAACCGGCTCCAGAACATGTATAAGAGAGAGGCCGCGGCGAAACAAGCGGAAGAGATGAAGCGCAAGGCTGAAAAAGCCAGAAAGGACAAAGCAAGGTTGCTCTGGAAAAGACCCAAAAGGAGCGATACCGTTACACGACAGCAGCGGGATGTGGCCGAGCCGCTGTGTCAAGATGAGAATGGACAGCACAGTGTGGAAGAAATGAGCGTCGCAGGGGTGGATGATATTGATGAGGATACGGAAGAGGACGAGACTGGAGGAGACGAAGGGAGTGAATACGAAGATGATGGTGACCAAGACACGGATATGAGTTCAGATTAGAGTTGCAGGCTGACGCTGAGGAGGTGACACCGGCTTTCTATCGCCCTGCATCCTGGCTTCGTGAGCCATAATTCGTGCACTATCACTCGTTGTTCGCATATTATCTTTGTGAGGGGGGACGAGGCTATTCAGAGGTAATTCGTGATTTGACCGCAAAGTTGATTCTCGTCTGGTGGACGCAGAAGATCTTACTGCCCTTGCCCTTGACCTTGCTGCTGCGTGTAATTAATTAATTTCTAGACGGACGGAATGCATCCTGATTCCTTTGCAAGTTCATATCGGAGGCCTTTTCGCCGTTCCCCTTTTTTCTCTCGCTATTTGACTAGCGTGCAGCTGTGGAGCGCGGCTCAAATGAGGATGGACAATGCGTTTGCACCTTTTATTTCAAATTTGTTGATTATGTAACACACTCCAGCCAATCATGGAAACGCGGGGGACAGGGCACACTAAGCCCAATGCGGGCGAGGCACGGCTTGTTTTGTGTTTCACACTTTCGGAGGCTTTGATCCAGTGTCGATCGCTGCGCTGGTCGCTACGGATCGGCAGGGAAACAGGCAGGGGAGAGGTGTTTTTAGGGGCCATTTTTCCTGTCACGGCAGAGCTGGCGCCGTGAGAATGGACGCGATCAAGCCTCCAGAATACCTTGATACCCGACTGACCACTGGGCGACGCTTCTCCTGTTTGGGTGTGCTGAAAGCTTAATGCACAGCCGTGTCGTGTGCACATCACAGCGCCAGGCTGCGAGTGTCTGTCAGTTCATTCGCAAATTCCTGCCAGTCAATGCATTCCTGGAGAAGAGAGGCTCTCGTATCCCATGCAAGCAGATTATGAAAACTTCTTTTTTCGATTCCGCACCGCTGGGTTGATTGGCTATAGCAATACGAGTTGCTGCCATTTCCATCTCCCAGGCGATGCCAGCCAGTTCCGTGTGATTTGCTAATTATAGCGTGTTTGCTCCGTGGCGTGGGGCCATGGGACCGGCCGACTTGATCTGCGTTCAACACGAGCTCAACTTCAGCTGGAATGTGCATCTTCTGGTTCTGATGAGCTCGAGGCGAGTTTGGGTGAGCGCTGAGAAAGATATAAAGGCGAACGGTTCCCGCCCTCGATTCAAGATTGTCCTTCAATCTCACAGACCACGAGAACTACGAGAACGAATAACAAAAAGAAGAACCGAATCTTCCAAACCAACACCGCAAACATGAAGGTAAACATACCCAGCGACACCAGTCTCTCCGTCTTTTGTGCTCGTCAACTCTAACATGTCGGGCAGTACACTACCCTCCTTGCTGCTGTCGCTCTTGTCCCGGCTGCCCTCGCCGCTGCCGTCGACGGTGCCGCTCCTGCTCCTGTAAGCTGAAGGCGTTTCCCTGATTGTGAGTAACCTGGCGTGCTAATATCGTTTCCCAGCTTGCCGAGAGAGCCTGCGTCCCCAGCAAGTGCCGCTGCATTGGAGGCCAAGGCCAGTTCTGCGGCAACGAGGCCATCAACCACCACTGCAAGAACGGTCACGTCTATGAGTGCAACCGCCACACCGGCAAGACCTGCGACTATGGATACAGAAAGTCCTGTGGCCAGTGCGGCAAGCTCAGTTGCTAAGCGGTGGATTGGATAATTCTTCAATATTGTCATTTAATATACGGTTTAATTCTCCGTATGGAGTACACATACATGTGAAATCAAATTTACTTTTTGGTGGATTGACGTCCTCTTTATATCCGGTTCATAGCATCGTAGCCACACTCATGTTGCCCTGGAGAGCAGCCAGGTTTCCCGACGCCCATTTATTTGACAAGTACGGAGTATTCAACGAGGTCTCCTGAGTGCCAGGGGTCGTTTGCATCCCGTCGTCCTTGTCTGCAGCCCAGCCGCTGGAGAGAGTTGGCTTGCCGTGTGATGTCATCGGCTCTCGCTGCCGGCGGACCGGAAGAACAACCAACCGACGGCCGGGTACCTTCGGGGGCGGTGAGGCATGTCGACACCGCCGAAAACGTCGCGTGAATGGCCCTTTGAAACTCTGCGCTTTCGTATGCGCAAGTCCTCCTGAGAATAAAGATCTGTGGCTGTTGGGGAAAAGATGACTCTATTCGCGTTCTTGCCCCTGGGCGTGCATTCTACGTTTTACGTGTTTCGGCTCGGAGTCAATGCATGATGTGCTAAGCCGAACACGCCAGTCGCCCTGGGCAGCACATCTATCCTCAATTAAAATTCTTTCTTTTTCGCGAAAGGGCCTTGTTTCTGCTCACTATTTTGCTCAGCAATACCTTCTTGAATTGTCTAGTGGGTTTTGCCGTGAATCAAGCTCACCCCTGGTGATTGAGAGCCTTAAGAGCGAACAGTAGCCCCTAACTTCACTTCTCTGCTAGGTCCAATATCTTCCGTGAGCCGGAAAAAAGGAAAAGGAAAAAAAAAAGAAAAAAACATGGTTTCACCTTTGGCATCGAGCGAAGCACGGGGCGCTGAGAGAGCTATCCGCTATAGCCGCTTTTTCCGACTCCCGATTGAGCTCCGGGAGATGATATACATCCACCTCTTCGAAAGAGGGAGGGTTCATGTGTGGTATTTTGGCAGCGAACAGTCAAAGGCATACAGGCAGGGCTGGTGGCATACAATTTGTCATCGCCCGACTTATTATGGGAATGATCGGTGCAGGACCCACCCTACAGCGGCGGATAGGAGCTGTCTCACGCCGGAACAATCGCAGACGGCGCGTTTGCGGGTTTTTGGGTGGCTCTTGTGCTGTCGAAGAGCGTGAGTAGCTTGAATATTTCTTTCTTTCTTTTCTTTCTCTCTCATCCGAACCCTTCTTTCATCCACCAATCGTCTTCGTCTCCAGCTGATTGCTCCATAGATACTCTGAATCCATCCAGTTCCTCTACTCCAGCAACACCTTCTCCGTCGAACCGAATTACTTCCCTTCTTTCTCTGACATGGAACGCCTTTTCCCTCCCAATTGCCTTTCATCCGTCAATCCCTCGAACTTCTGTACCCAGTAGCCACTTATCGCGACATTCCTATCCTCGACAGGTTCACATCGACAATCGCGCTTATTCCGTCGATCTTTCCCCACTTACGAACATTTCACATTGCCATCAGTTCTTGGTGGATGCTCTGCGCCCTTGAACATTGGGAACATTTCACCGCTAATCACACAGCATTGGTGAGATCGGAGTTGTTGGGCACGTTGGATGGGCTCGTGAGGCGGTTCGACGGTCGTTTGAAGGAATGTGAGGTCACCGTCGACCCGAACTACTACGAGATTGTGAAATTATTGGAGGATGAGAATGGAAGTGGGCGCCCGGTTGAAATTCCGGTCATGAATTGGACGAAAGAACTTTTGGGTAGAAAGTATTGGAGGCCAATCGAAGGGAAAAGCGATGTTCGAAACACAAGGTTGGGATACTGGATCATAATGGCATGTTGATCAATTTTTCGAGATGATGCTGCTGTCGAAGGTCCCCAGTTTAAACTGGAGCCAGCTAGCGCTTCGAGAGCTCTTCGAGCAGCGTGTGGCTACATCCAGGACGATCCCTATATCAGTCCTGGATCTTTTCTCCTGATTTGACTCTTGGCGTTCGGCCCAGTGCCCGCGGAACTTCGAAAACGATGTGCTGCTGCCTCCAGTCGCCATTCACCCCACAATTAGCCCGCGCCGACATCCACCATCGGTTATGGCATAGATGTTCCTCCACAAACTCTCCACTCTCCGCTATATTGAGCTCGTCCTTTTATTCCGTAGAGCGGTATCGGTTTTGAGAACCCCCGACCGGTGATTTGACGCCGGATGGAATCACCACCATTGAGCCTTCAGACTTGAGGGGACTACCAGTCTTCGGCCTAAGCTGGTTTGTCACGCTTTGGGATTCAAAATCATCACCGTAATCGTTTCATACCCCGTGACCATGCATCTAGCGTTATTTTGCGAACGTCGGTGGTGGTGAACTGAATTCGGGGGTTAGATGCGCACGACGTTGGGACAATGGTTATCGTTCGGTGAAGTTTCCCCGGCATTGCAGCACCAAGATTAGTGAACCATGCTGCTTCGGCGTTGACGAACGTCCCGTCCGCTAGAAGTGTCCCTAGCACTTTGAATAATTTGACTTGGGACCTGACTGGACAATCACGGGTCAATTTATCATTGGCCGCGTTCAGAGTACTTGACGGACACAGTGACCAAGCCAATATGATGATTGATCTAAAAAGGAGTTTTGAAATGAAGTCATATTATGTATATTTTTGAGCTGTCTTGTTTCTCATGCATTTATGTAGCCAAGGACGAGATCTGTACAGCGTATACATTTTCTTATCAACCATCCCCGTTTTCGTCCGTTCACGGTTAACTACGGGACGCGGTCCCAAGAGGACTAGCGTGGCGTCATCTCGATGTTCATACAATCTTCAGAAGTGGAAAGCCGGGTACCTAATGGAGAATAAGGCAACTTCTTTCCACCCCCGAAGATCAGCTTAGCTCATTGGGTCTCAAGGAGTGTGTGCAGTTTGAAACGCCGCATAAAGGGTTCCGCTATAAGAATTCGCTGGGTTAAACAAAGTGGCTTTAAGTACGGCTGAGCGCACAAGGAGCTCAGACAACAGAATTGAAGGAAGCATTTTGGGGACGTGATGTGCTGAAGTCTAGAATAATGGAATGACCGAATTGTACAGTACGGGTCGCCAAGGCTCTGTTCCGCGGGTGTCCCGCCCGATACCAAGCTTTTTCTCGGCCCGCGCTTCCGAACCTCTCTTGGCGATCCCGCCGAGGGAGGCCATTAGGCGCGCTCCTCGCGTCGGGCTCTCCATGTCACTTCTCTCGGTTCTTCCAAACAGCTGAACCTTTTCAAGCTGCTCAGTCTAAATGAGATTAGCTACTCACACGACTGCTGTCACGACGAAAGGGGCTTTTGAAGACGCCGGTTGAGCTTTTGTGTACGGAGTATTTTCTGAGGAAACTGACGGTATTGCAAAAAGCACTGGAAGACCGGCCACTTTATGCAGAGATTTGACTCCTTCGAGGCCAAGCACATTAGTGAGACCTAACAACGATGGTCTTCTGCCTTTTTCCCCGTCAATAATATATCCCGTTTCGCGCTGTTACTCTTTCACATTAGCCTACAGGTGGCCCCCGAACTCGTCGTTCATTTATTTCAATCGAGGTTCTCTCACGACATCAGCATTTTTCTATCATGTCTAGGGAGATCAACAAGTATTTAAAACTCTGCATCCTTAATCATCGCTAACGTGATATTAGATGTAGAATTAGTATGGGCGCTATTTACACCTTTGTAGGGTACCTGGCACAATATAACCTGCAGATGATGGCGAAGCAAAATCCAATGCGTGACGAACGAATAGACAGCTATCGGATAGTCAGGAGCAGTCCCAGACTCGTCTTCAATGAAACAGTAAGCCTCCAGTGGTGGCTCATCCTAACTTGATTTGGTGACCACAGGTTTGTTGCACTTGTATCTCTGCTTCCTGCGCTGTTTCCCCTTGTTCTTCTGGTTCGTCGCCCCTTTCTTCGGCATGGCCGGTCCAGCGGGTGCAGAAGCTTCTCTGCCCTTTTGTTCACCGTGTTCTCCTTCTCGCTCACCTCTTCATCTGGATATAGGGCGGAAATTGTGCTGGAAAAAATTGACCTCATTTTGGTTTTCTTTTTCAACAGTTGGCTTCTCAATTTTCTGCCACGCATCGCCCCCCTAATGCCCTGAATCCCTTGGTAAAACCATCGATCCCCTTTTTGTGGGATAGTATTTCACTGCGTTGGTGATAAGAAATGCCGATAACAAGGCAAACACGGCAAACAAGGCAAACCGTCCAAACAGTCGGCTGGACGACTACGACTGCGCAGCGACACCGATGAGACCTCTGTAACGACGCCTTTACATCTCCAGGCCAGAGATGCCAGGGCTAACCAGCTGATAACCTGGCCACTGGAGCATTAATAGGATGAGGTCGCGGCGTCGGGATTCCCGCTCCTGTCACTCCCGTCTGGCAACCCTTGTCACTGGCCCAAGCCGGGCAACCAGATGCAGCCCCCTCAAATGCCATCGCTTTACCGGCGCCTTTTACGAGGAAGTTAGCCATCCGAAAATGTAAATGAGGCAGACTATTTCTCTTCTTGCCGTTTCCTTAGGGCAGCTCGCTCGATCACAATGCATCTTGGGATCCGCAAGTCCCGAGGGCCGCGGCGGAATTGCCGAAAGGCCATTGGCCAAACATCACTTGAGCGGAGGCCTACTCACTCAAAGCTGAGGCGTGTTCCCACTCCTCTAAATATCTGGAGCACTGGGTCAGATCCATCTGATATAGCGATACCCGATACCAGCTTTGATAACTGCGAAGAGGAAATATACTCGACCCCTGACAAACAAAGAAGGGAGGATGTTGTTCAAATCAAAGCATCCGGAAATTCACCGTAAGGGAACGTGCTTGGTTATTTCGACTCTATATTGCTTGAGCCATGTGTTGTCACGAGCTGACATACTGCTTTTCATGTGTAGCCCCGACAGATACTACTGTATGGCATTGGCTTTTCGAGTGCCCGGAAACATCTCCGCTTCACAGATTTCCGCCCGAAAAATTGGCGGGTTACACGAATGCTGTGACAAAGGAGAGGGTCAACTGGGCCCAGGTCAAAGAATGCGCAACGTATGTGAGTACGGCGCTGGTGAAAAAATATGGCCTGCGGGAGGGACAGGCGATTGCGCTCTTTACTCAGAATACAATTTGGTATCCAGTGGCCATGTATTCCACCATAAGAGTTGGCAAGTCTATTCTCTAAGAGCCTTTACTTTTGAATGCACTGTGCTGATTTCGAACCGTGCAGGCTGTATGGTGGCCGGTGCCTCGCCTGCATATAACGTTGAAGAAATGACATATGCGCTGAAGACGGCTGATGCAAAGTTCTTGATGACCAGCCCTGGGTCTATTGAAGTTGCTGCTGCTGCGGCCCAGAAAGTTGGTATCCCGCGGAAGCATATTTTCTTGCTCGAAGGAGAAGTCCAAGGCTACACCACCTTCAAGCAACTTCAAGATATTGGAAGAAGCTACGGCGAAAATGGTCAGGCACCACCTTTTCAACTTCCAGTTGGAAGAACGAACAAGGGATTATGTGGCTTTCTCAACTTTAGTAGCGGGACTACTGGGCTACCAAAAGCTGTAAGTTTACACTATATGGACAACCATCTTTGGGTCCAAATAAATGAATTGAATGCTAAAGAAGCCTCGAAGGTCATGCTTTCGCATCACAATGTGATTGCACAATGCATGCAACTCAAAGCAATCACTCCACCTGTAGGTCGCAAAACAGTCATGGGTGCCCTACCCCTTTTCCACAGTATGTTTCATCCTCTGTGTACCAGAATTGAAACAATAGTCTGACTGACAATTGACGTAGTCACTGGCCTTGTCAAATTTATGAACTGCCCTATGTTCTTCAATGACGAGCTCATCATGCTGCCGCAGTTCAACATGGAGCTCATGCTCCAAACCATTGTTGAATACCAGATCAGTGAACTTGTCCTCGTCCCACCACTTGTGATTCGCCTTGTTAACGACCCTGTCGCATCCAAATACGATCTTTCATGCGTTAAACGGATTTCCTGCGGTGCAGCACCACTCAGTGAACAGATTACCCAACTCCTCCAGCAAAAGTTCCCGCAGTCCGGATTCAAACAAGGCTATGGAATGACTGAGTCATGCTCATGTATCACAAGCCATTCACCAAAATACTACGATTACAAGTACGCGAACACAGTCGGGGACATCGTACCTTCCACCTCAGTCAAGATCATAGACGACAACGGCAAAGAACTTGGATACAACCAGCCCGGTGAAATCATTGCCAAGGGGCCTCAAATCGCTATGGGATATCTCGGTAACCCCACCGCTACTGCTGAAGCGTTTGATACAGACGGTTTCCTTCACACAGGTGACATTGGTTACATGACTGAAGAGGGTCTTATTCGTATCGTTGACCGTATTAAGGAAATGATTAAGGTCAAAGGTATCGCCGTTGCACCCGCTGAACTGGAGGATCTACTCCTGGGTCATCCGGACGTGGCGGATTGCGCAGTATTGGGGGTTAAGGACGACTATGCAGGCGAAAAGCCAAAAGCGTATGTTGTCCTGAGAGATGGGCTCAGTGTTTCGGAGGAAATGGGGAAGAAATTGATGAAGTATGTAAGCGAGAGGAAAGTGAGGTTCAAATGGGTGGAGGAGATCGAGTTTACGGATGCAGTCCCAAAAAGTCCAAGCGGAAAGATTTTGAGGAGAGTGTTGAGAGAGAAGGAGAGGAGCGGAAAGCATAGAGGATTTACGGTAAAGAGAGATGGCTGGGATGGGCAACGGGCAAAATTATGATTTCCTTTCCCATGTTGATTAATAGAAATACATTGATTTTATTTGCAAACTTAAAACTCGACAATGTACATTTCCAGTATCTCATCTATTTGAAACCATACACCCAACACTCAGAGTGAAGAAATCAGTAAATTTTGTCACAAATATGCTCTTTTCCCCTCGGCGTCTTTTCGCTTCTCCTTGCAAAGATGCTCCTCACCCAATATGCTATTGTAACCGCATAGTATTTCGCCAGATTCAACCATTTCTTGGGGCTGGTTTTCCCAGAGGATTTCCTGACTCGGAACAGATAGTACAAAACCACCGTTGCGAACACATTAAACCCGATGTATCCCCATCCGATGCCAAAGTTCCGCCACCGCTGATTCCAGAATATCTCAGACTCAGCAAGGAACTGATCACCAGAAGATAATGGACAGTATTCACATCCCTGTGTGGCGAAAGGATTGTTAAGCCTGCCCGGTGCACCGAGAGCAAAAAATCTTTCAAGATATTGGCCGCAGGTGGCCCCATCAGGCGGATCAAAAACGGCGAGTTCATTTTCCGCGCAACGGACAACGCGTTCATGGAGAACTGTTGCAGCTAGGCCGCCAACGGTGTAGGTGAGCGGAGAAACACGCCACATGAAAACCCAAAACCCGGGAAGTGCCCTGGGACTTTGAAGCACACCGTTGAATGTGAGCATCAAACTGAAAAGCGTTGTGGCGATGTTTCCGGCCGTTTCGGCATCGGGTAGCCCCGCAATGACCATCTGAGCAAATGTAGAGCCGAAAATGAAGAATTGGACAGAAAAGATAACAAACAACCCCTGGCGTTCTGATGATTGATGGACACCAAACACGGGGTAATAAAGAGCGGCCCAGACGATGACACCGAGGAATATTTGGTAAGGAATTTCAACCATGACGTTCGCTAGGAGGAACGCTTGCCAACTATATGCACGCGATGGGCGCTCACGAACTTCGAAGAGGCTGCGCTGGGTTACGAACCGTGGCATGATCTACAAAAAGCGTTAGATGTACGAAATACGCATGATGCGATGAAAACTCACTTGCTGGACAAGCGTGCTAAAGATTGTGGTAAGCATAAAAATAGCAAATAGAGTATTTTGGAGACCAGCTATTGACGCGTTTTGCATATAGAAAGAGAATCCGCTATTAGAGCATGTTAGCAGCTGGCAAGTTAGACATTGGAAAGCAAAATCACTCACATAAACACTGCCGCCATGATACCCAGGAGCAGTTTCCCCCAAATATATGTTGGTGTTCTCCAGTACTGCTGGAAAACACGGATAGTGACATAGTAAACCTGGGACGTGAAAGGCATTGCGAACTCGCGCGGTGTCTCTGTTGGCTCTTGAAGAGATTCATCTTTCTCTTTCTCAGCATTTATACGGTCTATCTCCTCTTGAACTCTTCGGGCCTCTTCGCTTTCATTCCATATAGTCGGCCAGTCCTGCTCTGATTTACCGCTTGGACCTGCCCCAACGACGTCTAACATATATTCTGCTGGATTATCGTTTGACCCGCAAGGCTCAGCACCGTTCCTCTCAAAGTAATCAAGAAGAGTCCGAGAATTTTCTCCGATGTCACCAAAATATACTGTCTTTCCACCTTTTGCGAGGAATAGAAGTCGATCGAATTGCTGGAAAAGGATTGCTGAAGGTTGATGGATGGTCGACAGCACCGCCTGCCCATTATCTGCCAGCTTTCGTAGGAATGTGATAATAGACCACGAGCTTTGCGAGTCCAAACCTGAGGTGGGTTCGTCCAAAAATAAGAGAAGAGCCGGCTTAGCGGCCAGTTCGACACCAATAGTAAGAAGCTTACGCTGCTCCACATTGAGGCCTTCACCCGGATTTCCAACGACGGCTTCACTAAAGTCTCGCATATTCAGCATATCAATAACATCCTCCACGTATGCATATTTCTCTGCCTTTGAAACCGATTTTGGTTGGCGCAACATTGCGGAAAACCGAAGCGCTTCGCGGACGGTGGTTGTCTCTAAATGCAAATCCTGCTGTTGAACATACCCTGTTTTTCGCTGGAAAGACATATCCAAAGGTTTGCCATTCACAAGCATATCTCCAGTGATGACACCCATGGTGGTTCTTTGCGCGAGCGCGTCCAATAAAGTGGTTTTCCCTGCACCCGACACACCCATGAGTGCGGTCAGAGTCCCAGGTCTTACCCAACCAGAGACATTGTCCAGCAACCGTCGCGGTTCGCCTTTAATGCTTATGTCGTATACAACATTTCTCCAAGTGAAAACGTCCTTTTGGGGAGGAATGGCATGAACAGTTTCTTCGATAGGGCTCTCTTCGGGGCGTATATTCACATCCTGCTGAAGTCCGCTGGCATCCTTTTCCTCATCATAGTGATTAGTAAGATGCTTAGGCACATAACCCCGTTGGAAGATGAGATATTCAGCAGCTGATAAAGTTGACAGGTTAAACTCAGTGGCAAATAAATATAAGGCATAAAAGAAGAACATGAACCCAAAGAGGATCCCCAGATTTCTCCAGATGTGCGCGTAGCTGTAGCCGTAGGCTGACTCGACCCAGCTATCTCCGGAAACAGTTCGTTCGCCAGGGACAGCACCAGCAACGGCACATTCAAAGTTATTCCCGGTTCCATATGGTGGTACTGGGACGGCACACTCGTATCGCTGACCATGTACTTCATTGACAAGGATGGACTCAAAACCATAAGCAACTGGATTAATCCAGCTGATCCACTTAAACCAAGGATGCCTGCAACAACGTCAGAACCCCATACCCTCACAGATATTCGGCTAGTAACCGGACTCGAAAACCTGGGACTCAGGATTCACTCACATATAAGATCTTTGGATTGTAAACCCTGTGTATATTACAATGGCGAGAATCATGACTCCGGCAAACGCCAGCGCTTGAGACACAGTTTTTGTCGCAGCGGCAAGTGTGCGAAAAATGGCTGACATGGTCAGCATGGTCATAAATGTGAAAAGAAAAAAGATGAAGAATTGCGACGGCTCCCTTCTTAATCCGCCCAGGAAGTAGAGGATAATGTTGAATACTGTAGCTATTATGAATTTGATAGGAATGTCGGCGACTAGACCTGCCAGAGCCTCCGCGTAGGCATGATAAAAAGCAAAACCAACATGTTTCGCAACAATTGGCCGTTGAACATCTGTTCCCATGTCAGTAGACTTATAAAGAGGAATATCGGTACGTCTTACAAAGCCTATAGGGCATTAGCTTCTGTTGTCTCTGGCTCAGGATCGGTATCAGGATTGTACTAACCCGTTGATTTCGGTAATAGACATCAAGCCATTTAGAAGAATAGCAAAAAACAATATTGAACCTTTCGCGAAAAAGCTATTCGTAGTATTCGGAGTCCCGAAGAAAATTGACCCTATAATCAGCGACATAACAACCTGGCTGATAATGACGGCGATTGTCGAGGCTTTATCACCCCATATGCGCTGGTAAGCGCGTTTCATGCATAGCTTTAGTTGCATAAAAATGCTGATGGTATAAGGAGATTTCTTCGGGACATATTTCGCCTGCGCTTGACGATGAGCTTCGCGTTGTTCAGCTAAAATTTCGCCCAAATCCGGATGGTCTATATCGCTCTCTTCTATTTCTGCCTGCAACTGCTTGAAAGTCTCGGATTGAAGCCAGTAGTGTTCGAATTCCTGCGCTGTTCGAGGGACTTTGGTTTCAAAACCTTTCCTAGGTTTTCGCTCTTGAGGATTGGTAACAGATGTCAGGAAGTCACCTGTCGTCTGTCTTTGCGGGCAGAACCATCCCATATCTTCGAAATACTTCTTCGCCGTCTTTGCGGGACCGAAATAAATCTGTCGGCCTTCGTATAGTACAATCGCTTTATCAAAAAGATCATATATGGCCTGACTGGCTTGGTAAATGGCAAGAAGCTGGGTCATTCCTCCAACATGGGAACCTATTTTCAAGGCGCGAGTGAATTCGAGCGCTGTTGCTGCATCAAGGCCTCTGGTCGAGTTATCCCAGCACACAACCTGTGACCCAGCAAGTGATATCTCCGCAATGCTAACTCGTTTTCGTTCTCCTCCACTTACACCACGGACGTAATCATCCCCGACTTTGGTATTCCTTGTATGGTTCAGCCCATAAATGGTCATCACCACTTTGGTGATATGTTGCGAGAATACTTTCCTAGGAACGCCCATGACTCTGAGTGATGGGGTTCGTGCCGCTGCGGCAAACTCCAGTGTCTGGCCCACAGTTAAATGAGGGAAGTGTTTCTCATCTTCAGCACTATAAGTTGCCTCGCCGCGAAACTCCTTGTTAAAAATATCTTGGGGTACTCCATTGTAATGAACGACGGAACCTTCCCCCTTCTTAAGCCCTTGTAGCTCCCCACTAATGGTCTTCAGGAATGTGGAGCATCCACTGCCTGGTCGTCCCAGCACGATCAGCATTTCTCCTGCTTTCAGAACACCATTGAAATTCCGTAATATCAACTTCTCCGATTTCTTGCCAAAGTATTCTCGCAATCGAAACGGCGCCATTATCGGGGAAAGAACCGTATTCTGGTAGTGCATAGCAGCCCCGGAACCCGAAACATTCAGATCCTTCCATGTCACCCCTGTTCGCGGACGCTTTATCCCATCATCTTCCATCAATTTCATGAACATCCGCGCCCATTTGTAGAAGTCGAACTCGGGCTTCGTCGGATCTAAGACTGGATCTCCGATCTCAATTCCCGCTAAGGTGTCACGCCGTTCCACCTGCCCACCGTAGCCGCCTTGATGGCTGACTGACCGTGAAAGTGCGGAGGCAAGCTGGGCATTGTCGGGCCCAGAATCAGACGAAGAGAATGTCCTTATAGCTTCGTAGGTTGGACGGTCACCTCCCGTAACGTCCTCTGGATGATCGGTACGTGTCTGTGAGGGAGATCCACGACGGTCATCATGTTCGGCTGAATGAGCGGAAGCCTTGGAAGCGACAGAATTGTTGCTCATGGCAGAGAAGTATGAAGGCAGAATTGGCAATACACAGGCCTTTGAGCGACCGCTCCCGCATTTAAGTTAAATATTTATGTAGAAAGTTTGACGAAGGTAGCCGTGCCCGAGTCTCGAAAGAATTGGGTTTGAGTACATGGCCATATCCGCGCCATTCGGAGAGTTTAAACTCCCCTTGAAAGTCATCATTGTCGTACGACCGGTAGTCCGTCCTTTGCGCTCCATATCTTTTTGGGGATCTTTGCAATAGCAAATGATGTTTAGTGATACAAAGGAAGATTAACATACTTAATCTTTGATCCTCTGTCATGCATAAGGTGCGTCCAAGGTCTCTCTGCACAAAACGCAGCTCGGATGTGAATGTTGTGTTGGAAAACTCCCCGGGCGCGTAAGGTTCCACCATTCCGATAGTCACAGAGTCAATCCAGGTTTTGCAGAATCCACAGCCAACTTGGCTCATAACTAGCCTATCAGGAGCGAAAACGCACCAATACTGCACAAGATGTAGCTGCTACTGGCCATGCAGTGCCTCCACCTCATCATTTTGCGATCAAAATTATCGCTCATTCCGAGGCGTAAGGAAAAGAATTATCAAGGCCTAATTGAAATCCAAAACAGTACGGAATCATTTCCATATCGCTATTAGTTGTTGTTGCAAAGAGGATTGACCGATGACCGATGACCAATGACCTATGCTGCGTCCAAATCCTCAATCTGCACTCTGTCCCATTCTTGTTGACACCTTCAATTTTGATCAGGGAGGTACTCAGCCCCTAGCAAAATGGCCCATGGATAGTTGCAGGAAAAATGTTAGAAGGGCAAAGCCATGTTCTCCTGATAGGCCAAAAAAAAAAGAAAAAGGAAATACAAACGGCGAAGCCAGTGACGAATCATATATGACCCGCTAAATCGATCACAAATTATTGCCAGGACTATCTCGTCTAAAGGAATAGTGCCGTTGAACAATGACAATAGGAAAGTGCCCTATAGGATCTGAAAAGCCGCCTGAGCCTGCGCCTGAGACAGCAATGGAGAATGGATGTAATAGCCGGAGCTTTGCATTATATTTCTCTTATCGAAATATCCACAAAATAGAAATCAATCTGGCAAAACTAGATCAAGAAGTCCAGCTGGGCTGTTCCAAGGTAAAGCGATTCAAGGTTGGGCAAATTTCAGGACCGGGGCACATCGGAGCCATCAACCAGTATTGAATTCAGTGCTCGTATGTCAGGTAACACTGTAAATTGCAGGGGAATGAGAACTCGCCGTCAGAAATTGCCCATGCCGAGATAGAGCCTTGAAAAGTTCAGGCCAAAATGATGTGAACTGCACTCCGGGCAGAGGGGTATTGCTACACCCACCGGTGCTTAGAACTCCACAGTCCATATGTGAAGCCCTTTCGTGGGATTAATCACTCATTGGGAGTGAACAAAAATTGGCAACACGGGATACGAAATCTCCTGGAATGATATTGAGAGGGAACTTCGAGCTATGCTGCGAGCTGAAGGCTCCAGTCACTTCAAAGCGAGCAAAGTCACCGTACATATTGTGCCAATGATAGAAACGTGTTCTTCAATGTCCTTAATCTTATCGCTATAGGAAATAAACTCTTGTGGCCTCGCAGATACGAGAGGAAATCCTAGTGTTGTCAGAGCTTCAGGAACGCGACTATCCGGGGCAGGGGCTTTCTTCTGCAAGCTCAGGAACAGAGTTGGCAAAGCTACCCCCAACATGGGTTTGGATTTGGAATCATGCAGCCAGCATCAGCCGGTGTTCAGCGTCGTAGCCAAGCTGGCATCTTAAGCTGGAGTTGGGTCTTCTGTTTCGATTCCATCGATTCACCTCCCGCCGTGGACGACAACCATCGCCGTTTGCCGCGACGTTTTTCCAAGTCGCTGAGAATCCATACCACGTGATAAAACAAACTAACCCAAGCTGGAGTACATGACTAGTTATGTAATCAATGTGGCCGTTGATCCGGGCCTTGGCACAGCGCTAAAAGGGAGCGAACCTCAAACAACGTCCTGAAAGTCTCGGTTTGCCGACAACGCTATCAAAAGAATACATCGATATATACGGAGTACACGGAGGACATCTTTGTTACTATACATAGATCTGACAGAAGCAGCTCCCCGAGTTCCTCCCCCCGGTATCTATCCAAATCCATCATTCGTGGGCCACGCCGCCTTGCTCTCAATGCTCTCCTGCGAATAACGCCCGTGAAAAAAGCAGATAGAATGACATGAAGATAAGCAAGAATTTAAAGATAGGCCCTGGAATCTGCAGTTGGAAGCTATCTCCCCCCTGAGATATCCACTGGAGGGCTCTATCGCGTCCTTTCGGCTTGTCGTCCACTTTCGCGAGCCGGTGTCCGATCATAACCATCCGCATAGCGGACTCGGCACTCTCACTCAGGAGCTTCGGGGCATGCGCCACTGCATCCTCGAGGCTTGTCGGACCCTGGATAATGCTGGTAAAAGCATCTATTCCTGCGTCGTAATTGACCGCGGCACCTGTCCCGATCGTTCCGGCAATAGCAACCACAGGAAGGCCACGGCGTTTTGCGCGGAGTGCCACTTCTCCTGGTATTTTTCCCTGGGGAGTTTGGTAATCGATCCCACCCTCGGCAGTGAATATCAGGTCGCATTCATCAAACAACTTTTCTATTCCAAAATATTCAATGATTGCCTCGAACCTGGGTCGCAAGGTCGCCCCCATTAACACTAAGCCAGCCCCAAGTCCACCGGAAGCACCGCCACCAGGTATTGTGCCCACGTCTATTCCTATCGCGCGCTTTACTATGGCTGCGTAGGTTTCCAATGCCAAGGAAAGCTGGTCGACTTGGTCTGCTGTCGCACCTTTTTGCGGGCCATAGACCCTTGCAACGCCGTTGGGCCCGCACAGTACGTTCTTCCAATTGCAGAGAACATCGACTCGCGCCTGCTTGAGTCGAGGATGGACTCCTGAGAGGTCAATTCTGGCGAGATTACCAAGCGCCCCTCCACCGGTGGCTGGAGGCAGTTCGTATCCTTCTTTGTCAAAAAACCGCGCTCCAAGCGCTTGGCACATGCCCACCCCGCCGTCGCTTGTTCCAGAGTCCCCGCAGCCGATGAGGATCCGGTCTGCGCCTTCGTTTAACGCAGCGTTTATCAGTTCTCCCACTCCGTATGTTGTCGTATTGGCTGGGTTTCGTCTCTCTTTGGGTACCAAGCGGAGTCCAGCGGCTTCAGCAATCTCTATTACTGCGGTTCGTGGCTGTGGGCCTCCGAGGAACCCATAGTACGCGTCCACCTTTTCCATTACTGGACCGGTGACATTCAATCGTTTATGCTCGCCACCAGTTGATGCCACAAGAGCATGAGCAAACCCTTCACCTCCATCGAATAGTGGTACCTTTCGGACCTTTGCATCTGGCACGACGCGCAAGATCCCGGCTTTGATACAATCTGCGGCGGCATGAGGGTCGAGGCTCTCTTTGAAACCACTTGGTGCCACAAGGATATTCATATTTGCATCTGTCAAAAGAGATAGAGAACAAGAGAGAAGTTGACACAAAAAGAATTAAAAAAAGGAAAGAAAACAAAGGTAATCCAATTGTTTGAGTATCGTTAATCATAAGAGCACTCTGACAATCAGAAGTTCTTCGTTAATGACATCTTGAGAGTGACTTTATATGGTCGCTCGGCCGGAAAGCTTAACCAATGTATCACGAACAACAGTCGAAAAGCCACAGTGCAATGTCTGAGGCGAGGCAAATGGGAGTGACCTTGTACGATCTGCGTTAAATGCAACTGTGGTCGGCGTTTCTAGATTCCTATTTCTGTTTTAACCCAGGGAAGGAATCTGGCGGTTTGTCGGTTCAGGGCCCAAGAACCTCAAGGGTCTCAGATAGGCCCATCCATGGAGCGTTGTGGACATCCTTGAAGCGAGGTCCTGCCAGAGACGGTCCCGTTTCGGCCTCCCTTCGCAGCTTGAGGCGGATCGGTTGACGTGTCATGAGTTCGAAGATTCAGTGACGCCGCATTCCCGATACTTCGATGGCATTAACGTCCGGGTTGTGTGCAGCTCGGCACAGCTGGGTGAGAACCGTAGGTAGTATGAGCATATATCCACCTTGATGGTCGGTCGAAGGCCTCACAGGAAAAGGCCAGGCGCGTCTCGAACTTCCGAAATTGATCTAGCGCGATGATGACTAAGCTTTAATCTCGATCTGCTCGCGTGTCACATTGACAATTTAGGCATATTGGCAGCGCCTCACGCAAGGGCCACCAGGTCTGGTCCTGGCAGGCTGCCCATACAGTACATACCGCCCCCCACACAGCACAACCACAGCACAGGATAGCCTCCCCTACCCGCGCCTGCATAATCCTTCAGAGGACAATGACGTGTCGATCTTCGTTTGCTCAGAAATGCTTGGCTTTGTTTCGGAGGCGATGTACTCCGGACGGCTTGATCCGTTCTACTTGATTCTATTCGCCATGGCGCCTAGACCATTGTGTTTTGAGATTTGATCGTGGCTGGGGTAGTATCATGGCCACGGCCATGCAGCGCCTGATGCCACTCGCATCGAGCGTTGACGGCCGGCAGTGCAGTGGAGAATCGATGCCGCAATGTCGTCGAATGCGATCGCACCGTTCCTCAGCGGTGCATATGTGTTATATATATATGTATATATACGTAGTTGTCGGCCGGCAATTAGAGCCCCGTAATTGTGCGCATCTTGTCCATTGTATAGAGTATATGCCCTAAAGCACACCGTTCGTTTCTTTTTCATTTTTGGCGCGCTGCCTTGCCCTTTTGCCTTTTGTTTCTTTTTTTTTTTTTCTGTGTCTCCCATTTCTCGTTCTTTTTTGTCCTATCTCTGTTTGGCTTTGATCAAGGTTAATCATTATCATTACCACGCGCATCGAAAAGCACAATGCTCTCGCGCGACATAGAGCCGGACCCGAAGCCCTGGGAATCTTCTCCCATGGACAAGAATGTAGCAGTCGAGCAGGGTTCAATTAAGAACCCATCAGATGGCGAGCAGACAGGAAGTGACCAGGAAGAATCTAAAGAAGATGAGAATTTGGTAACTTCCCTCAGGTTGCCTTTCTTTCTCCTTCTCTTTTCTTTTTTTCTTTTCTTTTTTTCCTTTTTTTTTTTTTTGTCTTGAAAGAATTGAATGGCTAAGTGTCAGAATATCAGGTCACCTGGGACGGTCCAGACGACCCTGCAAACCCCTTGAATTGGGCTCGATCGAAGAAATGGATCTGTACATGGATCATTGCCACCTTTGCTTTTATTTCTCCGCTCTCTTCAACCATGCTTGCACCAGCACTGCCAACCATCGCAAAAGAATTCAAGATTTCTAGTTCCATGGAGGAGGCTCTGGTCATGTCAATCTTCCTTCTTGCATACGCGATTGGCCCGTTCCTTCTAGGTCCTCTATCCGAAATCTATGGCCGTGTGGTCGTTTTGCAGACGGCGAACATGGTGTATCTAATATTCAACACTCTCTGTGGTATTTCACGTTCGAAGCAGCAGATTCTTGCATTTAGATTCTTGAGCGGTTTGGGAGGGAGTGCGCCTCAAACGGTAAATGACCCGACCGAGAACCCGCCGTCGAAGAAGATTATTAATGTTGGCTTTTGCTACCTAGCTTAACGGAGGTATGCTAAGTGATTGTTGGCGCGCAGAGGAGCGAGGCAAGGCTATTGCAATATATAGCTTTGCGCCGTTCATCGGACCGGTTGTCGGTCCCATCGGTAAGTCTACGGCCTACCGTGGAGCTCGAAATGGGGCATAGCAAAACTAACATGTCTATTAGCCGCCGGCTACATCGCACAGAACACTTCATGGCGCTGGATTTTCTGGGCTACATCGATTTTTGATGCGGTTGTCCAGATATTGGCGTTTATATTCCTTAGTGAAACTTACGCACCAAAGATTCTGGCGACAAAAGCGAAAAAGCTGCGCCGAGAAACGGGGAATGAAAAGTTACGCACGAAATGGGAGACTCCTGACCGGTCGCTTTTCCAAATTCTGCGCAAGAACTTGTCGAGGCCGTTTATTATGCTCTTTACGCAGCCAGCCATTCAGGTTCTCGGGCTTTACAGAGCGTACCTTTATGGGCTGATGTATCTCGTGTAGGTGTTCTCCTGTTTTTTGCATGCCCTTGTTCCTAGATTGGAAGACTAAAATTGCATGTCTTTTCAGCTTGGCTACGTTCCCGCTTGTATGGGAGCAAGCATATAAGTTTTCCCTCGGAATAGCGAGTTTGCACTATATCTCCCTTGGAATCGGTTTTGTTATCGGATTACAGATATGTGCTCCTCTCAACGATAGGGTAAGGTCCTCCCCAGTTTCGTATTATCTTTCCCCCATTAACCAAACCCAGGCGTACTGTGCCCTTAAGAAGCGTTACTCTCACCCGGGGCGGCCAGAGTTCCGCATTCCTCTCATGATTCCCGCCGGCCTTCTTGTCCCTATCGGTATTTTTCTATATGGGTGGAGCACTCACTATCGCACCCACTGGATCATTCCAGACATTGGCTGCGCTATATTCGCCATGGGCTTGATCATAGGATTTCAGTGCGTCCAGTCTTACGTCGTCGATTCCTACCCTCGCTATGCAGCTAGTGCAACTGGTGCTGTCGCATTTTTGAGAACGATGGCAGGGTTTGGATTTCCCCTATTTGGCAGCCAGCTATACGAGACACTAGGACTCGGATGGGGGAATAGTCTGCTTGGATTTATTTCTCTTACATTGGGAATTTTCGCGCCGTGGGGTCTATGGCATTATGGGGAGAAGTTGAGGGCAATAAGTGGGTATTGCTCTGGATGAGCCGTGTTAACTTAAGCGAAGGGTGACGGCGCTCCTCTTGCAGATCTTGCCCATAACGAATGTCTTCATAGAATGTACATACATATATATACGCGTGGCCTCTCTACGCTTGTACACACTACATATTCAACTATGGTATACTTTAGCGTATAAAATTGGTTAAATAGACTTCTCCTACATCGGTTTAAGTATGGCTTGGTTCCGTGCGCTCCAGAGTTCCTTTAACTGGCTATCGGAAAAATAGAGTAAACGCCGAACTCTTAACTTATTCACGGCACTGAGAACGCCGCTGGTCTTTAGTGCCGATTTTGCCGTCTCTCTGCCGGTTCATTGGCCAGTGACGTCGATTCTTGACGCGCGGATCCATCAGCCATGGTCCTCGGCTCGCTGAGAGCTTGGTCCTCAGTCAGTGGTGACATCCAAAACCACAGGAACGAGATCCTTCTAACCAGATCCAGCGCCGATTTATATGGGCAACGATGGAGTAGTAGTTATTGGTATGCCCGGATTAACGAGGTTTATTTTGGACAGCAAGCTTGACTTTCAACGGCCTATCTTGAACCAATGGACCTGCGTCTGAGGCCGGGGCGGCCTCTTGAATAATGGATGGAAAGCAAAAGGAAGAGATCAGATGCAATGTTGTATTTCAACGATACCGCTTGGAGGATCTAGGTGAGGACAGAGGAAAAGAGAAATGGCGTAGAAATATATTTTCCTTTCCGAGGTGTAGTAGGTATGCGCTATCTAAGGCATCCAATCCTGAGAGACACAATCCTTCGCCCTAATGCAGCATCGCGAAAAATCACTGCGTTTCCGTTAAATATCAGAATATGCTGATGATTGCAGCAGCATACCATTTCGTCACCACGGGCTGTCCACAAAGCACTTTATCTGATCGCCTAAACAAGAATAACATCGCCAAAGAAGGGCGTTACGTGGAAGCTGGCTACGTCAGGTGAATTCCACGCTCCCAGCTCCTGATTCGGATAGGTGGCCGGAGAAGTGACGGTGCGGAAGAAGTTCATTCTCCATCGAGAAAGGCGAGGCCGATCGACATTGAACAACGCCAGAGGAATTTTGACTTCCGACACCCAAGTCTGGGCCTTGCGGTCCAGGGTCGTGATAGACGTGAATCCATCGGCAGCAGGGTCGCTCACAAAAAAGTGATCAAAAGGCGCACCCTCCTTACGCACCTTGGACGGATTGTATACGAAAGTCTGGTAGGTGACATTGTTCGGACTAACTTCAAACTCGAAGTAGGTCTGTGGATCGTTCGTGCCGTGGTAGATGAAGGCTTCCATGACCTCGTATTTCCAGATGTCGTCGTTTGTGCGGTGCTTGGGGTCGAAGTAGAAGTTAGTCTCATCGAAGGCCTTGAAGGTGAACTGGAATGCTGTCGGCTCCCAGCAAAGGTCGACCTGGGTGTTGGGGAAGGCCTTCATTTCGGGGACGGACTTGTCAAACGAGGCTGTGGCTTTTCTGGGGCACCTCGGGACCGCGAGAGAAGGCCGTTTTTGGGTTCTTTCACTGCCTGGGCTTGCTGAGACAGAGACGGTCGCTGCCAGTAGGCACGTTAAGATAGAAGCCAAGTGCATGATGACAGTATTTTATTAACTGCTCACTCTTCTTGGAGAGACAGAGAAGATAAAGAGAATGGAGAGACGACTTCACATCTGAGCCGAAGAGAACAGAGCTCTTGAGGAATAGTGAAGCGAAGCAGGTCCCCTCCATTAGATATATAGAATTTTCAGGGATTGCCAGCCCCCATGTTGCCATTTCCGGCCGCACTTCTCAGTTCTTTATGGCGGAATCGGATGGGGATTTGGCTGATGTCGTAGCTCTAAGTTTCATGGTTAATGTAACTCCACCGTCCCCGAGATCCACCTTCGCTGAACCCCTGAACTGCTGTGGCATTGGCTGAAAAAGCCCCGAGGATCTCACTGTCCACAAAACATTACGGAGCACAGGGTATCAACTTAAATAATGTTGCTGCGAACAAAAGCTGGTCGCAGTTAATTATCACCCAGAATGGGATTGATTATTATATGGTTCGCGCCAACTTCCTGCGCGAATGCGGAGCTGACATGGGTGTTTCGAATGGCGGTTCCTGGTGAGTGATTTTGCTTTGCTGAACACAGCGCAAAGTCCTGCCCCAGTAATAATTTCGAGAGACTCAAAAGGGCTGGCTTCTTCCAGGACGCTAGCAGGTACCCGTAGTGTGTTGATAGTATTGTGAGCATTAAGGTCCCCTGAAACATGAGCTGGAATTACCGCCACATGCCTAGAGCTCTGAGGGAGAACCAAAATGCCGGTCTCTTGACGGGATTGACACATTGGCAGTGATGACAAGACAAAGAAAAGAAAATTGTGCATAACTAAAGCCGGAAATGACCTCTTTGTGTGCTACTTTCAGGGGTTTCTTGAGATGGTGAGAGAATGGGCAACAGCATCGTGTGCACCCTTCACTGTACAAAAGTAGCCTCAAAATAGATGTGCTGGACAGGGAAGAAAAGCAAAGTTTTGACTGTGTTACTTCGTCCGTGGTTACTGTAGCTTATGCCGTGGCGTATGGAAAAATCAAAGCTGTTTTTTTGATATTTGATTGCAACTGACTCCCTCAGACTTGGCTGATTCGCACCACATTAACTACTCCGTGCTGCTGCCAGTTACCTGCAAGCAACCTGAAGAATTAATTACGTTCCTACAGGGGAAGAGACGGTGCCCAAGAAGACCGGCTCCTCGAACATTGGACTGCTCTTCTGGCCGATAAAACCGATCATTTTCGGGTTGCAGGGCACTTCCGGTGGGGAAAGGTTCTCTCGACTCAGACCAACTTTGATAGCTCACCCCAATTCAAGTACGGAGTCCTCCGTAGATAAACCCGCTTTTCCCCAAGATGAAGGCGATCTCCTCTTGGAACAACGACAAGATAAATATATAACTACGTAATTGTTGGCTCCGGACGGGGATTGATCGCCAAGGCGCATCCGGGCCAGGCGGGTCGGCGGGTTTGGACTGCGCGAAACGCGTCCACTCACTCCGACTTTACATAGTTTATCGTTGCAAGCATGCCGCTTCGTCTTCTTCTCCCTCGATCTCACTTCTGCTGAACCGTTCAATTAGCACTCCTCAACTCCTCAAATGAGGTAAATTGACAACAGCCACTCACAATGCCCTCAGTAACTAGAATCAAAACCGAAAAACCCCCGACGCGTCCTCCGATCGGAAGTCCAACACCGACGGATGCCCTGGATGAAAGAATATATCAGCGAAAGACAGAAAACCCCAGCTTGTCTTGGGAGCAAATCAGAACGGTGCAGAAACCTTTTGGCTTTTACAACCTTATCCGGCTACGCTAACCACTGTTTGCAGAAATGGTTTCCCCAATTAAGACATTGGGAGATGCGAAAGAGGCTTTATGTTGGTTTTGCGTGAACGGAATGGATGATCTTGTCTTACGTGTACGTCTATAAAAAATGAGAGATGCACGACTTGGAGGACCGTCTGTACGCATTGCTACCCCTTGGAGCTATTTGCGCTGTATCGATTGACCGTTGAACAGAATTCTTCGGCCGTGAAGCGCCAGCGTTCGGAAGAGCGTTCTGACGACGAGGATGATAATCAGCCATCCAAGAAAAGCCGCACTGGTTGTGACGACTCCAAGAACGGTATAAACAAATATGATGTCTCGTCACCTTCTAGATCGCTAAAACTTACGGTGGGCTTTGGTTGTCCCCCCATCTCTATGTCAAGACGACAGCTGATAGCAAAAATGGCAGCGGGCGAGCACCACTCCTAATTTGACACAGAAGCAACTATCTAGCGGAATGGTTCTCCGTCGGCCTGCTGAGAATTCACACTCAAATCCTTCCTCGTCAAATAGCACCAGTCAGCAAAGCTCTTTCTCTACTACACACCGAACCGCAGCACAATCCAGCAGGTCCTCGAGCGCAGCGCCAGTCCCACCAAAGCCCATTCCAACTGCTGCCTCCATCCCACCCAATGGAAACACGGATAACAACGGCTGTGACTCACACACCCACAGCCATCCGGATGTCCTCTCTGAAGCCCGACTACAGGGTCTAACTGACAAGGACTGGCTATATATCTTATCCCGAGCACAGGCCTATTCCGGTGAAAAATTGCGCGCTGATAACCTCGTTGCCAAAGAACGCGAAGCGCATATGCGCCTCGAATTCCTCGAAACACATCTCGCAGAAACCAAGAGAGAGCGCGACAAGCTAATACACCAATTCGCATCGGCGTTCGCAGCCTCTCCGGGGTCCAGCAGGGCCGTCGATTCTCATTTGAAAACCGAGAGGGTGCTCGACGAGCTTATCGAGCATGCTGTGGAAGTAAAATCTATCTTCGACAAGTTATGGATGACTAGCAAGGTATACATAGCGCAGAAGGTGTGGAAGTCAGCAGAGTTGGAGGCGCTGGTGCTAAAGGGTAGCACGGTCCTTACGAAAATTGACAGAATCATTAAAGAACAAGAGGCAAGGGGGAAGAGTACCTGTGGTTTGTTTGGATGCTAATATGGGATTGCAACTTATGCATTTGTGTTCTGCGGAGTGGCTATTTGAAATTACCAAAGATATCTTAACCCAGAGCTAAGGGAACCTTTTCTCTCCCCCGTCACCTAGCCGACGGGCTGACCCAAGAGTATATGGCTGGTATAATTGGGTGGTGACTTCGGGCTGGGGTGATTATAGATTTGCACGGAGTGCTCACAAAATGGATCAGCATAGTTGCACCGTATGAAATTGAAGTGTCAAAATTATTCCTTCTTTGCCAGCTAGTTTCAACTACCCATAGGCCAGTGCTGTCAAGCTCGGCGAACCTTAAACTGGAGTTGTCACATCCCTGCTCCTGGCTCAGGGAATAAATCTGCCCCCCTGTATGGGGCTCTATGGATTTATTTATTCATATTCAATGCCACTCTTGCTGGTGCATACCGCATTGCCCGGGTGAAGTAATTCCAGCTTCATATTGCCATCTATCAATACGTCTTCACCCGTCATGCCATACATAGATGTATCGGTAGCTCTATTATTTCTCTATGTATCACTGTTATGACCGGCTTCTTTGGTGTATAAATATGACTCGATAGGCATTTCTGGAGGATTCCTTTTTCTACACCAGCATCGTTCTCGATATCGTCTTTGAAAAGTCACCCAGACTTACCGGTACCGCTTAACCACATATCATCAGGCCACAGTGAGAACCAGTGCTAATCATGCCCGAAGAAACTTTCAAAGTCAACAGCACATTCTTCAAAGCTCCCCCGGAGATACAGCCTGGGTATTTTTATAGAATCTATACAGCCCGCGGATCTTACAAATACCTTCACGCAGACGATCCTACGCCCCGTGGGCCCGATTCAAAAGGCGAGAATCTGGATTTCAAGGCCATCCCCAAGGGCAATTGGATCGTGGGCAGCCTCCAGCCCAGCCGGAAGAGCCAGGGAAAGTTCAGCCTGGGTGCGACCAGCACAACGCCGCTCAAGGGGATCGAGAGAACCTGGCATCAAAAAAGGGTTGACATCCAAGATTTGCAGGAGTCCAGGTATGTTCACCTTGATGAGGATGAAGATCTTATATTTGATAATCTCTGGCGCCTCTACTCGATGCCTCATATCCATCAGGACAGAGCTATCGGCAAAGCCATTTCTGTTCCACATGTTGCGTACTTTGCATACTTCCCCGATGTTGTGAAGTTGCTTCAGCGGGAGTCAGATATGTACCGGACCATCCAAGGGCAGGGTATCGGGGATGAGTTTCTGGGTTACATCACAGAGAGTCAGAGCAGGATCATTGGGATTCTTGTTGGATGCAAAGGATCCGAATCCGACTTTGATCAGGATATACCGGGGGCAGAGGACATTGGAGCATGCCAGTCGGTACTTCAAAACTGCATAGACTTGGTATTTCACTCGGCACGGTGTGGCCGGAGTCATTCTGGATCCGCAACAACAAAACCACCATCAGCAGCTTTGCCACTTGCGTTCGGGATGCAAATGTCCAGGCTATGGAACGCGAGATGAAGAGCGTCGAGCGTGCGTTCGCGGACCCATTGGACGTGAGGAATTTGAGCAAGGAGTTGAGAGAACAAGTTGAAGCTATTTTTCGGCGGCACGGCGCGCTGCACCAAGTTGTTATTTTCCAGGCGTTCAAGAACGGGATTATCACAGTTACGGCACAGGACCATAAGACACTCCTGGCAGAAAGCCTAGTGCGATGTGTTGAAACACTTTGACACTGACCGAACTGCGTTATTTAAGTTGTTAGCTAGCTTAGAATCAAAAGAAAAGCCCCCAAGTTTGACGCTGAGTATCTGTCGTCTATCGTAGAGGGTCGATCCCATAAATACCATCTTTCGAAATGTTGAAGTACAGTGAAGATGATACATTTCTCGTTGAAGTACGGAGTACTCCGTAACAGGAATGCAACTCTATGGAGAAGGAGGATCCGCAACATGAGAATGAGACCTGTCGCAGTCTCTGTAAAAGCCATGTCCTCGGGTAGAGTGTTTCATGCAGACGCGAGGAGCCAGTCAGAGCAGACCAGGTTTCAACGATCATCATGATTCATGACATGCAGAAAAAATGGAGCCACGCACGGGCCAAGACTAGATTGCTCGTTTTCTCCGAGAACTACAGTAGGGGAGTGTGCAAGAAACGGAAATTTGCACATGCCAGCAGACCAGTTCTTAAGTGCTTTCCACATGGTCGAGTTGTTGGGCGTGAACCCGAGCAGTCCCGTATGCTAGTTAGCGCGTGATGCAAGGCAGCCCAAAGTAAGCTTGGCAATTCCGACTGTTTTGCTGTCTAACATCTGGCAGCAAGAGTCTGGACGTCATGACCGGCACACTTGATTGACGGGTATTGACTTATTCTCAAATTCCGAATTCGACAACAAAACAAAGCATCATCAGCTGCACGGAGTCCTCCAGACTATCATACATACCTTCTCCGGGAAAATTCTGTGGCTATTCCAGAAGCGGCTAGCGGTGCAGAGCGTGACGTCACGGCTGGGGCTCTCGGCAGTTTAAGCTTAACCATTGGCCGGGGACCGCTGGATCACGTGGGGCCCGCCAGCCCTGAAAATTACCCACTGTCGCCCGTTACCGTCACGAACAACCCCGTCTGCGCCGGGCCGCGCCGATTACTTCATTGTTTTGTCACCGAATTTCACCATCCGCCCCTTTATCGATAAGCGACACTATATTTTAAGTCCCCTCGCCCGCTTCCTTTTCGTCCCGTCATCACCCCCTTCACTGCAATTCTATTGACCACGCTGCCGCTCTTTCTGAGGTACGTCTCTTCCTCAGCCGAATTCTTGACTTCAGTGTGCTGAATGATCAGCCTTATGGACTTTAGACCACTTCATCTTTTGCACCGCATCTTTCTCTACGAATTTGCTCCCCCGCCCGGATAGCCCGTCCTGTATCCTAAACGAGAACAACGCTCCTCTGGCATCGAATAGCGCCTGCATCTCGTCTATATACACCATTTCCCTCCATTCGGTCCCCTGGCTGAAAACAATCGTTCTTCGGCCCTCAGAGCCAGCTTCGGTAAACCTACGAGATCGAGTCGACTGCCTTCCCCATCATGCTCGACCATCGTCGTGCTCACGAGAGCAAGAAGACCGTCTCTCGAAAATCGGCCAAGCGAGATGCCGATCGTTTGACTTCCCTGATTTATTCGTCACCCTCCGCTATATCTGCCTCTCGACAGAACTCCCGCGACGTTTCTCGGAACGCTTCGCGAGACGGGTCTCGTAATGTTTCCCGTGATATCTCTCGAGTTCAATCCCGTGTCCAATCCCGGGTTGTTTCTCGAGACGCATCTATTAGTCCAAGTAGAGACCAGTCGGATGATGAATATGAAACGAGCAGCGAGAGTGGAACCTGTCCTAGGTATGCTCCGCACCCGTATTCGTTCCTTGTGTGTGTTTTTATCGACATCAACTGACGTGTGTGACTCTTTAGTACCGCTTCATGGGACGAACGTGGGTACGAAGATTTTGAAGCCGGAATAAAACAAGACAGACCCTTAGCTACTGTTGTGAACGACCTTATTGACCGGAAACACAACTCCCTCCAGGCTCGAGAAGAAAATCTGGCCGCCTACGGGCGCATTCTGGCGCGCCACTACGCGGCAGATGAGATGGAACATAATGTGGGAACTCTTTTGACGGCTTTCTTGCAAAGTATCAAGCAGGAATCGACAGAAAAGGAGACAATCCTAGCGTTGAAGGCGATAGCGCTTACGGCGGTAACGACGTTGAGCGGTGCCGTGTACGACAAGACAGGCTCGGTTGTTCGACGGAAGATAGCCGGCTCTTCGTCTCTTGCGATCAAATCAGCTGCGATACGCTGTTTGGGTGCGTCTGCGTTCTTCGGCGGTGCATCCGAAGATGAACTGTTGGACGAGATGGAATTTTTGATGGAAATTATCATGTCAGACGGCCACTTTATTGAAACTCCAGACGATCCGGAAATCGTCACGGCAGCTCTGCAGGAATGGGGCCTCCTTGCAACCGGAGTCGATGACTTGGAACATCTCAGCGAAGACGCAATGGAGACCTTTGCGGATCAGCTCGACAGCACCGAGCCTGAGGTGCAAACTGCAGCAGGGCAAAACATCGCACTCCTCTACGAGAAAAGCTTCTCTCCCCAAGAAGAGGACGAAGAAATCGACGAGTCAGAATATGATCTACAGATCTCCCACGATGATATCTCCCAGGATGATTACCGTGACGACAACGGCGCGCTGCTCGTACAGCGCTACAAGCCGTATCACAACACACCTGCCATCGAAGGGAAGATCCAGGACCTTGCCAAAATATCCGGTCGTCACATTAGCAAGAAATCCAAGCGCACCCTCCACATGCACTTTGACGCTATCCTTACGACCATTGAAAACCCGCGTCACGGTCCGCGATTCAGACAGTCCATCGACCACGAGAAGAGCGAGTCCTACGGCACCCGTGCTGGGCTAAAATTCCACCGCTTCGCACCCTTAAATCTCAACAGATGGTGGAAATGGTGCAGAATGGCTGCGCTGCAGAGGCTGTTGGCAGGCGGCATTGTTGAACATTATCGCGCGAAGAGCAGAGCCATTGTCGAGTATCTACCGGGGCTATCCATGGATGCCCCCGAGAAAGGAAGACGAAGACGTGGGAAGGATCGAAGGAAGGTGGGAGAGTCGAGTGGCAGAGGTGGAGAGATGGGAATGCTATACGATACCTTGCACGGTTAAAATCTCTTTTTTGGTGGGTTCGGTGATTAAGTTATGGCTTCTGCGTCAGTTTGCTTGCGATATTCGGTTTGGGTTGGCGAGAGAAGGCTATGAAAATTTCGTGTTTGACATTTTGGATAGAGGGGCTTTTGCATCTAATAAGTTTATGCATGAAGAAAAATGTTGGGAGGGTTTCTACTCGCTCAGGAGAATTACTATTGCATTGTTTTACTTACAGCCATCAGAGTGCAAAAAGTTCCAAAACACAACGGACATTGACTATGATGTTTATATACACACCTCTTAAAGTCTTCAGTCTGAATACACTAATATTATGATCAACCCAATTCTTATACTATCGATTGATTTATCCATGACATAAAACCGGGAGAAGAAGAAAGTAGCTCCTATCCTTTCGAAACCCTAAACACCTATGAAAGAAGCTAAAGGACGAGCGAGTACCATGAAGTTTTTCCCCATAGAAATACACGTAAGAAAACAAAAAAGCTGTCTTGATTTTCATCTTCGTCCCTTCTTTCCGGCCAACACATTCGCATACATCGTCTTGAATCCGTTGCATAACGCCATCATGTCTGGATATGGGTTCCGTTGCAATTCGTATCCCTGGGGAATCACTTTTACTGGCCAGCTGTTCATTGACGCATTTTGGCCCGCCTTGAAGCACAGGTGGAAGTAGCCCGGGTGTTTGGGGTCGATGCAAAAGGCGTAGGCAGAACGAGTAGGGTTGGCGGTTGTGTATGTTGTTAACCAACGTTCTATAAAGAGGAATCGGTTAGCGTGAGGATAAATAACGAAATGTAAATACCCACCTGTAGCCTCTTTTGAGCCGGACTGATATTTCTCATGGATTGTCATATCATCCACCTTTCTTGCCATGGCCTTGACATGATTGACAATCAACTCGTCAAGATCGCTGTACGAATACTTCCCGCCAATTTTGAGAATTTTGCCGACGGAGAACTCGTTTTCTTTGTCAAGTTCTAACACATCAATATGCTGGTATACTCCATCTGAGACCTTCCATGTCACTGCGAGATGGTCAGGGCCCTTAGACGAAGGTCGAATGACTGCGTCTCCACGACTTTGCGAAGCGAGGAATTCCTCAGCCTGAGGACCATTGAATGGGCGGAAAAGCGGATGCTTAATAACTCTGAGTGTACGAGTGCTCGTCTTAGTCTCCTCCTTCATTGCTTCTTGATCTTGGTGCTCTTGCTTGTCATCCCATTCATCGCGCATATGATCGAATTCGCGGCGATACGGCCTAATGACCTGGTCTTCGCGGAGAGATGCGTTGGCAATGAAAGCTTTGCGGTTCAAGTAGAGCAGTTTCGCAGGGACAGTTTGGTGAATGGAATATAGACTTCGGACGGGGATATCATATCGGTCGGTGAGCTCCATCTCGGGTATGAGGACATCAACTCCACAGTCAAGTTTGCCGTCGATGTGGTCATCGGTTATTCGTTTGATAGTGACAGGTACAACCATGCCTTCAGCCAAGGTGTCCGCAGTCTCGCCGGTAAACATTGTAAAGATGGCATCTGTGCTAAGGAAGACGAATTGCTTTCGTAATTCCTCATAAGGCTGCTGTAATTCAGCACGTATAGTCTCAAGAGTAGCGCGTTTTCTCTGGTTAAGATTCTTTTCGAGTTGCTCGGCATACTCTTCCAGAATAAGGTCGTTGACTTTTTCTTGAGCATCCTCCTTAACGAGCTTTCTAACGATAGCGCCGGGACCGTTCTCATCTGTCTCCGCTTTGATATCTTCTTCATCGAGTTCGAGCGCATCGGCGGCCATCTTGCGACCAATATCATAGTCTTCTGGATGAACACGAGTATTGTCCAAATAATCAGTGTCGGGATCGGCCGTGTCGTAGTCGATGTAGAGAAAACTGGCACAATTGTTCCATACTTTCACGCCCATTGCAGGATACTGCGCGTTGACTCCTAGTAACTCCATGCGGTTATTCACAACACCACCGTTCATGTTGATGATTTTCAGCAACTGGGAGGCCTTTCGAGGGCCGAGACCGCTCACATAAGTGAGAAGGTTGGCGGTAGCCGGATCATTGACAGCTTCATTGATATCCACACCACATAAGTTCACCATATCAACCAAAGCACTTTCGAGTTGCTTCAAGAGCTTCTCCTGAGAGATAAGTTGCTGGCCTGGTTTGAATTGAATAGACACTATGTCCCGTCCTAACGAAGCGTACTCTTTCATTGGATTCTGTAGATATTTGGCGAGAGAAACGCAGTAGATGGTCAATGGGTGAAGACCGGGGTGCTCCGATCTGGCCTTGTCGCTGGTATGATATAGTCTTGCCACTTCGTCGTTCACTATGACTACTTCGAGAGGATCGCTAACTTCATCATCATTATCGTTGGTATATGGCGAGCTGCGGAGATTCTTTGCATCTATGAGCTCTGCGAGTTGCTTGTAAAGTTTGCGGGTTTCTGGAGACATCCCGGAAATGCCAATCACATCAGGTTTGCGCCGTTCGACGAGATCTATGAGAGAGTTCACGTCTCTACCGTCTGAAATCATGCGGTCTGGATCACCAAGAGTGAGGTCGGTAAATTTGCCGTTTTCCAAGACTCGGCCATCCTCTTCAACCCACGCCCAGTATATTGGGTCTTTGCCAATGATACCAGCACCGGCTGATAAAGTGAGGACACGGGGAATAGTGCCAAGGATCATGCCTTTAGGCTTGTACGGAGCTTGATCGAGTCGTAAGGAGAAAGCTTCTCGGCATTCCTTAGCGACGTGGTTCTCACATTCAGTCTTGATATTTTCCTTGACTCCGCGACTCATGATCTTGTCGAGCCGTGCAAGTGCCATGTCAAGCACTTCCTTTCTCGCTTTGTTCCAGGCATCGGCTACTTCACTGAAGTTGTCGGATTGGATATCACGATAAAGTCGTCTCTTATAATTATCAAAATTTTGGAACCGAACATTGACGTCCACCAAGCCTTCTTCTTCCGCTTTCAGCATGCGCAGGAATAATTCTGGTCGGCGTGCAATGTCACTCAGTTGCTGATTTCGCAAATACTTAAATTCGTAATAAGGGTGATGTTCATCAATCTTTTTTAGGCCCTTTTCAGTCCTGAAACAATCGATAACGCCATTCATATAGAAGGCTCGTCTTAATTCCTTCCTTACTTTTGGGCTCATTATCAACTGTTCTGCAAACATTGTCTTGGCAGCCTTGAGCGCGTGTAAACCGTTTGCAAAGTGAGTGTCAAGGAGCCCGTCCGCCATATCTTCGGGTAGCTCAGTGGGGTCATCAATATGATGTCTCTTTGCTTCCTTCATAGCGTTTTGGGCAAATCCGTCTGGTGTAATTCCGAACGCACGAACAAGACCGTAAGCCTTGCTATTGCGGATACGCTCATAGAAAGTTTTGGTCGCGGCTTTTCGGCGTTGATGAACGGCCCCATTCTCTCCATTTCCATTCACCATCGCAACATCTTTAAGTTCGGATGAGTACTCAAAATAGATATAATCCTGGAGGTCCTGAAGTTCCTCCATGGTCACCGCAGCAGGTAACATCTGCTCAAACACTTCGTCTTTGACGTTTGCGACGTTCTTAAGGTTGTCATAGGTCCGCTGAAGGATGTTCCTCTTGTCAACAAGTGCGCGGAACTTTAGGTCATACTCGAAGATATCCCACAGATCAGTCATGTTTAAGAGTTTCTCTGCTCTAATAACGTAGTCCTGCCCATCGGGATTGGGTGCGCTAGGGGACATTGGAACCTTTGCCGCATGAATCAAGTAATCCTTGCGATGTTGAAAGATGAACGGCACTTCCCAGTCATCAGTAACCATAAATTCAAGGACCTTGACAATAGCTCTCTGGAATGGCTCGCGTAAGTCTGGTTCCAGGCGCTTTTTCAGTAACATAAGATTTGAAATCCATATGGCTTCTTCCTTAAATTGTTCTTCGCTCAGGATGACGTGCTTATAAGGCTTTCTTGCTATCTGGTAGCGCTCGGGTTCGTCACTAAAGCGGATCTCGTTGTCTTCCTCCGTCATCATCTTTTCAGCGAGTTGTGATGGCTCAAAAACATCTTTTAGGTCCAGTGGCTTTTCTTCATCCCCACGTTCTTCTTCATCTTCATCTTCTTCCATTTCAAGGGCGAAGAGATAATCGGTTCCATCACCGAAAGCAGCACGCATATCCTCGAGGGCAGCTTCATCGAGGCCAGTCGCCTCCGTAACAGCAAGTCCAGAGATTCCTTTTTTAACTGGGCGAGCGATCTCTTCGTCTTCCCGCATGCGCTCGCGCTCTTCGTCGGAAAACACATCCTCTTCGATGAAATCATCGAGGTCATCGTGAAGCCCCCTTCTATCTCGGGCACCCATCCGATATCGGTCGATCTCATCCTCCTCTTCGTCGGAGTTGAATATATCGTTGATTCCCTGAGACACCGCACGGTCTCGATCACCTTTATGCCCGCGCTTCAGCCGCTTAAATTTCGACTGTAGGGATGAAAACGCGTATCGTCAGCCAACGTTGAACAAGCAAAGCAATCTCCATTGTGCAGGAGCCATTTACCTCATAAGAAACAGGAGGTTCAAAGTCCGGGTTATTCTCCCCGATAAGATAGATATCTTCCTCGTCCAGGTCCTCATCCTCGAGTGCACGCTCTTCACGGCGTCGCTTTTTCTTTTCTCGTCGTCTTTCAGACGTCTCTTCCTCTTCTTCGTCTTCGTCGACAATGAAACCCTCGCGAACCTGGAGCCATTAGAAATTATTCTATCTGAGGATGATGTTCAGTTGATAAGGCTTACAGCACGAGCGGCGTCTTCATCTTCGTCTTCATCCTCCTCACTGGAATCGTCATAGTGGCCATTTCGATCGGCAGTGCCTCTAGCTACTTCACCGGTCTCCTCGTCGTAGTCTTCATCATTTTCCTCATCGTCCAACAAGGCCTCATTCTCTAAAAGCTCGGCGGCGCTCATTGCGTTGGGTCTAAATGCCGCCACCAAGTCAAACAAACAAGAATGGGTGTCGCACTCCTTTGAAGCAGTGAAAGCAAAGGAAATCGACAGAAAGTGAGCTTGATCGGGGAGAATGGGGGAAGAGGGTTAAAAAAAAAATTCCCTGCCTCCCATAGTCCTCTCCTTGCGGCCGCCCATCAGCTCAAGTCGGCGTCGTGAGTGCTGAAATCGAGCTAGTCCTCAACAGGCCTAGCTCCCCCTCTGCTGTGGCGACTTAAATCACGTGAATATATACGTAGCTTAGTCACATATGTGCTTATATAATACATTTTGTTTAAACTATCTTGGTATATATCACGTGTTGCAACCCGTCTGGAGCGATCGCGGCAGTGTTGCCTTTTTCGGCCACTGGATGCGACGATAAAAGTCGGGATGATAGTTTGGTGGGCAAAGAATGTTGCTTGTACCAAACTTGCCTTAAAAGTTTAAGAGCCCAATAGGCTGACTGGCACACTCCGTAGACATGACAAGGCAAATGTATGACGATGGAGTAATATGGAGGATGATACGGAGTACTTCGTAAAAGAGTATGAGCTACCGCGTGGTCGTGTTTGACTTTCGGGCGTCCAACGGTTTAGGGGAGGTTTCAGGCCATGGGATTGGCATGGAAGAACAGCCAACAGGAACCCATACGTACATCAATTATCGCAAAGAACCAACTCGAAATGGAACGTAGAAGGTGACTTAACTTATGTGTCGATGTCTGGTCACTCTGTTCTTCTTAGAGCTGCCAATCATTCCCTTAGCCAGTGTTGGCTCCTGTTTCCTGCTCGTTTCTCCATTTGTTCGTCTCACATTTCTATCCAATCTCAGGCAGATTCTCACTTCGTCGCTGAACCCACCCGGATTGCCAACTTGAGAATCCCTGGCATTTAGGCGCTGCATGGGTTCAATACACGCTTTAGCTCAAGCGAACTATTATTATTGCCATTCACTACTCCGTAGTTAGCGCCTTGTGCTAAATTCTCTGAACCTTGCAGAAGCCCAGTCCAATAACCAGTCCAGTCCAACCCCTCTCTCCATGCCAAACTCGCTCGCCGTGTTGTCGACCGCCAACGACCAGTTTTTGTTCAATGCTTGAGCCTTCTGGAATCTTATTTCCGGTCGACGAATGGCCTAAGTTCTCGAGAGTTTTTCTAAATTTGTGAAAATCGTCCACCCGCCCCCGATTTCAGCCCGCAGGTGTCCGGATCTGGAATCTCACAGGCGATCTTCGATATTCCGCTAAATAGGACTCTCCCGGAAAATTCGCCCTCGAAAGGAACAAAAGTAAAAAAAAAAAAAAAAAAAAAAAAAAAAAAAAAAAAAAAATTTCTCTCAACAACTTACTTTCAATAAATATCTTTGGCGATTCTTCTCCCTTCCCACTGCGTGTCTCTTCCCGATATCCCGTCCACAGACCACCATGGCGGACGCCTTCAAAGCCCGAACGCTAAAACGGAAGAATGTTAAAGGTCTCGCACTTAATGCCGCAGCATCGAAACTGGGATCAAAACCGTCCGATGGGGACGCACAAATCCCCGGAGCGATTGGGAATACTGACAGCAACCGCACGGACACCCTTGAGATTGGATTGGAGTTTCAACTTGATCTGCGGAGTGAAGACCTAATGGTCCTGAAGGAGCTTGGGGCTGGCAATGGAGGAACAGTTAGCAAAGTGATGCATGCTTCCACAAAAGTAATCATGGCTAGAAAAGTACGTCCTTTCTCGCCCACTGCCGTAGACTTGTTCCTCAGAGCTAATCCGCGATTCTTGCTGTCCTAGATCATCCGGGTTGATGCTAAAGAGAAGGTCAGAAAGCAAATATTGAGGGAGCTGCAAGTCGGCCGTCACTGTGACTCTCCTTATATCGTTACGTTCTATGGTGCGTTCACAAACGAGGCTCGGGATATTGTGCTGTGTATGGAGTACATGGATGGTGGGTATGTTGAAAGCCGGTTATGCGTTGCACATCTATTCATTTGTTTGGGGCCTGACATCTCTATCACAGTTCTCTCGATCGCATTTCGAAGGATTTTGGACCTGTTCGGGTTGATGTTCTAGGAAAGATCGCGGAGTCAATCTTCGCCGGCCTTGTCTATCTATACGAAGCACACCGTATCATGCATAGGGACATTAAGCCATCTAATGTTCTCGTTAATTCTAGAGGACATATTAAACTCTGCGACTTTGGCGTTGCAACGGAAACTGTCAACTCTGTGGCGGACACATTCGTTGGCACTTCGACCTACATGGCCCCTGAGCGGATTCAGGGGGAGGCCTACTCCGTGCGATCCGACGTATGGAGCGCCGGACTAACGATTATGGAACTAGCAGTTGGTCGTTTCCCATTTGACTCGTCAGATACAGCTGCCGGAGACAGGGCTAGTGCTGGCCCGATGGGCATTCTGGACCTGTTACAACAGATAGTCCATGAGCCCGCCCCAAAGCTTCCAAAAAGCGATGCCTTCCCCACGATTCTAGACGAATTTGTTGCTAAATGTTTGCTTAAGAAACCAGGAGAACGACCAACTCCACGTGAACTTTTTGTAAGATCTCTATGCACCATTTATCCACTTTCTCATGGCTAACCTCGTCAACGCAAGGACCACGATGCTTTCATCCAAGCTGCCAAGAGAACTCCAGTTAACCTCCGAGAATGGGCCATTAGCATGATGGACAGGCACAATAGAAAGTCCTACCTGGCGCCACCAGCCCCTCGAGCGATCAACCGGGACGGGTCAAGAGACTCCATATCTGAGTCGAGATCTCAACAGCAGCCGGATCCTCATTCCCACCCAACTCCTACCTCTGGGGAAATTCCCTTGAATTACTCGCATGAACCATATATTCAACGCGACGAACAAACACCTCGCGCAAGCAACCCCTCTCCAACTCTCGGCCTCGAGCACCTCAGTATCAACAACCATAGCCAACCCCAAGTAAATGGCCAGGCTGGGTGGCCTAGAAGATCTCCATATACGCCTGGTCATCATTCCAATACCAACTCACCTCAGACGTTCACGTCGCCACGGGCTGCTCCGTCACCTCGTCACCCATCGCCTAGAAATCCCCCACAGTCCGCCGGCCTGCCACTACGGACTGGCCCTCCATCCAATGGGCAAATGCCTCCTCCTCCACCAGCCTCTAGTGGGCTAGGTCCGTGGTCACGGAGTCAGGGTAATCGGGCTTGAGCTGGCATTGAATATTTGAGTTATCGTACAGTTTCCAAGTATACGTGATTGTCAAGAGCTCTCTCCTCCGATATGTTGTTATCTCAGTTCTAATCTCGTACCGTCTACAAGCTTATGTTCCTTTCAGTCTAGCGTCTGTTTATGGATGGCTTTCACCGTCTCTCTTTTATCTCTTTATCTCCATTTTTATATGCATATCAAGGCGTTGCACCGCATTGATAACGTTTCTTGCGATTTTCACAGCTTTCGAACCTTTTTCCTCTTTCCGTCTCAACGGAAAATAAGACACGTTTTTGGCGTTGTTGATGTTTTTGGAATGTATTTTTCGACTATATTGAATAACTATGTGCTTGCGATCTCATTGAATTGTCGCCTTTTTTTTTCTCCCCACCCCCGTTTTCTCCGCTTCCCTAGAGAAAATATGATCGATCCCACGACCAACACTTCGGTTTATTCTGCACAGGAATTGGTTTCGCGGTGCTGAGAAAATGGGATGAATTTGGCTCATTACTTTGGCCTCTACCATTCCGGGCCGACGATGTTATATTTTGGGACCCGTACTCTCTCCTTTTGACCTTTCATATAAATTTGGGTATTGGGACTAAGGAGGCGATTAGTAGCTAATATCATAATGGTTTTGATAGAGTGTGTATCAAGGCCATGCCACACTTGAGCATTGGGAGTCCTAGGATCATGGCTTGAACGCCTTATATTTAGCAAGGGAATTAGGTTACTGTATTCTTTGGATCGGGATAGGTGCTAATCTTCCCCTGCCCTCCATCCCTCCCAAAAAGGAAAAAAAAAAAAATGAGAAAAAAAAAAAATGAGAAAAAAAAAAAAAGGTAAACACCAAAAGGATGCAACTTAAGGAGTGACGGGTTGATACAGGAAAATGTGGAGGTTTATCAGTGAAGCTGACAAAAATACTGTATTGCGGTGAACAGAGCTAAGCCTAAAGAAGGAATAAATCTGGATTCTGTAATTAATTTTTATTGCGGATTTGAGAGATTTGAAGGATTTGGAAGCTCTGTGGCTCTCGCTCGCTGCTGGAGCTCGTTGCATGGCGGGGTGTTAGGTAATCCAACTAGCACCTCGCTCACGTGACCCACATAGATTAGCCGAGATTCCCCTTTAGGTAGCTTAGTGGATGACAAGCATACAAGTCCTCCATCAGATATGACGCAACGTTCATGAACTTGGGCGGAAACTGCAACACGAGCGTCATATATTATGTGTGTGTGTATATCATATTTTTCATAGGCCTTATGCAGTCAGAGACTATGAAGGCTACGCTATCTGTCCAACTAGTTACAGGCATGTGTCCTCCTCAATGTGGGGACTTCAGTTAAGTCATTCCATTTAACTAAGCTCAAACTGCACATGATTCCCAGGGGAGGCCATGCCAGGCCTCTTACAACTCATGTCATTCTCCTGATTGGAGCCATGCCCCAAGGGAAAATCCTCAAAACCTTGAGTGTAACTGACACATCTTGACATTTGCAAACCAATAGAAAGCACATGATTAAGTGGATCATTTTGTAAACCACACAGGCCCAGTACATCTCATACCTAACTCATGTACTCCGTATATTTCTGATCTATAACAACCAATTATAACTGCCAACAAGATAGCACCCGTTCTCCTAGGGGATGGGATCCCCCATGGTAAAGATTTCTTTTTGGTTGAGGTGAGATTCAAACTCGCAACCTTCTGTTCAGTGTGGTCGACTCCCCAATCAACAGAACACCTACTTCAGAAGGATTCCAGGCTGGCCCTTTACCACTCGGCCAACCACCCCACCGTCATATATTATATGAGCAGCGCGCTCCAAGAAGTGCTTTCCTTCCTTTTGCCCCTCAGTCCAGGAGGCAGTAATGTGAGAATATACATCAGTCGTGGGAACAAATATACGCATTGCTTACGATGATTAAACTACGTCCCGAGATTGACGAAGAAAATACCCGATATGTGAACGGCGGCGCTCCCCCGCAGCCGTTTCTGGTGATGCTCCCGCCAAAAGAGTCTTTGCCGACCATCCGAACCGAACGGCTTTGTCTCCGGCCGGTAACGCTTGATGATGCACAGGCACTTTGGGATGCAAGGTCGAAAACGTCGGAGTGGCTGTACGTTGCTACCTGTCGTCGCTTACCTTGAGGGATCGATGTTTAACCAAACCCGTTAACTAATTTTTCTGGGGTCAATTTAGTTCGCCGTATACGTCCAGTGACGAGATGTACCAGTGGCTGAATAGAAAGACGTTCACGGAACCTGCAGCTGCGGTAGGACTCATGTTTCAATTTGTGATAGTGCTGGGACAGAATCCTGCGGGGAAAGTGATTGGATGTCTGGGCATGAACACCGTGTATCCAGTGCCGAATATTGGATATTGGGTGGGCGAGGAATATGGGGGGATGGGGTACATGTCAGAGGCGCTGGCTGGCCTCATGGCTATGTGGTGGACATTCCCGAGGCGCAAAGGGGTGTCTGACGAGGAGAAGAGGAGGGAGGGATGGGATGGTAATGAGAGGGTGTTTGCAACTGTGAATAAGAGGAACCTGCCAAGTCTCAGGGTGCTGGAAAAGAACGGGTTTCGGGTGTATCTCGATAAGACAATGGCCGATGGGGAGGTGCTGTGCTGCGCAGCGGCGGAGCGACCGGAGTTGTCATGCGACATGGAGCAAAGCTATACGGGGAAGAAAGGTTATTCCGTTTCCGCCGGGCTTTTAAGTTGAACCGAATCGGATAAATTAGTCAGAAATTACGCCCTTAGTAATGGTATTTACGGAGTACAGCCTTGTGGCCTCCACCTGCGATCAACAGTATGCAGCTTGTGCCGAAGGCAGTGTAAAAAGCTCTTGATCTGGGTGTTTTGTCAGATATCTGCTTGTTTGCGAAGAGTATGTGGACCGGCGTCAAGCAGATCGCATTCCTGCTGCTTGGACGGACTTTCCTTAGAGCAAGGGCTGGCCAGCATTTCTTTAAAATCCGCGACGTTGTATCAAGCAAACAGTGCAAACACTTTCACGTGGGGGGCCGGGGAGCCTCGGTCAGTGTGATGCACGACTTCTACAAGGAGCAGCTCCACCTCTTCCCAGCAAAGTGATATATAAGAAGAAGCATATCACATTAATTATCTCCATCAGTGTGTATGTTACTATCCCATAACTGTTGATTATTCTTGACAAAAACACTTGTTATTGATCTACAGTATTTATGAGACTCTAAATACGGAGTACTAACAGCTCCGTTGCGCGTTGCTGATCTCACGACGAATTACCCACTGCACTTCTCCAACACCCCAATCAGTTCATCATGGGTGCTGTTGATATTCCGAAGCTCCGGTTCACGCCTGTGGATGAGATCCCAGAACGTGTTAGGCGCCTCCGGACGACTTTCTTTCAGCAGAAGACCAGACCAATTGATTTTAGAATCTTGCAGCTCCGGAAACTATATTGGGCGTATGTGTTATACTCTTCCTTGGAGTTTTGCGTTCTTCAGCCTTGTGATCTAGTGCTAATTCTGGCCTTATCTCACTGCAGTATCAAGGACCGTGAACGTGCAATTAAAGAGGCGCTTCACCGCGACCTGGGAAAAGCCGAATATGAATCGTATCTGACAGAAATCACTATGTTGGAAAATGATATCATTTTCTGCACCAAGAATTTACCGAAATGGGCTAAGGACGAGAAAGCGCCCGATATCGATCTGACTTATTCGCTGATGAAGCCCACAATCAGAAAGGACCCGTTGGGATGTGTGCTGATTATTGGGTTCGTAGAGCCTCGAAATATGGCCACATACGGTATAACCCAGTCTTTGAAGTTAACAAATGGTTCCTAGAGCATTCAATTTCCCTTTTCTACTTACCCTTGGTCCCGTCATCGGTGCTATCGCTGCTGGAAACACGGTTATGATTAAGCCCAGTGAAACTGCGGCCAACTCTGCCGCTGTAATTCAGGATATCATCGAAGCTACCTTCGATCCATCTTTTGTATGCATGACTCAAGGAGGAGTTGAAGAGACAAAGACCTTGCTCTCACAGAAGTGGGATAAGATCTGCTTCACTGGCAGCAGCAAAGTGGGTCGTATTGTCGCCCAAGCAGCCGCTCCCAATCTTACGCCTGTTCTCCTGGAGCTTGGCGGCCGTAACCCTGCTTTCATCACCAAGAACGCGGACCTTAGGCTGGCTGCACGACGTCTTCTGTGGGGCAAAACATTGAATGCTGGTCAAGTCTGTACGTCGCAGAACTACATTCTCGCTGACAAGGAGGTCGTGCCGAGACTCGTCGATGAGTTTGCGAAGGCTTTGAAGGAATACTATCCACAGGGTCTTAAGGCGTCTCCAGACTATTCTCGGATGATCAACGAGGCCGCATTCCATCGTGTCAAAGCCATGATTGATAACAGCAAAGGCAAGATACTGCTTGGAGGTACAATGGATGAAGCGGAGAAATTCATCGAGCCGACTGTAGTCCAGGTTGACTCTGTCGAGGATTCTCTGCTAACTGAAGAAAGCTTCGGCCCAATCATTCCCATTCTACCAGTTGAAAACTTGGACGAGGCCATTAAAATCGCAAATGAAATCGACAGTACTCCGTTGGGTCTCTATCCCTTTGGAACTAAGCAAGAGGTTGAAAAAGGTACGTTTGGACGTTTCAATCCCCGTGAAGCTTCACATAGTTAAGGATAGTCTAACACAAGCTCATTAGTCCTTACCGCTGTTCGCTCTGGGGGAGCTTCCATAAATGACGCATTCATGCACATTAGCGTTCCAACATTGCCATTCGGCGGAGTTGGCGAGAGCGGAACTGGCTGCTATCATGGCCGCAGCAGTTTTGAGGCATTCGTCCACCGTCGTTCGATCACCACTACTCCAGGTTGGGTGGAACGCGTCTTGGCTATTCGCTATCCGCCATATTCTGGCAAGCTTAGCAAGTTCTTGGGGGCTGGAGCCATGAGACCAAATTTTGACCGCAGCGGCCGGGAGAAGCGTGGCATGTTAGGCTGGCTGGTTTGGATGGTTACCTTGGGTGGTGGAGCAACTAAGTCTGGTGCTGCGAGAAGTACCGCAGCTGCTCTCGGTTAGTACATCAACTTTTCCCTTCTTCTTCCTCCTGAAGAGTATGCCCTAGTGCAAACCCCCTGTTTTCTCATTTTTACATCCATTTGCATTCTTTTTGCCAACATATCCTGGATTATCGCAGATAAAATGCCGGCAGATAAAGCACTGTGATACCTTCTGGTCGATATCTGCGTTATTTTCTTGTCTTGTACATTTCTTTTGTTAAAACCTATACCCCTTGTCAAGCTTTTTGATATTCAGCGGCTCCATTTTGGGCTGCCTTTGTTGGATACTCTCCCCTTCATCCCTTCCCGCTACGGATGAATACTAATTCTTTCCCTTTTAATTACTGATTTTTAAATTTCATTTCACTTTTCTCCGAACATTGAACACCCAATTTATCTAATTTATCATTATCTAATGATGAAAACAGTTGCATATGGTCTTCAGCAATATGCCAAGCGAGCGTCAAAGCTCTGAATTGATGTATTATCATATTGCATCGCGACAACTAGAACGAGGACTCGAGACAGAGATACCTAGTGGAACTGGCCATCATTTTTGTATAAATTCTCTTTGAATCGTGTTTGCCCTTTTGGGATATTCTATCAGAGGATCTTTACTCGGCATTCGCACGCGTGATCTATTTGTTTTCACAGTACTCCATATATTGTATTGATAACCTTAGTGAACATTTTAGTCGTGGGTGGTTGAAAAATGATATTCATTTCCCTGTTTGTTTTTAAAACCACAGTTGTCAACGTTGTTTTAATTCCCAATGCAGGTTATTATTATCTATGATATCCAAGCCACAGCCTCTTAAATGCTGGATTCTCTAAATCTCAGCCTAGCATGCCCTTCAGAACCATCATCAGCACCTTCTCTCTACTCCCTTCCGGCTGACACAGATATATTTCACCCCCTTGTACGGCTTCACGCCTTCTCCCAACCCTCGACTGCGTCGCGGGTCAACGACCAATCCATCTACACGGATCCCGCTCGGAAGCCATCCGCGCACTGAAAACGAGATAGATACAGAGTTCGGCATGAGAAGGGCGTTAGGGTGCGGCTTATCGGTTTTTGACGCAGCCGATTTATTGCGACTCGAAGAAGGCGAGTAGAGTCCCTGGGATTTAGCTTGGGACATGAGCGTGTCCTCGTCATAGTAGCCTTGGAGGGGGTTGATCCGGGATATCTGGGAAGAAGTTGGGGTGCCGTCGTCGTTCTCATCGTATTCCTCCTTGTTGTCAGCGTTTTCTGTATCGAGAGGCCCGACTACCGTACATCGCAGGACGGCCGTGCCGGAGATGCTTCCCGCATCTCTAGTGGTGGTGGGGACGCGCCATTCTAAAAATTCGTTGCCGGGCATGAAAGTCGCGTCTCCTCGGCTGGCTTGGATATCAGTGATATACCTGACGGAAGGTGGTATTGGCACGGTCACAACCACGTCATCTAAAGTCGGGGACGACGAGGTGCTACTAGCGCCAATATTTCCAAGGAAAGAGGGTGTTGAGGTTCCCGAACCGCGGTTGGACCCGCCGCCGCCCCGTGATGAAGCGTTTGTACCTGGAAAGTAGGTATTCAGAGTGAGTCGGACCTCGAAATCTAACCCATTGGGTCCAAGAGACTTTTGCAACGAGGCTGTTGCTGGAAGGAATAGTTTCTCCATATGAGTTGGCGGCTCGTCCAGGTCAGGGTCTACAGGGAGTAAATTGACCTCATAGCCTGCGAGAATGAATCGTCCGTCTGGCGGTACGAAACTGAGGTCTCCAGGTCTCTCGCGCCATCGAGCTAATCGCACGCAGGGATGGAAGACAGGTAGCTCAAGCTTATGTGCCAAACTCTTTTGTCCTCCAGGTGCGGTTAGAGAGAGCAAGAGGTTGGGGACGCCGGAGATTTTGGAATTAAAGGCGATGGTGCCGTTCGCTATGGCGGAAATGGCACGGCCTGATGGAGCAATTATAACATGGAGAGATTCAATGATATCAACGTATAATTCATTTGAAGTGTGACGGACGCCCTGGCGACGCCAGGGGATCGCGGGGCCCGTGGCTGCAGAACCGCTAGCTGCGGGCATGGTTGTTAACGACCTTTTGAGCGTGTTCGAAGGTCCAAGGGACGGGGATGCACTGGATCGATAACAGCCCTAGTTAGCCATCGTATATAACGCGAATTCGGAGAATAATGCCATGTATCACCCTGGTAATCCCACTCCGCTCAGGAACTTGTTCATCCACCCAGGAACTTCAACTACCTCCTGTAATGCGTTTGGCTCCGTACTGCACACCACACCCGCGTCGCACATCTCACTCAATAACTGTCCCACTACATCGTAGTTACTTTGAATTTTGGTTGCCAGCAACGGTGCTCCGACGAAGTCTTCGAGGACATCGACGACGCGGTGGAGGAATTCGAGGACTTGGAGGGGTTCTGTTTCGGCGCTGCTGGGTACGAGAAAGAGAAGATTCGCGTGGACTATTGAGAATACAGAGACGGGAGGGCTAGCACTTGGAAGATATATCACGGACGGTCGCGGAACGGAATGCTCGAGGTAAAGTGGGAGGAGAGCTCTGGCGGAGGGCGGGCGGGATCGGTAGATGTGCTCGAGAATGGGCGTGCTACATTGCAGCTGTGAGCTTGGTGCGATTGTTGCTTCTTTGGCTCGACTTACTTGAGATCATCGTAGATGTATAGCGCTTCTATCGTATTGCTCATCTTTGCGAGTGCATGTTGTTGCTCCGCCGAAGACTTGTTGGTTGATTGCGAGAAATGCTTTCGTTATCAACCGTTTCGTCTGAGGTCATCGCAGGCTCGCCCCGTTTGATTGGTCGGGGAGCTTGTTCCGACATCCTCACTCTGCGATCCACCGAAGAACAGAATCTACTTTTCGCGCACCTAGGAACCGGTAAGCTCCCTTACCTGTGAGGTAGCTTGGAACCTGTATGAACTGACTGTTTTGTTTCGTTTTAGAGTACTCCCTACCAGTGGATCCTCGAAAAGTCGACAAATTCAGCTCGTCGCAACTTACCCAGGCGGGCCGAGATGGGCCGCATCAATGATGCTCCATGGGACATAAACCCCAAAGATATCGAAAATATGGTTAATAAGGATAAATATGAAGATGATTGTTTGGCCTGTCGTCTCATGGGTGAGTTGCTTGTCGAAAATTCTGACGAAATCGGACCTAGGTCTACAAAACTAAGGCAGATTTTGGGAAATAGGCAGTGCAGCATTTGCCGGCCTTGGTGGCTATAGTTATGTTACGGGAATGAGAAATCTACGACAGCAAGAAGCGGCTATTTTGAAGAGCGGGTCGAAGTATAGGATGGGCTCGAGGCGGCTTGGAGTGGTGTCGATATCGGCGACTCTTGTGGGACTTGGAATTTGGCGATTTATGAATTAAGACTGGAATTCTCGATATCCTCCCTGAAGCGAAAGTCAATTCCTCCATATAGAGAGTCTGGCGTTCAAATTTTTGAAGGGCGGTGTTGGCAGGAACCATGGGTATCATGTTGGAAAGCTATCTACAGCGACATCTTATATGCACATGGACAAAAAAAAAGTATAATATTACCAAAAAAAAAAAAAAAGGACAATGGGGAACTCCGCAGAATGCTTTAAGCGTATAGATCATCAGTGGCAACCAATATAGCAATGCTTCTCATCTATCATGAAAACAAATCGCAACGCTTGCCTATATGAACCGGCCCCGCTTGCCTCCCCCAAAGACATCTTTTCCATTCCCTATGTTTGAAATATCGAAGAAGTCGCCAAAGTGGAATTTTCGTTTCGATCCAATGGTCGCCGCCGGATCTCTCGTCGATGAGCGGCCATTGTGTCGGGAGTTGCTTCGGTGAGGGGTGCGAGGCCCGCGAGGAAGGACCTCGAGCCGGAGGGAAGGGGAGGTTATGTGTGGAGGGCTGACTTGGGAATCGGCCTGCGTCGGGGCAGAACCGTCAGACGTCCGCATATCAACGTCCTCTTGCGGCGGAGCAGGGAATTGTGGACCGGCAGTGAAGGTGAAGAGCGGAGGGCGAGCGAAAGTGGCGGATTCGTTTGTGGACGATGTCTGGGGTTGGATTGTAGGTTCAGGTCGGGGTGGAGACGCGGATCTGGATTGTCGATTTGCGCGAGCAGCGTCAGCGGTATCTTTCCGCACCGTGTTGGGCGAAGTGCTTCGGTTTCTCTTCTCGCAATCCACTCGTTCATCGTCACTGTCATTTGCAGCGGCCCCTGTGCCATCTATCCTATCTGCTATCCAGCTGCGAACCTTGTTGGCTTCGCCGTCGCCGAGGCCAATTCCTTCTCGATCTAGAAAGGCTCGAAGGTCTTCGAGGGCGTCCTGATAGCCGAGGTGTCGTGACTGTGTTTGGTCGGCAACAGCGCTCTTGTAGAGGTTTGTGACAGAGAGGGCGGCGGTTTTGAAAGCTTGAAGTAGCACTTCGGGGGGTTGTGACGATGATGACGATGAAGGCAAGGAACTGTTGAGGGACCGCATAGAATCCATGATGGGCTGGCTGGCACCAAAGGCCAGCGGTTCAGCTCCCGTCGAGGTCTTCCTTCGAATGCAAGTCTGTGTTTACGCCCGGTAGATTTGAAGGGCTGATGTTGCTGGGCGTGAAGAAAAATGGAAAGGAAAAGTGGGGGGTTCCCAAGTCTGGACGTCGACAGGATTTTGACTAAAAAGCAAGGACAGACACGGCCCAGGGTACTCTCTGAAGTGCTGAAGCGAACGACAGACAGCGGCGAGATCGCAGAGAGCGGACCAAAGCGAAGAGCGTCAGACAATGCTGGCTGACAACTGACGGCAATCCTGCGCTGTCACTCGCCTTCGGCCGACGAGTCAGCCTGCTGGCTGACTGGGCATTGGTCATGTCCGGGGTAATGCTGCTGTAAGTTACGTTACCACCTGCCGCCGTTTCCGCAGGAACGGGCGTGTTTTGCCGTTACAGGCACCGTGTGCTTAGTCATATCCGGAGAAATGATGTTCCACATACAGACCCATTTCGGCGGCGGGGCTTATGTTAGGTAATCCAACCAGCACCTCGCTCACGTGACCCACATAGATTAGCCGAGATTCCCCTTTAGGTAGCTTAGTGAATGACAAGCATACAAGTCCTCCATCAGCTTATCATATCCGGAGAAATGATGTTCCACATACAGACCCATTTCGGCGGCGGGGCTTAGTCAGGTAGCTGTGGCCAATCAGCGCGTAGGATTTGCCCGCTCAAGCTTACATGAGCTAATTAGTCGGTCTTCCCGCGCGGTGCGTTTTGCTTCACTCAACCAGGAAGGGAATCCAGCACAACTTCTCTCCTCAACCTTTCGCCATCTCGCTTCCTCGTCAACCCTCCCATGCTCCTCCACCCACCACGCGCTGCTGCAACCAAGATTAGTCTGGCTTTGCGCGCTGAACCTGCTCCTGCAATCCTTGGCTCTACTTGGGTCCCCGGCACTCATCTTTACGCGTTTTCCTCGGTCTCCGGCGGATAGGCCCAGTTCCGCCGCGCGGCTTTTCACGCCAGGATGGCCCCGTCACCCAACGTTGAGATCCCCTCGGAGGTAGACGCACCCATGGTCGATGTCAACGGAGAACGGGCCACAGATGCGGCGGAAGATCACGCCGATCAGATCATGACGGTATGTTTGTTCCCCATACGATTGTATACCCAATCTCGCTTTTTCTCATGATGCGCTCCTGTTCATGTCTCTCTGGGCAAATCCTGACGCTTAATCTTGCAGGATTACCAAGATACGCCTGATTACACGGTAAGGATATCTTCTCTCCGCTTGGGAGTGCGTTGCTCCCCCTCGAAGCGACAGACGACCTAATATACTTTAGGATTCGGACACTCACCCAAATACAACTGCCAGCAGCGTTGCCGGTGATTTGGCGCCGATTGATGGTCGAAAACGTAGATCAGAGGCTTTTCAACTCCGCAAGTCAGTCCTGGGCAAGAAGCATGGACGTCTTGACGAATCTAAGGCAAGTTGCGGGGCGCGACTAAACCTTGAAGTCGAATAGAGCATTCTAACCTTTTTCTACGTACAGGAAGACGATTCCATTCGAAGGTTTCGGTACCTGCTTGGGCTCACAGACTTATTTCGCCACTTCATAGACACCAACCCAAATCCGCGAATTAAGGAGATTATGGCCGAGATTGACCGCCAAAATGAGAAGGAAACAGAAAAGAAGAAAAGTTCGACCCGTAAAGGTGGCGCCAGCGGCGAACGTCGTCGGAGAACCGAACAAGAAGAAGATGCGGAACTTTTGAAAGATGAAAAACAAGGTGGGCCTGCGGAGACGGTCTTTCGGGAGTCTCCCTCGTTCATCAAAGGTGGTGAGATGCGGGATTACCAGATTGCTGGTCTGAACTGGCTTATCTCGTTGCATGAGAACGGTATATCGGGAATTCTAGCGGACGAAATGGGTCTCGGCAAAACATTGCAGACAATCTCCTTCTTAGGTTACTTACGGCACATTTGTGGCATTACTGGCCCCCACCTGATCACAGTTCCTAAATCAACCCTGGATAACTGGAACCGCGAGTTTTCAAAATGGACGCCGGAAGTGAATGTGCTTGTCCTTCAAGGAGCCAAGGAAGAGCGTCACCAGCTTATCAACGACCGCCTCATCGATGAAAAGTTCGACGTATGCATCACTAGCTATGAGATGGTCCTTCGCGAGAAGTCCCATCTCAAAAAGTTCGCATGGGAGTATATCATCGTCGACGAGGCTCATCGTATTAAGAACGAAGAGTCGTCTCTTGCTCAAATTATCCGCCTATTTAACTCCCGAAACCGACTGCTCATCACCGGTACCCCGCTGCAAAACAATTTGCATGAACTCTGGGCTTTGCTCAACTTCTTACTACCCGACGTTTTTGGCGATTCAGAAGCGTTTGACCAATGGTTCTCCAATCAAGAAGCCGACCAAGACACTGTGGTTCAGCAACTTCATCGAGTTTTGCGGCCATTCTTGTTGCGACGAGTCAAGAGTGATGTCGAGAAGAGCTTACTTCCTAAGAAGGAGGTTAACCTCTACATTGGCATGTCAGAAATGCAGGTCAAATGGTACCAGAAAATTCTCGAGAAAGATATCGATGCGGTAAATGGCGCACAGGGCAAGCGAGAATCGAAAACTCGACTCTTAAACATTGTGATGCAGCTTCGTAAATGCTGTAATCACCCGTATCTTTTCGAAGGTGCAGAACCGGGACCGCCTTATACCACCGATGAACATTTGGTCGACAACGCCGGAAAAATGGTTATTCTTGATAAACTTTTGAAACGGTTAAAAAATCAGGGCAGCAGAGTTTTGATATTTTCCCAGATGAGTCGCGTACTCGATATCTTGGAGGATTACTGCGTTTTTAGAGAGCATGCATACTGCCGGATAGACGGTTCAACTGCTCATGAAGACCGCATCGCGGCAATCGACGACTACAATCGGCCGGAATCCGATAAGTTCATATTCCTACTAACAACAAGAGCCGGTGGCTTGGGAATCAACCTTACTTCTGCCGATATCGTCATCCTCTACGATAGCGACTGGAACCCGCAAGCTGATCTACAGGCCATGGACAGAGCCCATCGTATCGGTCAAACAAAACAAGTCGTTGTTTTCAGGTTTGTTACCGAAAATGCTATTGAAGAAAAGGTATTGGAGCGAGCAGCCCAAAAGCTGAGATTGGACCAACTTGTCATTCAGCAAGGCCGGGCCCAGCAACAAACCAAAAACGCGGCTTCGAAGGATGAACTTCTTAGTATGATCCAGCACGGTGCCGCAAGCGTCTTCAACAGTTCGGGAGGTACTGGAACCCTAGCCGGAGGGAAAGATATTTCGGAAGATGATATTGACCGGATACTGAAGAAGGGTGAAGAAAGAACAGCTGAACTGAACAAGAAATATGAAAAACTCGGTATCGACGATTTGCAGAAGTTTACTTCCGATAATGCGTACGAATGGAATGGAGAAGATTTCACCAATCGCAAGAAGGACATTGGCCTCAATTGGATCAATCCAGCGAAACGTGAACGAAAGGAACAATCCTATTCTATCGATAACTACTATCGGCAAACAATACCTACTGGAGGACGGACAGCCGACCCAAAGCCCAAGGTTCCCAAAGCTCCAAAGCAGATTGCCGTCCACGATTGGCAATTTTTCCCACCCAAACTTCGGGAACTCCAGGATAAAGAGACCGCGTATTTCCACAAGGAAATCGGATACAAAGCTGTTCTTCCAGAAGGTACAGAGGAGGACTTGAGCGACAGAGAAGCAGAGCGTGAACTTGAGCAGCAAGAAATTGACAATGCAATCCCTCTCACGGAAGAAGAAAAGGCTGAAAAGGAAAGGCTCTCAGAGCAAGGGTTTGCGACTTGGAACCGTCGTGATTTCCAACAGTTCGTCAATGGATCCGCCAAATTTGGCAGGACGGATTACGAAGGCATTGCAACTGAGGTTGACAGTAAGATCCCTGAGGAAATCAAGGAATATGCCAAAGTTTTCTGGAAGCGGTACACGGAGCTCCAGGATTATCCCAAATACTTGCGCTCCATTGAGCAAGGTGAAGAAAAACTGCGCAAAATGAACCACCAGCGCAAGCTACTTCGCAAAAAGATGGAGCAATATCGCGTGCCTCTCCAACAACTCAAGATCAACTACAACGTGTCGACTACGAACAAAAAGGTATACACCGAAGAAGAGGATCGATTTTTGCTCGTCATGCTTGATAAACACGGTGTTGACGGCGAAGGCTTGCATGAGAAGATCCGGGAAGAAATAAGAGAAAGCCCTCTTTTCCGATTCGACTGGTTCTTCTTGAGCCGCACTCCAGTCGAAATCAGCCGAAGATGTACAACTCTGTTGAATACTGTGGCTAAAGAATTCGAGGCGGATGGAAATGTACCCAATGGCCATGCCGGTAAGGGAAGAGGACGAGACCGGGACGATGATATGGAAAATGGCGAGGTAAATGGCCCTGCAAAGAAAAGGTCAAAGAACGGGGCGGTGGTAAGTCCAAATGAGCCTCCTTCCCTTCTGCAAGTCCTGATAACTAATGCATCTCTCTGATGTAGAACAAGAAACTCAAAGCAGTTAAATCAGCCGGTGGAAGCAAGGCCACCTCAACTGCAACCTCTAGAGCAGGAAGCGTTTCTTCCACTGTAGTCACCACCAAATCAAAAGGTAGAAAAAAATAGACCTTGACATAGGCTTTGGTTCAGGTTGTTGAAGGCGTCAAATGTTATTTTGCTCTTCATTCGGATGGGTGCAGGTCTTGAGTTACAGACATTCAAGGCGTTATTTCATTTTCAATTTTCTTTTTGTTTATTCATTTTTTGTTATTTGATATTGAATACAAACCGGAAGTGTCATTCATTGGGAGGAGCCTCTTTACTTTCTAGGCCCATCTTTGACATTATATACATGACTTGGCGCTCTATGGCGTCTGCACAAGTAGTATTAGGAGTAGTGGCCTGTATATATATACTGATATTGGATGCCTCAGAAACGAGACCGTTTTCAATAGCCGATTGCCGGGGGCAGGTCGGATCTGATGGAGGTGGCTACCCTTGCTACTCTCCGGGTGTACATAAAATCCTTTCATGTCACGCAACCTGTTAGAAGCCGGTTGGACTTCTTACCCTCCTAGCATTTCTCGTTGTGTCCTCTATTTCTTTCCCTAAGCAACAGCACTCGCCTGGTGGGCATCTGGCCATCATATTTACAGGTAATACATTCTGCAACTCCAGTATAGTCCACAGGAACGAAGCTAAGAAAGAAATAAAATAGGTCGATATCGCTTCAAAAACGCCCTCTATGAATTGTACCACAGTGTTGTTTAAAGAGTCATCAAGACAAAGTACAAAGAGACTCAATATGCATGTATCCTGAAACGCCATGGAAATGACTAGATAAAATTGCCCCACATTCTCGCAGAGGGAATAGACAGATGTCATTCAAAAGATACGTTCCTTATCGGCATCCTTTTTCTCCCGCGGTGTAAATTTGACATCGTTTGCTTCCTCTTGGATACAGGAATCTTGTCTCACTGGTCCAGGAATCGGGAGAAAAGAACTTGTCGCATTTGCTCGACTGCGTACGCCTGATCCGCGCATGAATGCTTCGCATAGGATCCCAGAAGCAACGGCAACATTTAAACTATCCACCTCATCCACAATATGTTTTCGTGGACAATCAACCACCACGGATGCATCGGCTTTAGACTTCAGCTCTTTGGATAGACCATCTCCCTCGTTCCCGAGCATTAGGACACATGGATAGTTTTGGAGTTCGTTTGGTAAATTTTTGGATGAAACGATATTTTTATTCTTGCTGTCGGGCGCTACGGATGCGGGAGGTTCGGCAGCGAAGAAACGCCAGCCATTGCGGCGCGAGGCATCTATAAAGGAAACGGTATCGTGAATGGAGATTAGAGGTATGTGTTCGGCGGCACCGGAGGAGGATTTCATAACCACGGGGGATAATGGGGCTGAGTTACGCGAGGAGAATGCGACAGCGTCAGCACCGAAGTAGTACGCACTTCTAAGAATGGCACCTAGATTGTGCGGATCCACAATTCCATCAAGGAGAAGAGTGAAAGGGTATCGTGGGTTATGTTGGGTACGATGATCGTCGTAGGAGTCTTGCCGTAATGAAGTAAGCGGAATGAGACCGCTTGTGCCATTGACCGCGGCCTCTTCTTTTGACTGCGGTGCTACCTTGACATTAAAATTTGTCACTGGCAATGAAGCCACCTGCTCATAACTTAGTGCAGGGAGTTTTGGCAGTGGAGACACTTCCGCAACAATTCCTTGATGATTTACCTCCTTGCAGACCCGGGAGAGGGCTTGCGACCATTCAGAAGAAACAATCTTCACTTTAGCGCCTGCTGTAACTGCCAGTTTTTGTAGGCTGTTGAGTCCGGAACCGGAGAGTTGATTCGTAGGCCTTTCGCAGAGGTACAAGGCATAGATCTTGCGCCGGCCAGCGCGTATAGCTGACCTAACTGGATGAAAGCCGTATATAAACTCGGAGACAGCAGACATATACGGGATAGCTGGAGGAGGGACGCGTGAAACCTTGGTGAATAATGATACCTGCTTGTTGAGCACATCCTCGTCCGTCCCGTTGGGCCCCTTCTTGGGACTCCTCTTCTGCGAGGCCTGGAGCCTCAAATCATAGCTCCCCCGTCCCCGTGTAGAATTTCCCCGTGATTCCCGCCGTTGGGGCTTTCTTCTCCGTTCCCCTTGCTGCGGCACTGGTTTGGACCGGGACCAAGTCCTGTCTTCAGGTGAGGAATCGACATAGCGGCCCCTGCGGATTCCATTGGAGATCGCCGAATTTAGAGAAAGGAGACGAACGCCATTGCGCACAGTGAGCGCGGTTCTCTCAATGAACCCTTGAGCGGCCCTGGACAAACATCGGCATTTCAACAGCGAGCTCATTGTCCAGCGGCGTCAGACAAGGGAATGGTCTGCAACGGTCATCTCGCCGTCCTTTGACCGCGCAAATGAAAGACTTTTGAAACCTTATGGAATCCCAACTATTCATCACGTGGTAATGCTTACTAACACTAGTTATTGATAATGGTTACTAGTCCAAATTTGGACATGGCGTGGAACTTTATCGCTTTGATTACATATTTCGATACTAACTAACCTAGCTCGAAACATGCCCAAAAAGGAAGGCCGATATCGTCTCCGTCAGACGCGTCTCTCGCAACCATCCGTCAAGCTGGTGCGAGCTACAATGCCAGCAGACGCCGTTTCTGACAACACAGAGTTGTGATGCGCCTTGGCCGTTTTGGATTTCCATTGGACTAACCATTTGACTTTTGCTTCCAGTTCAAGGAGTTCAACATGGATTCAAGCGACGAGGAGCTGGTAAGCGATCTCGAAGATCGGACGGATGATATGGCTGCCAGTGTTCTTGGTCAGTTTATCGCAGTTAATGCTGATCAACGACGACGGGAGCGGCCTCCCGAAAGTGAAAATCGACTGGCTTGCGTTTCTATTCCTAGAGTAGATAACGAGCACGAGTTCCTGGTTTTACCGGGCCATTCGCGCGTGGACCGAATCGTATCGAAAGCGAATGACGATGCTTATCAGGTTGAGCTGAAGAGCGGTGATATTATAAAGGCTAGTTTGGCTGTTGTCGCGTCATTTCAAACTGCTGACGCGCCACCAGATATCCTACGGCGATCTCCTTGATCTTCGTGACGGCCCAGCGGCGCTGTCACTGTTTAAAGGAACAAGATCTCAACGATTGAAACAATCTACACTTCGAGCACAAGAACAAGGCTTTGTAAATATAGAAACCCTCAACCTTTCTTCCGATGAAGAACAACGACCAGCAAGGCGTCTTCGCAAGCGTCTCCATAACGCATTATCTGTTTCTCCACCTCAATTTTCATCCTCATCTGAATTCGATAACGATAACCCTTCCTCAGCACCTTCCATCCGCCGATCTCGGAGGCTCGCTTCACAAACCTGGCGACATCGTTCTTTCAGTGAGTCACAGGACGAATCAGACGAGTTGAATGGTGATGTGAATTTTGGGAAAAGGCGTGGTCAGCGTGCAAGGAAAGAGGTGCGGCCTGCCAAACAAGGTGTGCGCACGTCTCAAAGGCTCAGAACTGGTGGCACAAGACCAATGATGGAGCGGATGGAGGACGATATCTCAGAAGTTGAGGCTGCCCAGTCTGGCTCCAAGTATTCAGGGGCACGGGAGATATTTGAAGTTCTTCCCAAAGACAATTTGTTCCGGCTCCGTCATCAGCCTGCCTGCGCTACTTGCTTCTATGGAGATTCTCCTCAAGACCCTTTGGTATACTGCCAAGGTTGTACCAGCTCATATCACAAAGCTTGCCTTGGACCTCGCGGACAGCGGCTCCACCTGGCAACTAAGGTGGACAGCGGATACTTTATCTTGCAATGTCGTGCTTGCCTTGGAACGACGCATGCAAAAGACCGCCTTGCACCACATCTCGGAAGCTGTTCCCAGTGCCTCAAGCCCGGATTCTTCTCAAAGCCATTGCGGCCACATCTGACTGCTCGACAGGAGCAGCTACAACGCGAAGACAATGGAGGGATTGATCCTAGCGTCACAGTCGACGTAGACCAAGTGAACAGTGTTAAGAATATGATGTTTCGCTGTGCGACTTGCAAGCGATGCTGGCATATGTCACACTTACCTGCTAAATCAAGAAACGCGGCGCGCGTCATTTTCGATAGTGATGATGATAGAGAGGGTGATGAGGACGATCTCGAATTACAGAGCCGGCGCTTTAACGAATACTCCCGACGATGGGAATGCCACGATTGCGACAATGCCCCTGGAGAGATTGAAGTGCTTGTGGCGTGGAGGCCTATGGATCTTAACACCTATACGCCGGGTTATACTTCAGACATGCTGCCGGAAGTGTCGAAGGAATATCTTGTGAAGTGGCAGAAGCTCTCTTATTTCAGGGCAACGTGGATGCCCGGATCTTGGGTATGGGGTGTGACTGCTGCCGCGATGCGAAAGGCGTTCCATAAGTCATCAAGGAACCTAAGACCCTGCATGACTACAGAGGATGCAATTCCCGAAGAGTTCCTGCATATAGACATCGTTCTTGACGTGCGCTATTCAAACGTCGTTTCGAATAGGACCCGAGAAATCGATTTAGCTCGTATCACCGAAGTAAAAGAGGTTTATGCCAAATACAAGGGCCTTACTTATGAAGAAGCTGTATGGGAACAGCCTCCAGAATCCCACAACGTTGACCAATGGCGGAGTTTCCAAGATGCCTATCGGGAATGGGTGCAGGGCAACTATGTGCGGCCACCGAACCGTGGTGGGTTGAAGAAGCATTTACTCAATGTTAGGTCGAAGGATTTTGAGCAATATTGGAAAAAATCATCTCAACCGGCTATCTTGACTGGTGGCCAACTTATGCAGTACCAATTGATAGGCCTTAATTGGATCTATGAATCATGGTTTCGGCAAAGGAACGCAATTTTGGCGGATGAAATGGGCTTAGGAAAGACCATACAGGTTATTGCATTCTTTGCTGCTCTAATTCAAGATCATAACTGCTGGCCCTTTCTTGTCGTCGTCCCAAACTCTACAGTTCCCAATTGGCGGTCGGAGATCAGGCGCTGGGCTCCCAGTTTACGAGTTGTAACTTACTATGGCCTTTCAACTTCACGAAAACTCGCCCACGATTATGAAATGTTCCCTGGCGCTGCCGGTAAAGCAGATTTGAGATGCCACATCGTTATCACTTCATACGAAACTATGGCCGATCCTCATGCTCGCAGAATTTTTGCAGCGGTTCCCTGGCAGGTGTTAGTAGTGGACGAGGGCCATAGATTGAAGAACGATAAGAGCCAGCTTTATGAATCCCTCTCGAAGATCAACTTCCCGTTCAAGCTTCTTCTCACAGGAACACCTTTACAAAACAATATTCGTGAATTGTTTAACATCATTCAGTTCTGCGACCCTTCGAAGGATGCAGAAACCCTTGAAGCCCAGTATCAAAATCTGACGAAGGAAAATATTAGTGAACTTCACAAAATGATCCTTCCATATTTCCAGAGGAGGACGAAAGCCCAGGTTCTTTCTTTCCTTCCGCCAATGGCGCAGATAATTATTCCGGTTTCAATGACGGTTGTCCAAAAAAAACTATACAAATCGATTCTCGCCAAAAATCCGCAGCTAATCAAAGCAATTTTCAAAAAGACCGACGGGAGGAGTTTGAAACAGTCAGAGCGGCATAATTTAAATAACATCCTCGTCCAGCTTCGAAAGTGTTTGTGTCATCCATTTGTATACAGCAAGGCGATCGAAGAAAGGGGAGTGAGTGATACGCTCTTATATCGCAATCTTGTCGAAGCTTCTTCCAAGCTACAACTTTTAGAGCTCCTCCTTCCAAAGCTCCAAGAGCGCGGCCACCGAGTTCTTCTTTTTAGCCAGTTCTTAGACTTTCTTGATATCATTGAAGATTTCCTTGATGGCCTTGGGGTTCTACATTTGCGCTTGGACGGATCCCTCTCTTCGCTTCAGAAGCAGAAACGGATCGATGAGTTCAATGCGCCGAATTCACCTTATTTCGTCTTTATGCTATCCACTAGAGCAGGCGGAGTAGGCATTAATCTTGCGACGGCCGACACGGTTATCATTATGGATCCGGATTTTAATCCTCACCAGGACATCCAAGCTCTTTCTCGGGCCCATAGAATCGGTCAGCACAGAAAAGTGCTTGTTTTTCAGCTTATGACCAAAGGAACTGCTGAGGAGAAAATCATTCAGATTGGAAGGAAAAAGATGGCCCTTGATCAAGCTTTAATTGGTTTTATGGACATTGAAGACGATAACGGGCTTGATTTAGAATCTATTCTCCGTCATGGTGCAGATGCGTTGTTCGACGATGATGACCAAGAGGATGTTCAATATGACTCTGACTCAGTTGAAAAGCTTCTAGAACGCAGTGAGATCGAGAATACCAAAACTGGCGAGGATTCATCAGCAGAATCTCAGTTCAGTTTCGCTAGAGTTTGGACAAATGACTCTGCCAACCTTGAAGACCGGCTGGATCAGACTGAAAACTCGACGCCGAACAGCACCGTTTGGGAAAAGATCTTAAAAGAACGCGAGCGTATAGCGAAACAAGAAGCCCTGGAGAAGGCAGAAACACTGGGTCGAGGCAAGCGCAAGCGGCAGGCGGTTGATTATGCGCTACCGAGCTCTCCTTTCCGAAAGGATGAAAAGGACAGTGATACGGAATTCACTGGGACCGAAGCGGACTCGGATAATGATGGTATCCGATCTGACTCATTCGCATCTCCTGAACGTGCCAAGAAACGTATTGTCAGTCCTCAGAACCGTGATTCTGCCCTAGGTATGTTATTTGAAAACGTATTATCGCCAGCATTCCCCACACAATACTAATTTTACCACAGGCCGCCCCTACAAACGCGCTCAGGTTCCAGATCTCGAAGCTACAACAGGGGAAGCTCCACTTAATGGAACTTCAATGACAATGAACCATGAGCGATGTATCGCTTGCGATACCATTCACCCACAGGGTCATTGTCGTCTGAAGCAAGCTGGAGTGGAACACTGTGGACTCTGTGGCATCGCACATTTTGGGCATTCACGGACATGCCCTCATCTGAACTCCGAGGTCCAGGTTGCCAGCATGCTCTCCTCCTTGAAAGAGAGTACCGAGCAGAGAGCTTTGGTTGAAGAGGCAACCAAATACCTACGAGGAATCAGGGGTGACCTTGTGCGCCGTAAGAAGCACAAGCCAGCCCGAGCAGGCGCCCCGGCAGCCCCGCATAATCCGACGATGAATCCAAACGCGAATCATTGGAATCATCCTCCTACGCCACCAATCCCTCCAGTATTAGCTCCTCTACCGCCTCTAGCACCAGTGCCAGGTCCTGGTCCAGCTCATTGGCATCAGCCTTACTACCCTTGGCCTCCCGCCCAGGGACCGTTGAATCCAAACCACTCTCCAGCCTACTTTCCTCCCAGATGATAGAAATGCCATCTGCCAGTTTCAATTTGTCATATCGATGTTGTTCCCAGCTATGCTGTACCTTTAAGCAGCGGGGTGGGTGTTCATTTTGCTTTGCATGATACATTTCACAGTGTTTGGGGGGGTGGGTTATAGATAGTGGGAGTTGTTATAGAAATTTTCGTGTAGATGGGCATGGTCTTGATTTCTTTCTCCGGGTTGTTAAACAACTGCATTATGGATTTGAATTTCTATGTGCATAATACCATAAGACATTGGCGTGTATTATATTAGTGTCAGTTCCCAGTAAATGAAGAAGAATGAGAGGACTTTGAAGTCTAGTTGGTTCAAGCAGATTTGCGGCGGCGTAGATAGAGCACGTGACTGGGAGCGCCAGCAGTCCCGTCGGACCCCAGCCGATCGTCTTCCGACCTTCATCACAGTGGCTTGATTGACAGGAACAGGAATCAAACAGCAGAGACATGAAACATTCAAAATATCTGCAATAGATAGACAGTGCCAGCTGTTTGTCTCGGATCAGAGTCCTCTTTGATCAGCTTATGCCTACAGCACGACCTATGAACAGCTTAGAATACACTGAACTGTTTCAAACAAAGGTGCGTCTTCCTTGTGTCAAATGCCGGGCAGCAAATCGGCTACAACAAGGCTTGAATTATATCTTTGCGTCTTTTATCTCCTAGAACACAACCTCTTTCCAGCTTTGTGGTGCTGTATTATGTTCACAGTCTGCTTCCGGCAGCCGTGTAGTGGCCTCTGTGTCAGCGGCCTGCTTCACCGAAATCAGCTCGATGATACCCAGAAAGCAGTGAGGAGTATTGTCAATAATGATATTATTCCATAATCCTAAGAATCAGGACACTTGCATTTTCATCTGTAGCCACCATCGGCTTGTTGATGGTCGCTATGCTTTGGCTCGAATGAAACTCGTCTTTGTACCCGTTCGACCCAGTTTGTGGAGTTCTAGATTTTTATATAATACAGAAAGTCTAGAAATTTTGGAAATCTCCCCTTTTCTCATTTCATTTCGGCCTTTGCTGTATTCGTGGTGCGTATGCACGCTCCCGAGCGTTGCGTCCTTGGGCTGGCAGCATTGGTACAGATGCTTGTCTCAGGTGGAAGGCAAACTGTTTCCACGCTTGTGGATAATGGTTCTTTGGGCAAACACGGGCAAATGCTTAAATGATGTTAAACTAGAGTGAGATTCTTGGACGGGGTTCTTTCTCCCCCAAAGACCTTGACCGGGTTAATATCTCTTGCGGCAGACAGGGTATTCTACTCTATCAGGGTTCAATACCAGGCTTTGCGGGCGCTTATCTTTATTAAATGTGACTGCCTTGCGTTTTAACAAAGATCCTGGTACTTGTTTTGATCTTTGACTTATGGTTGTTCTCGCGACTTTGCTCATATAGGCGAATCTAGCGGGAACTGAACACTGTGTGCTGGCCATCCTCCTCATGATCAGGCCCTCAACAGCACTCACGGCAAGTTCCAGCTTTTTCCATCAAGCACCTCTCCCAGCCTCCAGGTTGTGTTCTTCTCTGAGACCCCGCACTGTAGAATTTTCCTCCCTCCCTCACGCTCTCTTTTCATCTCCTTCTTAGCACCCTCTACTTGCTCATCAGCCTAAACCATCCAGTTTTCTTCCCGTTTCTTCCTGTATTCAATCTTCACGCACTCGACATCTAGCTTTCATCTCACGCTTCGTTGCTCTCCAATACATTTCGTACAGTCCATCTCTCCACTCAACGGCGAGGATGGATGCTTCTCTTCGCCCACGGTTTTTCATCTCGCGTCAGGATGGCAGTCTTACCCCTCTTATTGCCGTTGATGAGCTTCCTCCCCTCATGTCAGTTCGGGGTGTTCCTCGCTTGTTGAGCCAAAACGACACCCAGGGCATGACCAGTCTCGGCAGCGCAAATCACCGCGGCCAGTTCTATGTCATCGACTGCTTTACTCAAGGCTCTGGAAATGCAAATGTCATCATTGGTGATAACAAGGCTCTCCCAGCTGGTCCCAAGGCAAGTATAGGAATAACATCTTCGCAAAACAGCACTATCAGACCACATTCTTACCTGGTTGAGAGCAGAATGCGACTCGTAACGGAAAGGAGCTTGCTAAGAATGTAAGATTTGCCTCTTGAAACTATTCGTGGAAAGGGTGAAGCAGATGGCTTACGCTGGATCAGAATCCCAACACCAGGCAGAAAGGAAACTCCAAGAAGGAATACTGCTCTTTCTGGCTTCGCCATGGCGAGTGTGACTATCAACAGCAAGGCAAGTGAATTTCTGATAGACTCTGATAATGCAAACATCTAACAGAGTTTTCTAGGCTGTATCTTTAAACATGAAATGCCTCGCGACCCTGCTGTTCTCGAGAAGCTTGGGCTCAGAGACATCCCTCGTTGGTACAGGGAGAAGCATAATATCAAGAGTGTCACAGTGGGTGCTGACAACGGGCGACCCCGTGCAAATCGCTCCAATGTGCAAGCCCTTTTCAATGGTGTCAAAAAAGAGCAGTGCTTTGAGCGTTTGGCAATAGAAGCACCCAAGAATCTCCATGATCTGCCACGTGAAGTTGTCACCACTGGTGAGCACAGACAGGAAAACCAAATTGATCGTTCTCTGCAAAGGGCCAACAAGACCCACGCGGTAGTCAACATGCCAGCCTTGCCTGAAGAGACTGTCAAAGGAAGTGCGGCACCGCCATCAGGCACTTTGAGTGATATTTTCAGCCCTGTGAATCAGTTTGAGCTCCATGGCCAGGGCGGGTTCAGCTCTTATCATATAATGGATGCTGCCCCTACCTTCAAAGATAACAAGACTGTGGGAAAAATTGGCAATCAATTCGACCACGATAACATTTATTCTGGTACTCCCGTCGCCATGGGGGGCCTTTCCGAAAGCAAGAATGCACAGTGGCTCACTGGTAGCTATCTTCAAAATGGTGCTGTTTTGAATGGAGTCACTGGCAATGGCATGAGTCCCCACCCGACTGGCGCAGCAACTCCGGTGTCGAAGCCAGCAAATAAATCTCCATGGACCTTGCGCGGCGGAAAGGCTGATTTTTCTGAACTACCAATGTCGCCTTTCGTGCCCCCGAAGCCACTTACGGATCTGATTGCAGAACAGGAACAATCAAAAACGAAGCATCAGAAATCCCGTCGTCTTTACCAGCCTCGCAACGACGCAAAGCCCTCGAATGGCCAAGATGGGTTTATCGCTGCCAAACTTCCCTCCAGCGACGAGATTGTCGCAAAAGCTTTTAGCCCTTTTGGAACCGCATCGCCCTCTTCTCTTGATGGTAACCGGGCTCCCAATATTGGCGCAAATCCCGGATCTTATTCCTCCACCAGCTCTTCTGGATGTGGCTCTTCTATTCGTTCTACCAGCTCCAGCATTGGAAACGGTCGCACCAGGGCTAGCCCAGAAAATTTGTATTGTGAGCGCACCGCTAGCATGACCAGTCGTATCTTCGAATTCAACGCAGACTGCGACTTATTCAACTTGCACCTGAACGATGACGCCCCAACCCAGCGTGCAGCAATTTAACCACTTGTTGTTCGGCTTGATAGCTCTTGCGAGCAAGTCTCTCGATTCTTACATTATGAAATGTCCACCTTCGGCGATGACTCTAAGCAAGGCAGACCATGACGCATGCACTTTATTCCGAACGCCGTGTGCAAATCCTATATCCATTTTGATAAAAATCTTGCAGAGCAAACAAAAAGAAATAAATCATGAAAGAACCATTGGCTTCAATTGGACTGCAAGCAATATAATTCATGTATTGGACACTCAGAGGATCTTGCCTCCCATTACATTGGATTATATACTTGATGCTGTCGACTTTCAATTTCATTCCTTCCACGCTGCAGATGACTTTCAGTTTTTGCGCAATCCACTCAGTGCCATCCTTCAATTCCGGCTAGACTGATGCTTCGACCAGCTGATGATATTTTTTTATCCTTCATCTTTTTTACTTGCAAGTTGTCTTTTGTTGCTGCTGCTGTTGTTGTTGTTATACTGTCTTGCTTATATGTTCTGGGGCTAAAATGACATCTCCATTGACTCAATTCAGGCATGCGATCGCTTCCTCGAACCCAAATAGTCAAGATGATTCTGATCCCCTTGAAACAACGTTTCCATCCTTGCCTTGTCTTGAGGTCGGTTTTGTTATTCTTGTATGCTTTTACCCTGAATTATGTACTTTGATGTTTCTGTATTCTGATGATGAAGATCTATTAGTCCCCTCCAAAACTTCCCTGAAAAATTTGAGATCCTTCCTTTGATGTATTAATAGCCATAGTGGTCTTGTTAATGCAATGCAATTGTTTTGAAATATTCTTTCTCCCTTGTCCTTAGGAATATCGCGTGCGCTAATGTAAGGCTTCGAAACTGGTTAGTATACGTATTTGGTATCTTTTCGAATTTTCTATATTGGAACATTGATCCAACGGACTATATAGTACAAGAGTAAACACCTGCCAATAAAATCTAGTACAATGAATAGATATGCCAGCTATCCCCATTTATCCAGAACCCTGATTGAACCCTGACATTGAATTGCGGACTTTGGCTACCATATAGAGCGAGACTTCTGCGGGCCCCGTCCCCGTCCAGCTTTCACAGGGACGGCCTCCTTCCGACCACCAGCACCCGCCGCACCACGGGGACTCGCCTGGCTCAAAGCTGGCAGGGTCTTAACGGCGACCACAACCGCCTCGTTCCCATCTACAACCTTCGTTCTGCTCCGCTCAATCTTCAATCTCTCATTTCTCAATGATTCCAGTTCCCGCCTTCTTTCTTCCGTCATAGCCCACGACGTGGGGAAGCTCAGCTTCTTCTTCGAAGTATGGTGGCGCAAGTCCAGCGGGATATCAGCAAAGGAATCGCCTTCTTTCGCCTCGGAGATCAGGTTCTCCACCAGGTCACCTAGATATCGCTTATTCTGTGCGCGAGAAGGGAACTTTTCGCAGGACATGCGGATGACGTCTGTGTCTGGGTTATAGCGGGGACCGACGAGTTTGAGGAAGGTGATGCGTTGATCCTCGGTGAGGTATGTGGGCGTGAGGTCTTTGGAGCAGAGTTCGACGACGACTTTGGATTCGGCCGGGTGAGTCTCACCCATGTAGGTGGTGTAGCGGAAGCGGAGAATGTGGGTTTGCGGAGGGAGGGAAAAAGGTTTCGCGAGGGCTATAGGTGAGGGTTGGCAGTTAGAGCATGGCTTTTCTTAAAATAAAGACGGAACACCGGAAGAAGAATGGAACTGCACATACCACTTAGCGAAGGCATATCCCACGCGATTATGCGGGCGTACTCTCTTAGTTCGCGATGCTGCTCTAGTTCGGCATGAGCCATTGAAGTGATGGCATCGTCTTTGAAGTCGTCATCATCATCCTCCGTTCTGGACCATTCATCTTCCTCGTCTTCTCCCCAAAAACCGATTTTCGTCTTTGGCGTTTCGAAATGTAGCGGCATCTGTCGCTCTATCTCGTTGACATCTCGATCGATGTCCCGCAACATTTGGGCATTAAGGGCGCTGTCCGATGCTGTTCCGCCTGGTCGCCGGCGTTCTAACGACTCTTCATCCTGATCGTCCGTTGAATCGGCAGAGGCCACGGGCGTGTCGGGACCAGCCTCCTGCTTCTGGTTGAGAGGAAATGGCGTGATGGAGAATGGACGACGAGAGTGCTGCGGGACCAGACAGAGGCACTTCGTTGGTTTCTGCCTGGAGGTCGTTTGCCTGGCGATAGATAAAGCCGTCCGGCTCAGGGATCTCGCAACTGACGCCATTGTTGGGCGAATTGGGCAAGCAAACGCTGCTCGAGGGATCTTTTGCGGTGTTCGAGTTTGCTGCCTTTTCGCTCCGCCTGCCGGACTTTGCGTTGAGCCCGGTCCTTCGGCGAATCGTTTATCCGATTAACTGCTGACTCAGCGATTTAGTTGGCTGCAGATGCGGCTGTCTGTCACGCTTGCGCAGCATCGAGGTGACATCAAGCTGACGGGAGTTGACGGCCGTTATTGCACTCCAGTGTCAACTGCACTGCAGATGGAGTGTATTTACATCTCTCCCTCCTGCTGACATTTTGCATTATGCTGCCGGACCCGTAATCATCACCTCGGGAGGTAGCTACAACAAGCCCGCCATCGTTGGTCCATTGCTTCATACATCCCGAGCTCCGTATTGCTTATTTTATATCCAACAGCATTCTTCATTATTCGAGACTATGAACGAGGTAACAGACATGCACTGCCAGAAGAAGTGGAAGATGGATCCTGCGAAATACGCCTCCAGTGACCCTGGATCGCCGGTGAAGCTCTGCTTTGTGACAGTCGGGGCCACGGCCTCCTTCAACTCGCTTCTTCGGGAGGTCTTGAGCCCTTTCTTCCTCGGCGCGCTGCGAAATGAAGCATATACCCATCTTCTCCTCCAGGTTGGCCAGCTAGGTTATCAGGTCCTTGATGAGTTCTTACAGGAAAACGGCCCGGATATCAAGGAGAAATTTGGCCTGACAATTGAAGGCTTCGACTACAACGTGGACGGCTTGAAGCAGGAGATGATGGCCGTCAAGGCTAATCCCGCACTCTATAGACAAGAAGGAATGATTGTGAGCCATGCAGGTAACTCCTCGTCGTCCTCTTTCTTGCTTGTTTCCTTTTCATGTTCTAAATCCCGGCGACTGATCCGAATATTTGTCCGATTGAAGGCTCCGGGACTATCCTAGAAGCAATGCGCTTTGGAGTCCCATTGGTCGTGGTCCCGAACCCCGAACTCTTGCACAACCATCAGGTTGAGCTCGCCCACCAGCTATCTTCCGCTGGGTATGTCTTGCACGGTAAATTGGGGTAAGTATATTTTCATCTAATGCTAGTCATCATCCTGGATAAAGCGCTGGTGCTAACGCGTATCTAGATCTCTTGCCTCCACGGTTACAGAGACAGAAAATTTCCGTACTAAGCTCCATGCCTGGCCACCGGTCACTAGCACCGAAGGCAACTTCGGTAGAGGGTTAGCCGGGGTAATGGAAGATGAACTAGGATTTCTCGACTAAGACGCCTCCCTGGATATATATCACGACATCCAAATATCTAAAACGCCCAGAGCTGCTACATTGCCGACTCAATAGTATAGCACTGCTCTGTCGCTATTGCTTCGTAGTCTAGATAGGTAGGACTTGAGTTGAGCTCTACTTACATGCATTTCCAGGCCTCGCGACGTCGAAGGATGCGTGGCTTATGTATATATACTTTATTTTTTGAGATTTTAATAGGGAGCTATATGTTTGCAGATCCCAGCTTTGTCCTCTGTTGAAAGGATACTCATATTTCTGCAAGCACGGTCTTCCTTTTCTATTCAATAAATTTATGTGATTAAAAACTGAAATATGGTTTTCGGGCAAACTGTGTCACAGCAATACCGTGACTCTTTTAAACGATGAGACCACCCCAGCAAGTATATAGAGGATCCATAGACTGAAGATATAGTATTAATGGTTTAATTGGAACAAGAGTAGCATATGAGAAACAAAGGCAATGTCATTTTGTGGAAAAGCCTGTGCCTTAAGGCTGGAGAGGTTGCTCATCCATCGCACTGTTTTTGATCGGACTCCTGAAAACCAAAAAAAGCTCCTCAAGCCGATCACCGCTGCAAACACTCCACAAAGACCTAATCACTTTCACACATGTCTTTACCTCAATTCTTATAATAATCACTTGTTTTTCACCTATAATTTTACAGTATTCTGGATAGCCTGACACTGTCTATGCCTCACGAGCATTGAAATCCCAACCTTGCGCTCCATCAGAGTACATAAATAAACGCGACCACGAGCTTCAACGCACTCCACTTCCTCCTCGACATCCCCCATCATGGCCGAGGCAACCCTCCACAACGCTCCCATAGTCCTAGACAATGGCAGCGGCACTATACGCGCTGGTTTCGCGGGCGAAGACCTCCCCAAATGCTACTTCCCCTCCTTCGTCGGACGACCAAAACACCCACGAGTCCTCGCCGGCGCGCTAGAAGGCGACGTGTTTATCGGCCAACGAGCTCAAGAACTCCGCGGACTCCTGAAGATCAGATACCCGCTGGAGCATGGAATAGTTACAGATTGGGACGACATGGAGAAGATATGGCAGTGGGTGTATGAGGGGGAGCTAAAGACGCTCAGCGAAGAGCATCCGGTGCTGCTGACGGAGCCGCCGCTGAATCCGCGCGCGAACAGGGACACGGCGGCGCAGATTTTGTTCGAGCAGTTTAATATCCCGGCATTGTATACGAGTATTCAGGCGGTGTTGTCGTTGTACGCGTCTGGCCGGACGACCGGGATCGTGCTGGATTCTGGGGATGGGGTGTCGCACGCGGTGCCGGTTTATGAGGGCTTTGCGATGCCAAGCAGTATACGGAGGATCGATGTGGCCGGGAGAGATGTCACGGAGCATCTACAACTGTTGCTGAGGAAGAGTGGCTATGTGTTTCATACGAGTGCGGAGAAGGAGGTGGTGAGGATGATCAAGGAGAAGACATCATATGTGGCTTTGGATCCGAAGAAAGAGGAGAAGGAATGGTCCACTGGCGTAGGGAAACAGGATACAAAGATACAGGAATATGTTTTGCCAGATGGACACAAATTGAAGGTATACCTATCCCTCCTTGATTTGATGAGGCCTTTGACCCGGATGTGTCTCGCTGACCGCGTTTTATCCTCCTAGGTCGGCGTTGAACGATTCCGCGCGCCTGAAATTCTCTTCGACCCCGAGATAATTGGACTTGAGTATCCCGGCGTGCATCAAATCGTCGTCGACGCAATCAATCGCACAGACATGGACCTACGTAAATCCCTCTTCGCCAATATTGTTCTCTCCGGCGGTTCTACACTCTGCAAAGGCTTTGGAGACAGATTACTGCACGAGGTGCAAAGACTGGCAGTGAAAGACATGCGGATCAAGATATTCGCTCCACCGGAAAGGAAGTACAGCACGTGGATCGGGGGCAGTATCCTGGCGGGGCTGAGCACGTTTAGAAAAGTATGTGCCATTTCATATACTTTCAGCTATCTGTGAAGGAACGAGCGTTGCTAACCAGTTTATAGATGTGGGTGAGCATTGACGACTGGCACGAGAACCCGGATATAATCCATCAAAAATTCACATAACACCGATAAATGCAGATTTATAGAATAAACATGCATCTCTTGTGTCTTTATACCTGTTGCGTACTTCTTCATGTACAATACCCAGCGATTTCCCCAACGTGCTGCAAATGTTTATACTTCTGAAGCTTTCCTTTTCCCTTTGATACCTTTTTTTGAATTTGGTAATTGGTGGCAGGTCCTGGCTTCTTTTTGATACCCAGAAGATTATATTCTCAAATCAATGGAGATAATTCACCCTGGTCGTCTGGCGCGGTTGTCTACAGGCTTACATCAGCAATTCCGGAGCTGGCGCCGGATTCCAGGGGGAATCGACACAGCGAAAGTTGCTTCGTAACAGGATATATGCTATATTTCAACTTGAATGTTGCTGTAGTGGTAAGAATACGCAAGGCCGACACAAGGTTGTGTGACGCGGATGCAAGACTCTCACCCGGTGGACGGGTCTTAAACAGGCATGGATGCAAAGGAAATTCAACGCTTCGAGAATCCTTTTTTTTTTCCATTTTTGTCTAGCTATTCTAGACTCCTAAATCAGTTTTTAAGATATTAACCTACATATGAGCTCGTACGAGCTACTCTATTCATATTCCAAATGCTGATGAGAGACAGGAGTAGCCGAAGCCCAAGCACTTTTTTTATTTCAAACAATAGAGGTTGCAGGCCGTAGGATTGGTGTAGAGGATCTTGGGCGAGGATGAAGATGCGTTGATGGAAAGGTGGTGTAAGAAGATGCAGTCAAATGTTGCAACTTAGTAGTATGCGTGCTCGTAAAATCTCGTGTCCGTCGTTAGAAAAGATATAGTAAAAAAGGTATTAGAAAGAAATAGGTCTAGGGAGACAATCGAATCGGCGAAGGACCTCGAGAGTCGAAAGTGTAGGTGAAAAGATGGAGATATATGTTATGAATGAAGGTGATTAAAACTCGATCGCCACGAGCCGGTATCCCTCTTCATCCACGTCGTCTTCTCCAAGTTCGTGGACTGATTGCTTGACGACATACTAGAAGTTGTACTTTGCTTTCGAGGGAAATTACTGCTGTAGTTGCAGCTATTCGTGTAATTGGATTGACTGTCTCGAAAGATATTTGCGTCGCCATTCCTTCCAACGTGAAAGACCGGAGCTGCCTCTTTCTCGCGCCTGAGTTCATATTCCAATTCCTCATCGAAGCTGAAAATGGCAAATTCACTGCTATGGCACGCAGGTGTGTTTCTGGCGCTGGAACAGCCTTGTCTGTGGCACGAAGAGGATATGCGTCTTGAGGAACCACCGTTGGCAGTGTCGGTACGAAGGCCAGCAGTATTGGTAGCTGCGGTTCTTGCACCGTAGAGGGCCTGTCTTCGACCGGTGGTAGAAGCCGTGGGGAGAGGTTCAACGAAGCGGAATGGGGACATGCTTTCGAGGATGGGCGTGAATTTCGCGAGGGAAAGTCGATGGAATATGCTAAAAGCAGGACACGAACTTCCAATATTTTTTATATGAGTCTAAACCAAGGCAGTGAAGGAACAAATTCCAAAGTGTCAACTGACGAGAAGGTGAAAGGCAAGAGGTAAAAGAGAGGAGCTATGCTATAAATTCCAAGCGAGGCAGATGACAAGGAACGATGTAACCCCTGCACGTGGCCATAGAGTCCGAGAAAAGAGGAGCAAAAAGGTAATTCCAATGGACTGGACGTTCCAGATATAACCTAGCGCGATGTCATCTTTCTAAATATAATGCATGAGCACAGGAAGGGCCTAGACTGAACACTGAGACGGTCCGTTGCTCAAAGTGGGCGGATCACCTTGGTGGAGAAAAGCCCGCAAAATACCGTAGAAGAGATCGAATGACTCCTCGTCTGACTTTGGGTGGCTATGTCACTCGCCTGGCGTGCTGAGAGTATTAATACATCCCATTCGCGGTAAAAATTCTAAATAGGGAGTGACGCCTTCGATCTATTCTAGCGAAATCCATGGATTGCGCCAAACCGCCAAGGTACGGTTCTGGCGGTGCCTTGATACCTTACTTTTCCAGCAAAGACAGCGCCGAAAGCCAGGTTTCCTTGCTTGAAACTCCCAAGTCACTCGCCTGACGGCGCGGCGAGCACTGGACCTGACGCCATCGCCCCTCGTCATTGGACGGGGTCTCGGTTCCACGACTCTCAACCCCGGTTTAAAGCAGCGCAGGACGGAGAGTTCTGCGATTCGCAAGTCAAGAGACACGGTGACGCGATGCTGGTCCCTGCTGCTCTCGCTTTGGCCTGCCAATATTTGATCAGCAGGTCACCGGGTGACGTCTTCCCCGTGTCCATGGGCTATTTGTCGACACGTCGCGATGGGTGGTCACTAGTCGGGCCGGACGAGCGCTGGCACCGCCTGTTGGGGATTGCCTATTCTGGATTGGCGCCCATGCCGGTTTAGCGCCAAACCTTGTTCATCAGGTGACGGGTACGGCTGACATAATCGTATTTCTGTTTCGTAACAGAAACGGGGCCGCCAGCCAATGGGGAGAGGCGCTCGCAACAGTCAACTTGTCACCAGAACAGGACGGAATACAGAGCTCTGTCCTCAGGCCGGTCGCTGGTCTCCATTACGCCAGCGAAGAAGCATCCCAACCGATCCGTGCTTCCGCTTCCAGTGCCTGGCCGGCGAGGGGGATCGTCATCCATCACCCGCATGCTGCAGAGGTACTCCAGAGTGCCCGTGCCTCCTGGCAGACCTCCCTCAAATGAGCCTTCTTTTTTTTTTTTTCCCTCCCGTTCTCGCCCAGTCTGGACTGGTCGTATGGCCACTTGGTCGGTTCCCAGTCGGATGAGCTGCATCCCCCCAACCCCCTCCCAACTAGCAAGGATCGTTTTAAGCATCCCTGAAGAAGAGGCGGTGTTCTTGCCACTTGGATGCAGGAATTGGTACTCTGTACCTCTGTCTGACCTAACGGGAAAAGGCTTTCAAGCTTCAGTCGGTTCCCTTGTAGGACGGAGTCGACTGGCCTGGTCGAAAGCTCAATTTCTGCAGTTCAAAAGCACCAGAGTGCCAGCATATTCAGGGTCAATTCTTAAGCCCCGCCGACTCACAGAGTCACAGACTCCCGAAGAAAGCTTTCTCCCCCAACAGCTTTGAGCTTCGATGGTCAACTTCAAGTGATGTTCCGGTTAATTGGGTCTTGTACTCACTGCCCGCCCCACTATGGCGAAATCGGCAACGCAGCCGTTTGCTCTGTTTGTTTTGATGACTAATCTCTTAGGTAATATAATGAATCACGTGTGCGTAGCTTCAAACAATGCAAACATTACCATTCTGCCGCGCGCTGCCGCCATGTCATCTCTCGCCACTAATCCGGATTCAGTAGCTCTAATCGGTTTTGCTGGGAGCAGCGAAGTCCGGCGGGCAGTCTCTCGAGGCCATCGAGTGTTTTCGACGCATTGTCTCCTATAAGGCACCACTAAAAACACCACGCGAAAACTGCTTTCAAGCCCCAGCCTGCATCTTCGGGCCGTCGCACTTGCTCTCCACTGACAACCATCGCTTTCGTCAAGCAACCGCCTACACGTCACGTCGAGCGACAACACAAGGCAAGGCGTTTTGGAGCGCAAGGGTACATTCCGGAGAGAGCGTGGTTACTGAAGGCCAGATTTGATCTCTTGTGGAGTTTCGGTTCTCCTGAACTGCTATTGGAGAGAGGTAGCGTGTCCCACTGGGACTGACAGGCCACCAAGATGCCAAAATATAAGTCTACCACCCCGTGTTTCTCTGCAGCAAGCCAAATATTAAAGCGTGCATTGAGCTAACTGTCTATGCACTCTTTTGTAGGTTTTGGTTCCCTTTTCCGCTTTCCGGCCTCAAAATCCGGTTTGCGGATAGTCACCCGCATGTCGGAACGCGTAGCGGCATCCGGGGAGAATTGCGCCGATGACATTTCTGATTCGCTAACCTGGTGGCTTTACAATTTTAGGCGACTACTGTGATGTCTACCTTACCCATGACTCGATGAGCGTGCGGAAGGCTCACAATGCCGGCCGAAATCACTTAAGAAACGTGGTCGAATACTATCAGCGTGAGTTTTCCGATCAAGCGCAACTAGGCCGTGACTCCCAGGCGGCTAACGGCTTTTGAACTAGAAATCGGCCACGAAAAAGCCCAGTCCGTCATTGACTCTATCACATCCTCTTACGCTGCAGAAGGCCAAGCTGCCGCCAATCCCATGCTCCAGCAACCCGGTGGACTACCTCCGCCTCCTTTTGGATTTCCAGGTACGTGATAAATCAGCTGTCCCCTTGACGTCCAGTCTCATAATCCTAATTTCGGTCTCAGGTCGTCCTGGCTCAATACCACCACCACCGTTTGGAATGCCTGGCGCCCCAGGTGCCCCGCCACCTGGCATGATGCCCCCACGTACGTTCTCTCCTTTTGGCAAGCTGCTGGGATGGATTCATACTGATAGTTGACATTCTCATAGCCCCCGGCGGCCGAGGCATGCCCTTCCCACCACCTCCCTTCCCTGGCGCTCCACCACCCACCTCTGGCTCAGGCGAGTTCCCACCTCCACCTGCAATGCCCGGTATGATTCCGCCCCCTGGCAATCTTCCGTTCCCACCCCCACCGCCAGGCGGCTCATTTGTTCCACCACCAAACTTCCAATTCCCCCCACCTGGTGCACCGGGCTTCCCTCCGCCGCAAATGGGCGGAGGTCCACCGGGTGGACCAAGTCCTGGGCCTCAGGCTCATAGCTCACTACCAAGTAGTGCATCCGGCTCAGCACCACCCCCTCCCGGCGGAGCGCAAGGATATCCACCACCACCGAGCGGTGGCCCGCCAGCTGGTCCCCCGCCGAGATTGGGCGAGTCGAAATAGTCTAATTCCCATGGCAAGTCACGATCTTCTTTATTTCCGTTTTCATGTTTATCCGCTGTTGTTTGTGTACACTGGGCAGGCTTCCTTGTTCTGTATTTTTTTTTTTTTTTTCTATCGGTATCCATTCCTCTTCTTCTCCTTTCTCCAAAACAATCAGCTCTTAAGGTGTGTGGATGGGATGTATTACAAGACTCCTTTTTCTGAGCGTTCTTTTGAAACACTCAATATCCGCGTAGATCGATTCTCGAACAAAATAAAAAGAGAATAAGATATCAAAAATGCGAATAATACCCCTAGTTCTCGCCATGAACCGAGAAACTTAGATGTTCTAAGGGTCAACATTCATTAAAAAAAAAAAAAGAAAATTGTACTGTACATTGTACAATTATTAGTTATCTATAAGCAAGTATCACAAGGAAACAGATTTACCAAGCTGTAATTCAAATAGATACATTGAAGTGCAAAAAAAAAGAGAGTAACACCTTTCAACGACTCACACCAGTTGGATGACGTCCTGAGAGGATAGTACACGAAATAGTAGAAGGTCATCATAATTTAAAAAAAAAAAAAAAAAATAATAATAATAATAATAATAATAATAATAATAAGAATAATTGATACATGAAAAAAAGGCACGGTAAAAAGGAAGGTGAATATAATGCTCGACAAGACGAAAAGTTCTCATTCTCACGAAAACGCCCTGAAAACACAAAACAGGGGGCAATAAAGGGCCTCCAGATATTAACCATCTACAAATGCGTAGTGCTGTGCAATTGGGCTGAAGAAACAGGCGGCAAAGGGGAAACACAAACCAAAGGAACATCAAGGCGAGTCCGCCGGAGACAACAGAATTTCATATTACTCCATACACACTTAGAAAATCCCATGCATTTATTGTCCTGCATCTGTTTACAAGGGAAGGACAGAGAGAGATATAAACATAAGAAAAAAGCAGCTCAATTAGTGTTCATAGCCTGCACCTCTCTGCCACGGACTCGCACTATTCTGCATCCGGTAACTATTTGGATTGGAGTTCACAGAGCCACTCCGGTTGAAGGGCGATGTAGCGTACCCCCTTGGGACAGGGGATGCGTTTTGAGTTCGTCCGTAAAAGTCCCCGCCATCGTTGTACACTCCACGGTTGTCTTGACCAGGTGGGTTAGAAGGAGAGAAACCTTGGTGGTGGTTTTCACTCATTGGGAAGAGCGGGACTGATGTATCAACTGGAGAGTGAGGTGCCTGCCGTGCACTGTGTTGTGATACGGCGATACCGGACCCGCCATCATGTAGGGAGCTAGAATGAGTCTGGGAATGGCCCGAAAATGACGCTACATCGTCATCGAAAGGCCTTTTCCCCTCGCCCCGTGCTGTCGCACCAAGGGCGTCGAGTTCGGTAGTAAGTTGGGTTTGAGATTTAATAAAGGAGCCACGATCGTCTCTCATGGGTTGATAGCGGGTATCCGGGTTTTTGGATACGATGGCGTAAATAGAGGCGATAAGGACAAGTAAGAGCAGGATGAGGGCAAATACAGCATTGGCAATGAAGAACACAACACCCATAACACCAGTGACAAGGCCCTAGACATAGTCAGTAATGGTGGCATTCAGAGTGGGCTCAAGAACTTACTGGCTGCTTGAATACTTCCGAGAAGAAAAGCAATAGAAGGACATTAAAGAAGTTAACAGCAGCGATAGAAATGTTAAAGATATTTGTCTTCTTGTCCATCCAAGGTCGCAAAATGGAAACCCCGACAAGGACTCCCAGTTCGATAAAGAATAACGCAAAAGCCTGCACCGTGGGGGCGGGCTGAGTCAAGGCAATAAACATAGCCTTGACAAATATGTAGATCAAAACTGGAACAACAAAGTAGTATGCTGTAGCCCGGTATTGTATGTAGAGGAATCCCCATTTGTTGAGCGCAGAGGGATCGGAATAGAGAATATAGGCAGGATTCTTGTGCATAAGAACTGACTTCTTTGCAAGGCGAATAACTTTCCACGCTGCCCAGCCCAATGAAGCGATCATAGCGAGGATCATCACAACAGCGAGAACGACTTCAGCAGCAGAATCCCTGTGAGTCATCTCCCACAAGCAAAGAATGCACATCTGAGGGAAGCCAATCAATGTCTAAACCAAGCAGCGTTAGCAGGATACTTATTCTACGATGCAGAGACCGCTGTGACTGACCAGTCGGAACAAGATGCCTCGCATCACAATTCTCCAGCCGTTCCGGAAGTCCTGGAATTTGTCGCTCTTCATTCTGCCGGATCTCGCAAGCAATTCGCAGGCGCCTTTGAATCCAGCAACACAGCCCATCACCAAGGCGACAAACACGACAAAAAAGATCAGGCCTGTCATGAAAATGTTGGTACGCTCAATGCGAGCACGGAATCCAACTCGATCTATGCCTCGGACACTGACTGTCGCGCTGTTCTCACTAACACCCTCATCTCTGTTAGTGCGTTTTATCAGCTCATTAGCAGCCTTAGCCATTAGCTGATGGACATATTCAACTGATCGTTTCTGCACCTGGACTGATGTGGTTGAGAGCGACTGCAGAATCGTTGATGGTTCTCCGCCGGTTGCACGTTGATACCATGTCGCAAGTCTCTGGATAAATCCAACACGGATAATACCCATACTCCACTGGAAGTTCTGCGTCCAAGACTGCACAATTGGAGGTAGCTTTACACTGGACATCCCAATCATGGCCTGTGCCTGGAAGAAGCCAAAGAGCGAAAGCGCATTGGCGGCGACATGGGCAGCGGTGTTGGAATGCCCCAGACCGGATGTAACGGCGGACGCAACCAAGCCCAAACCTGCTATTACAGCAACAATCCAGGCTACGGTTCGGTGGTAGACAGTCTTTCCGTTGGACAGGGCAGCTTCAACACACGCGATACTTCTCTTCTCAGCCGTGGAGTTTACATAAATTCGTACTTTAAGATCTAGGTCAGGCACGCCATAAGCGACTCCTGTGTTCAAGTGTTAGTTATCCATTGCAAGATCAAAACACTTCAGGGAAAAAATTTACCTGGAACTTTGCTGACGACATCGGGAGAAAGATTAACGAAGTTCGTCTCGATCTCGATTGAGCCCTTGGTCATTGGGCACAGGCCGCCAAGATCGAGGTCGCAAGGGTTCAAGGTCTCTTTCAGAGCCGTGAATCCATAGGCAATCAACTCCACCTGTGCTGTCACATTGCCTGAGATGGAGGACACGCCAACCATCTGGACCAGCAAGGAGTTGTTATGCGGGGTAAAAAGGACATTGAACAAGGTGGCAGTGAGATTAGAGTTGTCCTGGCAAGGAACAAGTGATTTCGATTCGATTAATTTTATGGCGAAGGCACCAGGGGAGAAGGGAAGGAAGGCGACGAAGAACGAAAATAACGACAACAGCCTCATTGTGACGACGGGGTTGAAGGCTGAATCGTGTGTCGAGGGTGTATCTTATCGACTTGGTGATGGATGGCTTTTGTAGGTATAGTACACGGCGTTTCCAAGCATATGCGAAAACGGGTCTAATACAGGAGGAGATGAACTATCGTAAATGCCAGCACTTTGAGTCCGGGGGTGACGAGAATTGTTGAGGATGTGTAGAGATGTGGATGGGTAAGGGTAATCGATCGATTCTGACCGTCGACAGTTTTGGCTCGGGAAATGGATAGACGTCTTCCGGAAGGTGAGACAAACGAGTGACTGGAAAAAAGGTACAAAGTGACGAGCTCGAAATCGAGTGTGGATGGTTAGGCCATTTGAAAGGTTTGAAGGATGGCAACGATGGTGCCTCAGGAGAGCGAGATGTGAGATGTGAGTGTAGAGCGGAGCGAGGCGAGTTGAGAACGGGTCTCAGTCGAAACAGAGATCAAGAAACCAACGAAGCAGAATGTTTTGGGTGACGGAGAGAGTAAAGCGAGGGCGCATGAGCAAGCGGAGGAGGTTGGAGACGCCGGGGGCGGTTGACGATGGGACTTGCGAGTGTGATGAAGGCAGGATGAGGTGTTGCTGGATCGAGGTTCGCAGGGGTGGGCAAGCCCCAAAGGCCTGGCTGTCTCATACCGCACGGTACGGCGGCGCCAGGGGTAACTGACCCGCCAACTTGACCAATCTGGCCAATCAGAGGACATAATCTGTGGATAAAATGCTGAATCATCCACTTATGCATGATCGTTACATCAGCCAGGTTCTAGGATTACTAGTGTGTAACTTTGCACAGCCCGCCCATCCATCCAGCACACGCGTTCAGCCAAGAGTGTCAGCCATATAAAAGTCTCACTCTGTCCGCCCCCTTACAGAACCTGTGCCCGCGGGGGTCCTGGATCATGATGGGAGCGAAAACTCTACCGGTTACTCTGTGCGCGCAGGTTAGAGTCCTGTTTCCTGACTGTGTAGGCTAGAATATGTGATAAGACAGGCGCCAATCCTTGCCGCCTGCTGCGGGCGATATGATTTCATACCGATGCCCACGAACAGGCGACACGTAAACCTGAATCCTTCAAGCGGAAAGGGTTTTTCACCGTCAAAGACTGTTTCTCCGTGACGTCCCGTTGATCTCCTCGGTGCGTTCGCGACGGCCTTTCCATCGTGGGGATTGGGATCACATGCTCTTCAAACATCACTTCCAGGAAGTCCATCGTCGTATAATTTGCAAAAAAAATTCCTTGAGAAACCCTCTGTTTTATCCACGAACGCCCTTGGCGGGGTGCGCTTGAGCGAGAGAGAAGTTTTTTGCTCCATCGGTGCCCGAATCTGCCTCAAATGTATAGTACCTACACACGTACACTCTCCGTACGGAGTACACGGCCAAATCCACCCGTAAATATCGCAAATTCGGCGTCACACCGGGGTGGCAGGAATGCCGACACTCGGCGGTCGGTCCACCAAATGTGGTCAAATCTCCATTCTAACAAATCCACACCCCAAGCATAGTTATTTCCTTTGTGTCCTTGGTATTCGGGATTGCTTACTCCATACGTACGTAGAACTGCTTTCATCATCGGGTCTTGAGAAGCAGCGATAAGTTAGGCTGAACGGCGGGCCGGTCCCTCCGGTGTCTGAAACTATATACATAACCATGGCAGCTGTACGGAGTACTGCTCTGGTCAAAGGGATGGAGCATCCCGCCATGTCGACATGCCCCTCCGATATGCGTTCTGGCGGTTGAAGAGGCAAGCCACAGGCGTGGGGGGATCGTGAGGCTTGTCAGGCGCTTAAGCTTATCAGGCTATCGGCACGTGACCTTCGAGTTGCAAAACTTTTTTGTTGAGCGCAAAACTCCTAGCAAAAGTGAGGCCGAAAGACAACGAAGCACTCCTTTGGATGCCACAAAGATGCCCGTTACAATGGAGACATCCAAAGAACATTCCAAAAAGAGAAAGAGAAAGCACGGGGGCAGCGGAAACACCGCCCTGACAAGTGCCAATGCCGCAAAATCGCTCGTGAAAACCACACTATCCTCGAAGGGAGAAGCTTCCGCCGAAAAACAGGAGATGAAAAAGCGCAAGACGGAGCATCCATCTCTCATGGAGGACAGAGTATCAGAGAATATTGTCGATGAACCTGAAGAAGTCGTCGAGGAGGACAGCGAGGCGTCCCAACCTCCCGTCGAACGAGATGATGAGCAAAAATCGGAATCTGAACAACAACCGGAATTACCATCTTTGAATGCTCTTTCTTTGCCTCAGGCCGAAAATGAACCTCAGAAATTTACCGAGCTTAACCTTTCGGAGAAAACGCTGAAAGCGATACAGGAAATGGGTTTCGAGACAATGACCGAAATTCAGCGGAGGGGAATACCACCTTTGATGGCCGGCAGGGACGTTTTAGGAGCAGCAAAGACAGGCTCGGGGAAGACACTGTCATTTTTGATTCCCGCTGTGGAAATGCTGAGTGCTTTGCGCTTTAAACCGAGGAATGGTAGGATACCAAGATTCGTCTGATGGATTGCTACATTGAGGAATTCGGCTAATTCTCGTGGCTATAGGAACTGGTGTTATTGTGGTATCCCCAACCCGTGAACTAGCACTACAAATTTTTGGTGTTGCACGGGAACTCATGGCACACCATTCGCAAACATATGGCATTGTTATCGGTGGTGCTAATCGAAGAGCAGAAGCAGAAAAGCTAACAAAGGGAGTAAATCTGCTCATTGCCACACCCGGACGCCTGCTCGATCACTTGCAGAACACCGAAGGATTTGTGTTCAAAAATCTAAAGGCCCTAGTCATCGACGAGGCAGATCGGATCCTGGAGGTCGGGTTCGAGGATGAAATGAGACAAATTGTAAAGATCCTTCCTTCTGAGGACAGACAGACAATGCTCTTCTCCGCGACCCAAACGACAAAGGTTGAGGATCTTGCGCGTATTTCCTTGCGACCCGGTCCGCTATACATCAACGTCGATCACCGCAAAGAGCACAGCACTGTTGAGGGCCTAGAGCAGGGTTATGTCATCTGCGATTCTGATAAACGCTTCCTCCTCCTTTTCTCCTTCCTCAAAAGAAACCTCAAGAAGAAGATCATCGTCTTCTTCTCCAGTTGCAACTGCGTCAAATACCACGCTGAACTCCTGAATTACATCGACCTCCCTGTTCTTGATCTTCATGGAAAGCAAAAACAGCAGAAGCGAACAAACACATTTTTCGAGTTCTGTAACGCGAAGCAAGGAACTTTGATTTGTACTGATGTTGCCGCCAGAGGCTTAGATGTAAGTCTCACTCATCTCAATCAAGGGGTAGAGCGCTGTGCTAACCTGCGAGCTAGATTCCGGCCGTTGATTGGATCATCCAGTTCGATCCGCCGGATGATCCCAGAGACTACATCCACCGTGTGGGCCGCACAGCGCGTGGCGCTAATGGGAAGGGACGCAGCTTGATGTTCTTACAGCCTTCGGAGGTCGGCTTCCTCAAGCACCTCAAAGACGCCCGTGTTCCAGTTGTGGAGTTCGAATTCCCAGCCAAAAAGATTGTCAACGTACAATCTCAGCTTGAGAAGCTGATCGGACAGAATTACTACCTAAACAAGGTATCAACCCATGAGATCTACACGTAATATATGCCGCGTAATGCTGACACGAGATAATTTGCATAGTCCGCTAAAGACGGCTACAGATCCTACCTTCAAGCTTACGCATCACACTCACTGCGTTCCGTCTTCGATGTGAACAAACTCGATCTCGTCAAAGTCGCTAAGGGCTTTGGGTTTCCTACACCACCAAGAGTAGATATTACTCTCGGTGCAAGTATGAGTCGTGATAAGAAACAGACCAGTCGCCGGAATTATGGAAGTCAGCCAAGGCATGCACCAAAGTTCAAGAGAAAGACCAGTGATGATTAGACATAGCTATAATGTACACTATAGTCGATACCCAATTACTGCGAACATTATCACGTCTTAAGAATAACATTCAATCCAGAAAACAAGATGGGATAGCAAACTGGACCATGGGGCAAATGCTAGAACGCTGTTCAATAAAGTGATACTAGTGCGGGTGGCCATGTACCAGGTTAAATCTTCCAAGTTCCGTCGCTTTATAGCACGGCACTTCGCTCATCCCAGAAGATGAGGTCCATCATTGTTTACCACTGTGAAGCTATCTATATCGCTTGTGATGCCCTTCCTGTGCCAAGCAAAGTAGTTGGCGGACTTGTCCTGATAATACCCATCACACAGTCTTAAGGGGTTGTTATTGTAAAGACATCATCACCAGAAAATTTGAGGTCTTAGTTTTCCACATGAAGTCCCTGCTTAAAAGTAGCCAGCAATGTAACCCATCGGGAACATCTTCTCAAAAACACTTGTTTTGGTCATGAGATATGGTTATTGTTTTGGGGCTGATGCTGTTGTTGGGGCTCAGCTAGTAAATTTATAGTGGTTTGTGGCCCTGTGGTATAATATGGGTATTAAATCAAACATCAAGCATGGCTGCATGGTCCCCTCAAAGAACAACATACCAAAGATGATAATAAGACCTTTCTGCACAACTTATTAAGTCAAATATTATATCATTGCAAATAGTCGCCAAAATGTGAACATGCGACACTTTGGCTGGGATTTGACATAATTCCCACATTCGCCAAAGAATGAATAGAAAATCAGGGATACTATATACTAACATCCCAGTATGTCTGTTTGGAGTATTATATTCACAAATAACATCTTGTTGTATGTTAGCCTATGCTAAAGTGCACACAATAGCTGTTTAAACATACATATCTTCTTCCAATTTGATGGGCGCCCGCCGCCGCCATTCTCATAAAGAGGGATGATCCATCCAACTTTGGCAGGATAATTATCACTGCAGCGAAGATGGACCTGAGAATGAAGTTCCAAGGGTCTTTGCTTTAATAAAAAGGTGCTATAATGTGGTTGATATACTCAGAGCATCTCTTCGTAGAAGCGTTTTACCCAGAGCGATAGAATTTGAGCCAGTGTTGCCAACCAGGTCAAGATGGCTCTGTTCCATCGAAATCAGGACTGCAGGCGCTGTACATACTATATAGGTTCTTTTGCATTGAAAGCATTGTTTTGTAGTCGTGCCATTATCTTTCACATCTGTCATATCCAGATTATTCTGGAACCGGACCTAGACATCAACTTATCAAGAAGGTTGGTTAATGACTTATTTTGCTGCATGACTTTATCCACTATGTATAGTATGTCTCTGACTCCCCGTGGGCCTAATCCTTTTTGCCATCTCAGCAAATAATGTGGTTTGTCTGTCCCTCTATATTGCGTTCACGTCACCTTCACATCAACCTTGGTGTTGCGTTAACTGTGTGTCTGACATCAATCTGAAACTCTGAATTGGTAGGATCATATAAGAGTTATCTGTATAAATTGATGTTTATTCCAGAGTCCAGACTGGAATCTTCGCGGATTGTAGGGCCAGAAATTAGAATTCTCGAGCTTCAGTCGCAAAGATGCTTATGAAATGCTGACGAGCAGCTCACGGAGAATTGAGAATAAGATATCGGGCTGGAAAATGTCAAGTCCCCTAGTGAGCACTGAGCAAGTGCATGCGCACGCAGGCTGTTCAGTCCGACTTGAAAACTAGGTCAATCACATTGTATGGTAATTATCTGGGATGCCCAAGATAACAGTTGAAGAAAAATCCATTTACATACCAAGACGCTGTATTAAGTGATTGCTGAAGCATAAGCAGGGAGCAAATGGCACCAGCTCATTTGGCTGGGATGCTTGTTTTTGGCTGATAGTGATAATACACTAGAAAGAACTTGAGAAGCCCCCAGGAATTAGTTACAATGTTAACTAACTCGAATGTGCTTAAGCATAAACAAAGGACAAGGAGCATAGGCTGGGTTTCTCTGCCATGGTTTTTTGTCACCTTGGACTTATTGAGAATCAATGGAGCCAGCAAAGAGAAACTTTCGATCCTTATATCACACAAGCAACCATACTAAAGGGGCGCCTAAAACTAAGCGAACGGTGACCGCCATATGCTGATTGATTTGATTGCGAGAGACTATATACCCATGATGGTTAGTCAGGCGGTCGAAGCTTCACACGCATGAAAGGGGATGGCATGGCCGACAAGGAACAAGAGGAACTTGGTTATGAAGAGGGATTGCTTCATACAAAACTCCTCAGTACTTTTGCCAATAACCATCAAATTCTTGCATGTATATGGAGAATGCCTAGGCTCCCTCAATTTTCTCTCCTTCAATAGCCTCTTGGGATTGAAAGCATGGTCCTGGTGTATTTAAGGATATTGCACTGTCATACTCCGTAGATACTTCTCAAAATAGAGCCAACCCAATGGGGACCTTTCAAGCACCGGATAAAGCCCTTCCAAGGCACAAACGACAGCCATAGTCGTGTTTGACAATACGGATCGGCAGCTGATACAACTGACATTATAGCTCCAAGAGCTTGGTCGATAGCCGTATTATCGTCGTCTTTGCCGTCCCTGAATGATAACAGGACTGAGACAGCACCGTTCCACGAGGATCAATGTGGATCGGAAACCGGAAAGGGACCCGCAATGCATTGGATATACGGAACATTGCGGTTTGTTCCCGTTCGTTCCCTCTCATCCATATTCAGCAAAAAGCGACAATCCGCTTAAATTGTCATACCAAAAAAAAAAAAAAAAAAAAAAAAGGTTTCGAAGCTTCTTTCGATGAAATGGTCATTGGCTCACGTTTAAAAACAAGTGGGGTACGCATAAGATAGGTATGTACTCCGTAGGTCCATAACATCCGGATCCTAATGTCCTGTACACAAAATCCCCCGTTACGCGACGTGCAAAGAATCGGGAACGGAGCTTCTAAGCTCACCAACCCTCGATCCTTACCAACGTAAAACAACCCAACATATAATTGTCCACATATCCAGTACCCGTCGAGGGACGGGTACGGGCAGAAGCGCAGATGCTGTTCATATAGACGGGTTATGTCGTGAAACGAAAAAGCAGGCGGGCAAAGGGTTAGAGCTAAAAAGCGAGCATTGTAACTACCCAGGAGATACGGGATAGTTGTTTGAAATATACTTAAACAAGCACAATCTCTGCACTCGATATCTGCGAGCGCTTTGAAAACGTGCGGCAAAAAGGGTGAAAGCCAACCCGAGTTCATCAACACCAGAGAGAGATCCAGGGGCACGGAATAAATATAAACCCACCCTTGCCGGAATAGACTTGGCGGGAACAGGGCAAGGGCGGGGGAATCTCAGAGTAGGAAATGAGAAAGCAGGGGGACGTAGCAGGGACAGGTCCTTGTCTTCAGAACCGCTTACAGTAACATTCGAATACGCCCTGGCTGCCCACAGAGTTGACTTACGTTTACAGTACCAAATCCTCGCTTTGGCTCATGGCAGAGCGACTCTGGGCTTGACAGGTCACACCACAGGGAACACAAAAATTTTGAAATTGGCGTTACTGATCCGGTCGAACAATCATCAGACTGCTGCAACGAAGGTAGAAGACGAGGATGAAGAATGCCAACCACAGGTGCCTACTATTTCCATCCTCTTGAGAATTGGGCATTCGATCTCGGGTCCAATTAGACTTAACCATTGTATCGGAATTCCGGCTTTGAATGAAAGCGAATAATTTGTCGACGGATTCCAAATCTGCATCAAAAAATGAGTTCTTTGAACCCGACTCTATGTTGGAGTAGCCGATTGCCAATCATTTCGTCAACCCGAAACTTTGCAGGGTGGGCATGAAAGGGTGAAGAAATTCCGAAGAGCCAGTGAGTTACCCTGGAAAAGGTTCCATACGAGGAAATATGCGAATACCAGGGCCAATTAACGCGCGGACACCGTGTTAGTTCCGATGCATGGTCCGGATGGCAAGGTAAGATCGCTGGCCTTGATGCATGATGACTGAACGGGGAGAGAAATGTGACCATCGTGCCGAACTAGCCACGGCAGCACAAGTCTGAGCCCCTACACCATGCAGTAGCCCATCTGCAAGTGTTGCGTTGCAATTTTTCCCGGTTTGCGTGCGGAAAAAAAGGGTCCTTGTTAGACGGAAAATAGGCAGGCGGCATGAATGGCGGCGATCCTGACAAAATACCCCTAGAAACCATTTCAAGGGGGATGAATATCAAGCCTATTTACGGAGTCCTTCGTAGATTCGAACTTTTTAAGGGTGGTCCAAAGAAAAGCAAAGGGAGATACTTGCGTTATTTCATAGGTCTCTCCCGAAACGTCCAAGACACATCTTGCCGTGGATTGGAGGATTCCTTGTTGGGTTGGCATTGGCCACTTGGAACGAAACTGGCGTTCCTATTTGAAGGGAATCGGCGGAATGGGCAGGAGATTCATCAGAGCCGTTCTCAAAGGTGGCAGTACAACATTGCCGGAATTTGGATGTAGCACAGGTGTGATTCCCACAACGGCTCAGTTGGACGTCAACTAGAGGTGTCCTATCTGGTCGTGGATATGATTCATCAGTCTTTAATAGTCTTCAGGAAATCTAAGCGCAATGGATCCTGTTTCCTCCAACGAAGGAAGTCAAATAAGCAAAAATAAGTATAAGTGCTCGCTATTCTCTCAGCCTATCCAGAGTACCCGAGAGTATGGTTATGGACCGATGTGGCGCCCTTGCATTTGGCCTTGAAGCTTCGCCGTCTGATTGAGAGATTTTGCTATGGCAGCGATCTTGTCCGAGCTTCCCATCTTGGCTGTAAGGTTAAAGGGCCAGGCGGAGACTAATTGCATATAGTACTCTGATGCATTAAGTACCCGGTACAGACGTATCTCCCTGTGAGCTATGGTAGGGTAGTAGAGGAGGAACTTGCGTCCAATTTTCTTTCAGTGTGTACCTAAAGGCAATGAACGTTGTATGCCGAGGAAAGGTGCAGAAGTGGTTGCCATCAAAGCGAACCTTTTTTTTTTTCCCTCTCGAAGCAGCGGCTTATAAAGTATGGATATGGCCGCATAAATCCATTGTAATTATTATTATTCTTCAAAGTTCGAGTCTTTGCGAATCTCCATTGCACGCTTGATCATTCATCAGCATACTCAGGCTCCCTTTAGTTAATGCATTGGCGCCATTTAACCATCCGTTGAAACAATAACCATTAAAACATGGCCGTGCCGGTAGGGCCACGAGTATCCAAGGAGGACTTCATGCACGCACTGGGTCTTGACACAAATAATCCCCAGCATGATCCATTGTATCGTGCAATGAGGGTGAGTATTCTATTCACCATGCTGACCCTTTATAGATAGTTTAACCGATAAATCCTTAGGATGAGGCCATTGCTGTATACAACCAGATGAACCAAGACAATTCAAATCTGCTGGATAATTTGAGGAGCAACCCAGAGATAAGGCCACCCTTTTTCTGGCATCATATTCGACCGGATCGACAGCAATGGGGCATTATGGAGATATGGAGGCGCGCTGGGCCTGTTACTCGCCCCCTATTTGATCGCGGAGACACTCGAGGTGAATACGGTCCCAACTGGGTAACGGGATGGTTGTTGTACAGCGTTTTCCGCTCACGAGATATTCGCAATAATCGCAATCGAAGGAAAAACGATGACAATGGCTCCGGAAATAATTCAGGTGATACACCCCATATTGCACTTTAGATCATCACTTCTGAATTGACATCTGACTCCGCCCATCAGGTCAAGGCCAATCGAAAGGGACAAAAGGTGCCACCACAGGAACCGAAACCCAAACAAGGACCACGGGATATTACGATCCTGTACGGAATGGCGCCCGCTGAGCGTTTGCCTATGCATATCTTGAGCATGCGGCCCTGGCCATGAGATATGGTGATTTTGCTGAAAAAGACGTCACCACGAACGGCGCAGCCATGGTGTTTGAATTTCACGGATATTGACCTTGTTTTTGAGCTTCCAGGGGGGCTTGCTTTTTCTTTGTCCTTTCATTAAATCCGTTTCGATATGCCACAATTTCGCCGACCTCAGATTTATTTTGCTTGCTTTGTTTTTCATGTTCAGACTAAAAAAAAAAGAACAGAAAGTACGGAGTATCCTGTTTGATATCCGATCTTACACAAGTTTTAAGTCCCAATAGCTGTTTTTGAATAGGTATCAATTAACTCCCTGGAGCTTGATACGACACCCTGCTGCATGGGAAAATGCGTGCCGTTCGACCGATGAGCACTCTCGTCTTGTAACCGTCCAGAGCACAAATGCTTTCCCGAAAAATCACATCGGATCAACATTGTAAAAGCCTCACGGGATGGCCGTTCGCCTCCAGATAATGTCCGCTCCAGTCAAGAATCGCCACTTCATCGGCAAAGCTCAGCTTCCTGTGCGATTCTTCGGAAAGCCAATGAGGCATCAGCCACAAAGAGAGTCTGAGCTGCTTTTTCTATGGAGGCGAATGGCGAGCTTCTCGTAGCGTTAACGGCCAGTGCGCCAAGGTGTTGAGGCATCCATCAAACCGCGTCAAAGTCAATTTTTTACGGAGATATCAACCTTTCAAATTTGGTTCTTGTTATGTCTTGTGAGAAATAGAACACACGTTGCGTGGAAGCATGCGCCCAGGACATGTAGTGGTGAATGTTGGTTTGATTCCCTGGTAGATCAATGGCTTGATGGCTTAGGGAACATTGTCGTCGACATCAAGGGCGAGATGTGGGACCGGGCTGATGTTTGCACTGTTTGTCAAGTAACCAAACTCCCTCTGCGGCTACACTGCGGACCGACTGCAATAATTTGTAAGGACCTGAAATTACTCCGTACTCATGGATGACGATATTTCGAATTCTTTATGGCCATGTTGGCAAACACTTCGAGATCGGTAGGATATAGGGTCTGTTGGTTGCTATCTAACATAACAATGCATTTGACAAATACCAAAACCCCGCTGGCAATCGCATATAAAGCAAAGTTTCCAACCCATACAATGAACAGCGTTGAAAGAACGTAATTCAACACTGTAAGCTGCCTATTCAAGGCAGACTGCCTTCATATCATAGATCATAAGCCACTCATAAACCAAAACTCGAAAAGAGAATTAAGAAGAATGTAAAGAAATAATATAAACGCAATCCAATGCAGTGTCCGTGAAATTTAGCTCGGCGAGGAGACAGTGATACTAAATTCTATGAAAGCGTTAAGTCATCAATCGTTCAGTCATGATCGTGGCCAGGCGTTATTCGAGACAGTCCTGTAAAACCCGTCTAGTAATAATAAGATCAGGTGGAAAAAAAGAAGACAGAGTCGTGATCATCATCTCAAAAATCAGAAACATCGTCTCGTTTTTCGTGTCGTTAGCCGCTCCTCTCGTCGGTTTTTACCTCCCTAGCCATCGATATCGCGTCGGGATAGGGAAAAGGCAAGAGTCAGAGTGTACGAGGATCGAAGGGAAGAGCTCTGGTTGGTACAGAGCCCTGGCGATCTGCGCCAATCCGATCCGCTTCACAGCTTTGTGGACTACTTCCCCCACTTCGGCTTCCATCACTCATTGACGAGTCTGCGTCGCTATAGCGAGTCCTTCGACCTGTGCCAATGGCAACTGGAATCCCCTGTACGATCCCTCCGTGATCGTGTCCGGCAGGGTACATTCCATCGTTGACGGAGAAGTTGCGACAGATAAGGTATGCCCGCATGGCCGCGTTCTCACGCGCAAGCATCTCTGTCTCGCAGAAAGTGTCGGTCTGGTATTCGCGATTATTGACGCGAACTACACACGTGAACCCTGAGGTACCACCATAGGGTTCGTAAAGGGGTTCCGGCCAGCGGCGACGACGGCAGAGGCCTGTGGTTGGAAAAAGCAAACAACGTTATTGGCTGCGCAACGTCATAGATCCACGGGTAGGGCGGCCCCAGAAAGAACCATAAATATCCAGGATAAAGCGAGTTTGGTGCATTATTATCAAAGCTCAAGGATCAACCCTCGAGGCATAACACATTTGCAAGCTTTTTTGAAATTGATAGCACATAAACTAACTGGGGAACCGCGTTCAGCGTTGTGAGATCACATAATTGCATGGGATGGGTAACAATTCGCCAAATTGGGTCTTGGTACAATCTCAAATTGAGCCGGATGAATTGATAGCCAACAGAAGAATGGCAAGCAGGCAAACTACTCCAACGGGGCAAGGACTCGAAGATAGGGCAACATACTCGCCAGGTAGAGGATGTAGTACATCTTGGTCGAGAGAATCTTCTGATCCGTCGGATCTTTTAGGCACACTGTCTTGTCGTTGATACCCGATGATCGTCTTCAGCCTCGTCTTGCAAAGGTACCCAACGGGAAGTAAGGAGGCTTAATGGGAAGGTGACTAAAAAGACTGAAAGTTGTTCTTGATGCCCAACGCCACAACCATTCAAAAGCTTCAATGAAAAGTTCAAGAACAATGAGGCAGTTCGTGAATTGTTAAATGAACTGAAAGGCTCTATGAAGCAATAGGAGATTAACAGATAAGGTTATGATTTGGCGTCCATAGTCATCTGGAAAGAAATATGCGTGTGTTCCATGGGAGAAAAGACAGCGAAGCAAGCGCGTTTTAATGCATGCTTCAGGGTGTTGACTGTGGTGGGGGATGAAAATGATAAAATAAGGAACCCTGGCCCAGTGAGGACGACCTTCCATCGATGGTTTCGATATATGGTTTGGCTTCCAAACGCCAACTGTAAGTACGGAAGAAAAATGGAAAAATTGCCATTTTCTGTTCGGTTGTGTGGAAATAGCTCTTGTTTTGCCTTTGATGTGTTGGCATGGTTTCCCGCCAGTAAAGAAGCTGGAATACTGAGGACTTCCTTGCTAGCCTATCAAGAGCCAATATGCTGCCGATCGAGAAATCAGGAGATTGGCAGGCTTTGCGTCGTAGACTGACGCTTGAACAAGTGGCCATCGGCCCACATGTTTGCTGCAGAAAACATGGCAATTTCCGCAACTAAAACTGCGACAACCTGGCTTACCGTCGGTAAACGCCTGCGCGTAAAATAACACCAACTAAGAGCAGCGAGCGGCATGATAAACGGAGAGACCCCGCAAAATATGTATGCGGTGGACATTTGACGCCAAACTGGGAGGGAGGAGCGGACAGTACGACTCTAACCTCCGCTAATGCATTATACATTGGCGTTGTGCGTGTTAAAAGTTGCGCAAACCGCGCTCGGCCTCATGAAACCCTGGACCGTTTCTGGCAGCGGGCAAAACGCCTCATACGGGGAATAAAGTCTGTGATCCCTCCACTTGCTTCCTAGATTATTATTTGACTTTGTCGCCGCGAGGAAGCCCCCTTGCAAGGAATCGAGGATGATGGATCGGAGGAGCATCCGGAGAAAATACTGTCGTCCTCACACCAAAGAGAATGTCAATGCCTCGTGGATTTCAACCTGTCACCGCTTCACCCGCAAAGGACCCAAGAGACATGGCCGGAAGCGTCAATTGAAGTTCAGGCGGCTCGCTTGGACTTTCCCGGCACCCGTCTGGGGAAAAACCTAGTTATGTAATCAATTGCTCGGTATTTTGTCGGCCCGATACAACTAATCCATCCATGGATGCAAACCTTGCCTTCTACCCCCATGCTGCGTAACCCACCGCGAGCAGTACTGACTCTTTCGCTTCGACTATTACAATCATCCATCCACCGGAAAGAAACAAGTCCCAGAACCTCAATTGTTGGTCTTCCTGGGTCGTCTTGTGCGGCCATATTTAGGCGTTAGGAGCGTGATCAATACACTGCATCGTCCATATTTTTTTGCTTTTGTTGACCCATTGAGCGGTTGCGCAGCACTCGCTCAGCCGGTTTCCAAACAGCAGACTACCGTTGTCTGTTCCATGAAGTTGAAGTGACAGCGATATGTCCTGGGTCGAATTACGACAATGCATTCCTTTATGCACGTCACTCTCGATATTCAGCGCGGCAAGATGCATGAGTTAGCCGGGTGACATGGAGATCATACTGCTTTGATACTGCAACTGTCTCGCTCACCGGACAGTTCTGAGTACTGCAATTCACTCAACGAACCGCATTTGAGCCGCGATGGCCTGCAGGCCTTGGCTATAATGCGACCCGTAGGTACATGGAATACTTCGGGGTGTTTACATTTCTTTTTGCCCATGTCAAACCAACCCCCTTTACCTACCCGGACAGCGGACCAACCATACCCATTATAAGAAGCCGCAGGAAGAGATTGCGTTACCAAACTTTTGCAGGACCCCGGACCCGTAAAACTCGCGGAGGTGCGTCAGAAGGCAACATCAGAGAAGCAGCTGGTATTTGCCGCAAACAACCAGCCGCCCACCATGGAATACGACAAATAACAGCGTAGCGCAAGAAGAATGGAATGTGGCGGCAAGCATACTTCATTATTGCCAAGCGCTATTTCGGTGACTAAAGCGGATGGTAGGTCCTGGTTCTCCCAGAGCTAACCGTTTCGTTCTGAATATCGTAGTCGGGATATCTTTCTTCATTATACAAATTGAACCTACTTCATAACCTGGAAAGCTCTTATTTACCGGAGAGACAGGGTCCATGAAGCTGCATATGTGCTTGGAATACTGCTTTATGGGGCCGTCCGCACTGGAAGCGGCGAACCTACAATGAAACCGCGAAGAGGATAAGCGATCAATTCTTTAATTACACCGGGCAGGATATTACCGTAACTACGAGAAGCAAGGTTTGCTGAAGTTCTATTCAACAAGTCTATACTCTGTAGAGCGATTGGTTCCTATTTTCACTCTGGACGAAGTAGAAATTAAACTTCCTTGATACGAAATAGCCAAATGGTCATCCCGAAGGCTTGTCACGTACGAACCAACCCGTCGGTTCACTAATCTTGTGTGAATTTCCTAGATGGCTTCCTCAGGAATAGCCTTTATGTGGGTGGGATACCCACAAAATGTCAAGACAATCCGGAAATGCGTGAGTGACAGGTCTTCCAGTCAACATTGCTAGGATCATCAGCCTGAGTCGTCCACAAATCCGGGGAAATTTCAACACCAAGCATGCGCTGTGACAGGCATCAGATGCAATGATGAGTTGGCAGTGGGGAAGCATATGCGACGCACCCCCAAAACGGTTAATACGGTCGCTCGTTTTTGCTCATGAGACGAGCGACTTGCGACCACAATTGAAGAAACAGAGCAAATCGAAAACATCAAACACCTCACTTCCATCCTCCGAGACCGAACCATCTTCATTATGGCCACGATGATAGAAATGATCTTCGAGGATCATGTTGCTTGGTTCAATGCACGGCTCTGTGTTCCTACCCCCTGAAACATATGTAGATACCAAGGCAGGGAGTACGATAACCTTACAAAGTCGCCATTTCCGGTTCTCAAGGATCACGACACCGACACTAGTCGTATTGGCTATGATATCGCTGTCAGTATCTGCAAACAAAACAGCCCCCAACCACTCTAACTACGGCTTTTAGCTCGGAAAGAGAGAGAGAGAAAAAAAAAAAAATATTGGCCTTAATGCGCCAAGAGCCCCCGGGGCTATCCGCCAAAGATCCGAAGCAAATATCTCCATGAAAGAGCCGAATATTGCCTCTTGGAGCCTTAAATTTCCAAAGAGCCACCTAGCGGATGAGCTTAATATCCTCCTGAGGTACTCCGTACTCGCCTGCTTTTTGGAATATTAAGAACTGCAAAGCTCTGGGACCTGGTTAGACTCATACCAGGATTTCATACCTTCCGCGGCAGAATGAGGGACAACAAAGAGGGGGTGGATAACTTTGAGCCGATCTCTTTCGTGAAACACGATTCCGTCAGGCTCAATGTCCGTTTTTGATGTTAAGGGGATATGTGACCATGAAAATGCCGAAGAAAACGGCCCTCGTGCTATGGACCCAGTGGCAGTTTCAAAGTGGTAGTTCTGCGTGTTACTTAGCCCTGCGAGGGTGTAACACGTATGATAAGAATCGGCATGTCTGGAGTGGAGATGTTAACGATAGTCATTGTCAAAGGCGGGAGATGACATGCCAGCCGTGCACTACTTACTTGCCAGGTTTATCCCGCAATCCTCCGTGAGGGGACTGGCAGCAGCCTAGAATATATCTGGTCAGACCCTCACGGCTGTACAAGCTTCCGAATCGGGGGTGTGGGGCATCGGCATTTGATTGCGTGCCGTTCAGGGCAGCCTGAATCAGTGGCCAGCAGCCTCCGACCCAATGGCTGTAACAGCCGTCGACCAATTTATTTGTACGTCCCGCGAATCCGCCCTCGGGAGCATATTGCCTTGCAGACAGCCACGAGATTAACAAAGGAACATCCAGATGCCTAAATGTGATCAGTATTTTGATTTCCGTTTTAAAATATACCTTCAACCACTAACTTATTGATCATTTCGCCGGGACTACCCAGGATGCATAGGCATGCTAGCGCGCAGAATGCGTAGGCACCGTGTGCCTCCGTCCCAGGGCTGCCGGAAATCCCTCCTTCAAATGTTTGACCTGGAGATAGTGTTAGTTCCCGGAGTAAGGCGAAATGATGCTGCGTTCTCACATCTGGACAGATATTCCGGCAGTCCACTCATAAACGTGTCATATCCGAATTGCCTTGCGGGCGCATCAGGTGGTAACTCAGTTGGCAAATCCAGCAGTGCTACCATTACCATCACACAATATGCACCTCTATCTGCTAATCAGTATGGAGAGAGAAAAAGGAGATGCCAGGACGGGTAAGATTGGCCTTACCGCACATCCTCTTCGCCCCCAAGGCACACTTGAAATCCGCCGTCTGGTTGCTTCAATTGCCCTAGCCATTTCCAGCTTTTGGCATATCTCTATGAGCCTCGGAAATGCAGGAAAGGTGAGAATAATCTTGCATCAAGTACAACTTACAAAGCCACCCGGTCCACTAGGCTGAAGGCTTCAGCTCCCCCGACCGTAGCCAGACTGAGAATAACGGCATATGATGAGGCACAGTGTGACATTTGGCCATGCCCTCCGCCGAATCCACCAGTAGGATTCTGCATGGGCGCGGCAGTTGATATCACCCTAATACGTAGTACAACGTTTCGTTCTTAGCAAAATAGGACCTGAAACGAAAAAAAAAAAAAAAAAAAAAAAGAATTATCGAGGGAAATGCACGATGCACGATAGAAGCCCAGTATGCTTTCTCCCTTCCACGGCATCAAAGGGAGAATCATGTATTTTCATATCTTCGATGTACGACGTACCGTTTCCTCAGTCTCGTAACATCTGCTCCAAGGAGATACAATCCGGTCAGCGCCCAGTACATCATCCACGGACGACTTGCATCAAGTCCAACAAATTTGCCCGGATACTCCTCGAGAGCATCGTAAAGATAGGCGACATGAACATCTCGATAGAGACTAGGGATTCCATGTTCGTTGAAAGGACCATAGAGCGACTGGGCGACGCCTTTTAGAAATGGCAAACACTGCTTGACGGTATCTTCCTGTACCCGCGACGTTTCCGTATCCAGGTCGTCACGGATGGCGGGGAACTGCGTAAACAGAGCCGGGACTCCTCGTCGCGGGGGTTGTTCTCCAGTGGCCATCTTATCTGGTCGGGGAGACAATGGGTCAATATGCAGGACAGATGGTGCGGAAGCGTCTCCGTTCAGCTGGCTTGGCTTTGGAGATGTTTTAGATCGAGTTTGGTGTTTAACGGCTGGAAAGCGAACTTGTCGACGAGACGGCCGTGTCTTCTTTACATGTCCATGCATGGAAGAAACAAATATTTAAGATGTAAATGAAAGGACGCTCATCCAGTTATTCAAAAAGGACAAATGAATATGAAAAGATCACTCTGTACTCTGTACTGCTATTGTTCTTGAAAGTTTCTTTGTTCTGCCACGAGCTATACTTTGAAGCTATTGTTTTGAAGATTGATGGTATGTACTCCGTAGTTTAGTTATCGTTTGCTGCTGAACCTTAGTCTTGAGAGTTTCTTGCGCAAATTTTCCGAAACCAGACAGCTTCAACCCCACAGTAACACCCGTCCCTCGATGAATAGGACTGTATGCTCTTTTGTGCTATCATATGCATTTACCTTAAAGAATCTCTTCTGTCTTTTTCACTTAGGGATTAATTAAGCTTATAGCGCCCAATGCCCACCAATTGAAGTGCTCATCAATAAAGTGATCGCAAACCACGGAGTACACGCTCGTAGTTGCAAACCATGCCAACACTTCACAGGACCAAGCTTGTGTAATTTGGTCATCTCTATTTCGCTCACTAGGAAGAATCCCACTGAGAATGAGCTGCCCCATCCAGGATACCAGAATGCTTAACGGGCTGACAACTGACACGTAGTCAGTCTCGCATTAATTGATGGATTGCTGGAAAATAGGGAATTAATGAAAAACCGGACGCGGATGGGTAGTCAACTGGCATGTAACCATAGAGGCTGTCCGGAGTCCGTTACCTCGTTACTCCAGCCCTTCCCATCTACGTTTTGTGTGGCAAGCATCTCCGCATCGGGGAACAGCAGTCAAGAGTCAATTTGCACAACCCACTCAGCCAAGACATATCATTTTGAGGAGCAGAAGAAGGTTCGACAAACTTGAACGCAGGATCCCTTTGCTTGACACAATCGTAGATGGCACGAACCGCTTGTGTCTCGAGATACTCTTCTGCGAGGACGCTAGCGTCTCCCAACATTCGCAACACGCCCGTATAAGCCTGCTATTTCCAGATCATCAGGCTGTACTTGGTTTAACATATATTGGACACTCAGCTTCTCCAGGTTATATGACTATGCGAGCCATTCACATACTCAAAGAGGCTTGAGAGCAGCAAGAGCTTCGTACTCGGGGTTGAGATTTATAAAACGATAGATCGACCGTTGCGTCATGGGTATCTCCACTGGCCACCAACCATAAGCCAGATGCTTTAGGCCAGACAATCTGATTTAATATATGATTGTATTCGAAGGTAACAATGTTGTTGGGGACACAGCCAGAATGCCGGCTTAATTTGGTTTTGTTATCGTTGGTATTCAACGTACCAACATTTCTATTTGATTATCCAATCCATAGAAAATGCGGTGTAAGTCTGCACTCCCAGTCTCCCGAACAGGTATATACAGATGGCTAATAGTGCCTAGTCGAATGTGATCTTGCCCGATCTCTCATATATTGCCATATCACTGACTTTGTTCCCTACGGTGGGACATGTCATTCCTCTAGAGAAATTAGAGGGAGTTGGTCCTAACTTCGCATGAGAAATAGCTAGGAAATATTTCCGATCTTTTGATCAAACCCGTTTCCGAATAACGAACAGGAGGCCAGGAGCTTGGATCTGCCCTTTGCCCTTGTGCATACTTCTATGGCCGGAAGGATGAACTCGGCGCTGTTTGATCCAGGTCCCGAAGGCGTTCTCGATGTTAAAACTGGATGGACATGCAGCTGGGGTTTAGCAACGCGGCCTTTCAACAGGGCAGGGAGACTAACCAGGGAGTTTTATGGCTCGAGGGCTTCGTTGATCGATTTCGATTTCATCAGCTCACTGATGTTATCGACGGCTAATTGGGATAACAATATCTCCCCTTCGATTATACCTATATGTGATACCTTGCGAGTTTTATCAGGAGGCAACTTCATCTTATTGCCCAGGGAGATCAGCATGCTCACGGTGGCTGCTTTCCGTCCGACTTTCTTCGAACAACTTAGAAGACTCCTTCATCTCTGGGGCTCGGGGTATGTCTGGTGAACCGAGTTCCATGGCCGGGGTCCAACATGCTACGCCGCACAAGGCTCTCTGACCGGTGGGCGTGCATCGCGAAATCCTGAGAAGCTTGGCGTCGGCCGCTGCGAAGGAGCAGGTTACACTTGCTGTTTTAGTCCCGAGTTAGGGAAGCCAACTCAAGGATGCTGGTTTTCGTCAGTATCCATGCGCGCAGATTACGAGGCTCCGTTTGCTTGCAGGCGGGGGAGTTTAGCTGGGTGGAGTTGGTTGGGTTTGCAATTTGAATCCAACAAACTGATGCTCTCGAAAAAAATCGGCTCTGGGAGGGGTACTATCTGCATTCTGCCGCCGACGTAGGAGGCATTTGACTGTTGGCAATCTACCCAAAACGCAAGGAGATGAAAGGGCTTATGGTCTTGTAGGAGACAACCACATTAGATGCGCAAGACGATGAACCGAAATAAGAATACATATACGGAGTATATATAGCAGATATACACCCACAATTCAATTTGCGAATCGTCAACCTGTGGCTGTGTCAGAGTTGGTAAGCGGCTAATGTTCTGGGAACGCACAGAGTTGGGTGTTATGTCAGCCTCGATCAGAGATTGATTGCCGGCTGTAAGAGGCATGTTAGCCTTGGTGATCTTTGGGTGAATCCTTGAATCCCTTGATATTAGAATGGCGATGCCATGGTTTCGGCCTCGGGGTTATGATGAGACAGCGATGCAGGTCGATAGCGCATGAAAAGCCCAATTTTCTGGCTTGTCTCGAAGAAGGCGGTCAATACATGAGTGTCTTGGATATCTGTTGAGACCACTACTCTACTCCGTACGCATGTACGATCGGGTATGACAAGTGTGATGCAGGTGCCATGCTGCGTTTGCTCTCGAAATTTCCAGGAAAAATACGTCGCACAAAAGTGGAGTGAATTGATACTTTCTTCGAGAAAACAATCTTCCATTGTCTAGTTCTGGACATGCTATGATGCCCAATCTTGATGTATTTTGCTGTGGAGAATTGTGATTGCCATGAGATGAATTTTCCACAGAACAAAGGTTGTCAAGGTCCAATGTAAAATTTTTTTTCCCCCTTCCCGTCGGCCTCTCCGGGAGACTCGACAAGGGCCGGGTACAATGGTTCTTGACTTGGAGTATCAGGTTGTTTCTATTGACTCGGCTTCACCGTATTCACTGCTCCAATCAGGATGCTCGTCATTGACCAAGCTCCGCAGAGGTTAGCGTCGCATATCCACTGGCTTTCAAGAAGCAAGTCTTGATTTGGCAATAGTCAGGAGCCTTGAAACCAGAAGAGGAATACTCTCAGGTAAGCGGTAACCGAAACTATCCAAAACGAGAGTCTTGGTGTCTCCATATTTCCCGTTCGGGGATTGAGGATACGGGGCCTGAAAAGAGGGGTGGGTAGGGATCTTGGCCCAAGGGACGACTTTCATTGTCCAATGGGACGATTCATGAAATGGCGGGGAGACGAAGAAAACTGCACGTAGGGTTTCCAGCCACCGATCTCATTGTCCGAAGTTCCAAAACTCCGACCTAACTCCTTTCGTCAGCCGAAAGGGACAAGGAATGTTGGATTCGGAGCCCGTTTTTGATGATGTACTCCGTAGTCGCTTGTTAGAAAATACATAGCAAGAAGGCAGCCCGATCCATCTTTGTCTTTGATGCAGGTCATGCATAGGGTGTAATGCATGGATAGATATACATATGTAGAGTGCCGTCACCACTCCAAGGCCGCGCGCGATGCCAAGCTGGAAAATCTCTGCGCTCCTCTCTTGACCGCTATGGTAAAACAAAAAACTTCAAGGGAAAATATTGGCGGAGGGGTACCATGCGAGTAATCCATCGGGACGGGAGATGGACATGATATCCTGGACCAAGTTTGACGACTTGCGAATCCTTCCGTGGTTCTCCCATTGGACGGGGCTTAACGATGGTCGGAGAATTGCTGTATGGATGGACTTCTTCTGCGTCGAGAGCCGGGACGAGAAGCCTGGAGAATGGGGCTTGTCTCAATAGTGAGGATGGCGGGGTTGGACGTTTGACCATTCCAGAAGAGATCATTCTGACCTCACACCGTAATATGTATGTATGTACAAGGCTGGAGGTGGGTGCGAAGACGGGTAAGCATCAACTTACTCACGACCTCCCCCTCCCAGATCTGTATCTGTGGTTCGGTTTCAAAAAAGGATCTCGCAGATCATCATCTCCGGAACACCTGCGCGTCCTGGCCGTGTGTATGTATGTACGATGTACGGGTGTATTCCGTCAACGGGCCATCCCCCTCCCCCCCAGTCATGCAGAGGCCGGTGGAATCACACCTGGGTTGAAGTAAGACAAGGGCCAACACGAACGGCCGTGTCGTCACCCCCCATAACGGCATTCGGGATGAAGCTTGTTGGGTGCGTCAGGTGATGCCGTGCGTGGCGCTTGGCCCAGCCGGGTGCGTGGTTCAACAAATTCCGCGGCAACCCCAGCCTCTCCACACCCGCCTCTGCTTCCCAGGGCGATGCGCGCAAGCCCGGGGAAATCAAGGGACCCAACCGTCCAGGCCCGATGACCCTGTCCGGCGATAATTGGACGACTGGCACGGGGTAATTCATGTGGATGAGAGCAGTGCCTCCCACCATCTGATCCCGATGAGCTGGCAAGAGTCAGGCAATCGACGGGAGGGGAGGGGCAGCCAATCGAGTGACGGGCGTGGCAATTACGAGCCCCGCAAGGTGGTATGAGACCTCATCGCGGATTTTGCAACCTGCTTTTTTTTTCTTTTTTTTTTTTTTTTTTTTTTTTTCTTTCTTTTCTCCGAGTTGACTGTGGGAGGATGGAGCAGCTGGCGGGTCTTTCTCCCC